TTGGATCAGCCGCCGGATCAGCCACTATGGGGCGGGTGTGGTTATCCTCCTGATCTCCCAGCTGCCGCCCATTCGAGTGTGGTGGAATGCCGTGGCGTCAACCTGCCAGGGCCTTGCTTGTTTCAAACTGACTGCTATGGGCCGGGGGTTCATAACGACCCGAGCGGACTCAAGAGCGGCATCATTTTGACCACCCTCACCACCAAAAGTGAGCCAGTCTCACTGGCCACAGGGTGAGTGGGCTTCGTTCGTGAACCACCAGAAGCCAGCGGGGAGAGACAGACCCGCAGCACCTGCAGTTGCTCTCCGAAGAGCCCGGGACGAAATCGCGTGTGTTTCGGGGGCTGCACAACACGCGCTCTCCAGCCAATGGCGGGAAAGGCGAAGCGAGCCAGGGGCAAAGCTTCAACAGCCCAGTTCGCTCGCTCAATTGCTCGCGGATCCATCAAGATCCGGGTCGCATGGGAAATCAAAGTCGTCATCCTCGTCACAGAGAGCAAGACGTCGACGCTTGACTGGCTCGCTCCTAGGAGCCTCGTTTGTCGTCAAGTCTGACAGGAGGCCTTTGAGCGACCGGCCACGTTGAATGGCTCCTTGAGTCCCCGGAGCTTGAAAGCATGCACCGCCTTCCCAATCGGGAAAGATCTTGAGCGCCGGGACGAAAAGAACGGTTTGGGGATGATGATCGTGTGTGACCCCAAAGGGCAAAAATTGTTTCAACGTTCAGAGGTGTCCACCATTAAAGATGCCCGCATCCGCTGCTGTCTGCGGAGACTGCTCTTCGTCAGAAATAAGGCCCGATCAACACCCGATGCACCGTTTCCACACTTCCCCCAGGTTGTTGTAAATTCCTGGGAGGGAGACAACGAGCGGCCCCAGAAACGGCCCCGTCGCTGGTGAGGTGGCCGTGGCCATTAACTATGCTCGATGTCAGAGAGCGGGTTGTGAACGGAAGACGCAGAAGACGGCGAGTTTCCTAATTGGGTGTGCCGGCAAAAATGGTTGGGTGGAATTTAGCCAGAGTGTCGCTCTGCGTTTCCTGACGCTCTCAGTGGTGAATTATATTGCTCTCCCGTGTCCGATGCATCCTTTATGCCTGTTCAGGATGTCCATTCTATTTCCTCGTTGCCGCCCGAATTTGCGCATGGTTGAAGAAGGCGGAGGACCTCCCAAAGTCGAGATGTCGTCAATCTCTGCGCACTGCGAACCCTTGACACGGAAAGAGTTCACCAATAGGCCTCTCTCGTTAAAAGACGCTGTATGCTTTTAGTGTATTCTGCAACACCGACACTCTCAGCGGACTGTCGAGTTGCTGCTCCACCTTTTGAAGCGGGCTTCAATAAGAAACTAGCGGCAAGCCCTCTCGGGGGGGGGGGAAAGCTGAAAAATTGGGTTAAAAGCGTCCGTTTACGGTGAGTAGCGACGCGTAGTTCCGGGCTTCATCTACTCTCTCCGTCTTCTTCCCGACTCCCCAGACGAGTGGCGAGGGGGCGGCCGAGAAAGTCCCTGCTGGTTTCACCACCACCACCGAGACCATCTCCCCGGCATTTGCAATACCAAGCGGACGGCAGGCGGCTTCCAAGCGAGGTTCCCCGCAATCTCGTTCCATTTCGTGGGATTTGGAAACCACTGGTGCTGGCAACCCTCCGAGCTTCTCACCGTCGTGCGTCCAGTCTTGTTAATGGCGAACTCAACTGTAGAGAAAAAGTGATTATTGGCGTGGGTGGGCTGCCGGTGTTGACGAAAAAACAATCCCCGGTTTTGGCAAGTTCGATCGTTCGTGGATCAAAGATCAACAAGCGTCATGTCGTGTTTTGAAACAGCCGCGGGGAGAACGCTCCAGCTCCGGCTATCATTCGGAGCCGGTGGACAGGTTCACCGAGGGAGGACTAGCTTCGGCTGGGTCCCTCCACTCTAAGCACGGCGGAGGCACGACCACGAGTCGGCGAGGAATGGACATCAGACGAAGCTCCAGCGCCCAAATCGAACACCCCCTCTTCAATCTTAGAGTTGAATCGGACGGTTCGTCTGATTTTTTTCCTCGCCGGACCTTTTTTTTTCAGCCAGCCGGAGTGTGAGCGCCGCCGCAAAATCTATGCAGTATCGGGCAGAGCAACATCAGCCACTGGCGCGGGTTGACCACGTTGGCGAGCCATGTGTAATGAATGGCAACACAAAAACCAGAAGGGAACCCGAGCCTTCGCAGTGCGGTGATGTGCTTTTGGGGAGTATGGAGCCTACCAAGATGTGGTTTTCCCCCGCAAAGAGGCAGAACCTAGCACCTACACTACTATGTACCCTCGGACAACTTGTCATCCGAACCCTGCACTTGGTGAATTTGACTGCCAATCTCCAGACGGCTTCCACAAAGCAAAGTGCCGAGAAATGGGCGGGGGATGGGATGGGCCATCGAAAATGGATGCGCTGCAACAGTGCCGTGCGTGACGCGGGGAATGCCCTGGCTCGCCGTTGTCTGTTTTCGCGTTTGGAGTGCGCATGAGCTGGCGGAGAACTCATAAAAACTGGTATTCGTACTTGGCCCTTGGTTCGAATTCGAAGCGTTGGGTGGATTGTTCGTGGATATGGACTGGGACAGTCGAACCAAACATCCATCCTCGAGATTCAAACCTTCCTTCGGAGAATCTGATGACTCCATCTCCCGTACACGTTGTGCCGCTGGGACGCTCCTCCCTTGAATGCCCAGTCTTGGGAAAACGGGGAAAGCACGAAGGTGGGGGATGGGGTCGGCCGACAGGCCAGGGGCACAAACAGCCTTTGTCCCAGGGGGTTCCGGCCAGGCGTGCGGTGGAGACTGCGTCAGTGCTTATCGCAGAAGGGGAAGCTCAAATCGAAACGTCCGGGCTCCGCGTTCCCATTTCCCCCTGGCACCCTGCTGGCTCCATCCAACTGAACAAGCCCGTTGCGTCCAGGGCATCGGGGCAAGCAGGCACTGGGGCCCCATTCGCCCACTTCCATGCGTGTTCAAGGGACCAATCCTTCTTTTTCCCATGGTGGGAACAGGCCAAAAGCTTCGCCCGAAAACCCCCCCTTTCTGTGAAAGGCCCGCGGCCTGACTGTTCAGTCCTAAAAAACTTGCAGCGAAGCTCAGCATTTCCATTCAACCGCCTGATCGCTTGGCCTTCTTGGTAAACACCCGTGGACCCTTGGGTTGCTCGATCCCGCAGCCCGGTCCAGTCCTCGGCTCGCCAGTTCGCCCTCGCCGATCTTTCCTGCTTGAGCAGCCGGCCACCAAGACTGCTCCCGGAAGGGCAAGACATTCTGGTCCAATCTCATCCCAGCCCACCCAGAGGGTTCCGTTTTGATTGCCTGACTGTGCGCGCCGTGGTTTTTTCTGTCGTTGCATTGCTCGTCCCACGAGACGCTGCTGCGCTGCACCCGCATGCGGTCCCTCTCTCACACACCCTCCAACATCTCCATCTCCATCCCCATACGCTCTCTCTAGTCCGGTGTTTAGGAAAGTCTAGTCAAGAAAGAGAGCGTGTGTGTGTCCCGCCCTCGTGCGTTGTGGTCGATCTCGTCTGCGGAAAGGTACGACACTTTAGTCTTCGGTTTCCTTTTTCCGTGTTTGTGGGTGCAGGCGGATTTCCCCCCTTCGCCGCCGCCGTCGTCGCCGTCACCGTCGAGGCGCGCCACTACTCCGACTCTTGCGACCCGGCATGGAGTGAGAGCCGTGCTTAGCCCGCACAATCCGACGTCTCTACTCGCCGTCGTATCGTGACGCCATCCGTCTGCGTCGACCGAACGAAACGGCCGAACCCCCGACCGAGCAATCGACCGACCGACCGACCGACCGACCGATTGATCTTGCCCGCGAATACACTCGGCGTGGCGAACCGCACAACTTCCCCCGGGACAGACTCCGCAGCTCATGGCATGCCGACCCGGCTCCTCCAGCGTCCTAGGACCCCTTCTTTGACTACCCGCGGTCCATTGCGCGCGATCCGGGCCCGGGTGCTGCAACGATGCGGTTACCCTACCTGGGAGCCGCTGTCGTCCGTGACGTTCTGCTGCTGCTCTCCGTGTCGCGACTAGCCTTTGGTGCCGATGCTTCCTCTGCGAATGACGATACCCCTGAACCGGAAACCCCGGCCCCCCTTTGGATTCAACCGTCTGGTGACTGGTACGTTGGTTTTTTATATCTTGTTCTTCTTGTTCCTGACAACTGCTTGCCCATCTCATTCTGTCCGTGTGCTGATCGTCCTCGCAGGTACGGTATCGATGGGACGTGGTCAAATTTCGCATTCTACATCGGTTCCCCCGCCCAGGTCGTCTACTTGACTGCGGCTACCGCACTGTCCGAAACATGGGTTGTGTCAACTGGGGGTTGCGTTCCAGGTGAGTTCTTAGATTTGTTGGGATGAGGTGAAAACGGGAAGCGGTCTTGTTAACACGCCTCTAGTCCAACTATGTATCGACGCCCGTGGCGGCACCTTTGACATTTCACAATCCGAAACATGGCATGCTTTAGGGAGCTGGCAACTGGGGATGAATTACACGGGCATGGGGGGCAATGGGGACTATGGCTTGGAGACACTCGCCTTCGTCAACAGGGTAACACGCTTCTCGACCGCCATTGACGGTGTGCTGGTAGCCGCCATCAACGATACCAACTACTACCAGGGTTATATCGGCCTGGGTGTGACGCAGGGTCGATTTGGGTCTAACCTGACCAATCCTTTCATCTCGCAACTTGTACAAACCTACGGGACAATTCCTAGCCATGGTTACGGATATACCGCGGGGGCTTACTACCGTGACGGTAAGTTCTGCACTGCTAGTTGCGACGCTCGGTGTTGCGTGTTGGTTTAGCTTTTGCTAACATTTCCCCAGATGGAGAAAGCGGTGGTACCGTGGCATCCCTAACGCTCGGAGGCTACGATACTCTCAGGTTTGAACCACACGACACTTGGTTTTCCCTAGACCCGGTATCGCGTCTTCCCTTTGTTCGCCTACGTGGGGTCACGGCCGAAGTCCCTACGCTGGATGATGTGCCAACGAAGAACTGGACGTCGACCTCGAAGCAGCTGGTAAAAATGGACGACTCCATTATCGCCATCATTGATTCCTCCACCCCATACCTCTGGCTTCCCACTGAGGTTTGCGAACGTTTCGCCACCGCCTTGAACTTGGAATGGAGGGAGGATTTGGGCCTCTATGTTTTCTCGGACGGCGCACAGTATACACACTACCAAACCGATACTTTGCTGTCCTTCACTTTCACCCTCTCCAGCTACCAAAACGCCGACAACTTCGGGCAACCCCTCAACACGCCCGGAGTTGTCAACATCACCCTCCCGACCGCCTCGTTTGCGCAGCTTCTGCGCTATCCTTTCAAAAATGTCATCCAATGGGGGGATTCTAGCATTCCGTATTTCCCCCTAAAACGCTCAACAAAAGAAACAAACAACAACGTGTACATCATTGGGCGCACGTTTCTTCAGGAAGCCTACATGGTCACCAGTTATGACAGAGGCACTTACTCGCTTCATCAAGCCCGCTTCCCCCACAATGCGACGAAGAATTACACGGTCGAGGCCATTACAAGGCCTCCAGACAGCCCATATCCGAATTACGAAGACGACGACCCTGAAACGAGCCAAGGACTGTCTCCAGGGCAAACTGCTGGTATTGTTTTGGGCGCCTTCATCGTGGGTAGTATCGTTGCTCTTGTATTGTGGTTTTTCCTGATCCGCAAGCGGAAGGACAAGCAGAAGGAGATTGCTGCCGCAGAAGACGAAAATAAGGAGGGCACACACACAACTGAGGAGGAGCCCGAGCCGGAACCTCAAAGTCCGGTGAAGCGGATGTTTACGAAAATTATCCGGAAGACGCGCTCGAGAAAACCGGTGGCACAGGACAAGGATGAGGAAAGCTCGAAGCCAGTTGAAGTTGGCGCAGATGAACAGCATCAAGTCTACGAAATGCCGGCGCCACCCGAACCGGTCGAGTTGGATAGCCATGATCTAGGGGATGATGAGACGGAGTTTGGCGCGGAGAGCTCCCTGGGGATCAGCCAATATGAAATTACGAAGAGGAAACTTGACCGCCAGCTACAGGGCCCGGTGCCGAGCTACACATCATCAGCTGCGTTTTCGGCAACACCAGGGCCTGAAAAGTCGATGCAAGATTCAAGCCCAGTAGCCCATTACAGACAACCCGAAGATCCATCTCCGGCATCGTCGCCGACCTACGCAAACACGAATTCACTCCCAGGCACCCTTCCTTCCCCGATGACACCACATGGCGATTGGACAAACCGCGGCTTCGATGTCCCATCACCAATGACAGTGGTCCCCCCACCCAATCTCCTCCATGCACCCCCGAACGCGTCCGATACGAATTACTCGCCTGTCTCGCCCCACTCTCCACACTCGCCGCATACATACCCCCCCTCAACCTTAACTCGGTCAGTCTCAGGCGGGTCACCGACGTCCATGACAGGGTCCATACAGCTTCCGTCCCCGGCATTTCAACGAACGCCTATCGATCCCTCCAGAGTGGTGTGTCTTGGCCCGCTGCCCGAGAATGTACAGCTGCCGCGCCCAGAACGGTCAGTTCCACGGATAGTGACACCAAGCACCCGTAGGAGAGAGGTCCCAGTTGAGTCTGAGGCAGGCACCGCATATCCGCATTCCCCCGATCTACCACTCCCTCGATCTCTCAACCACCACCGATCCCATACACAAGGTTCGACAGACACGCTGGGAAGCAACTTCACGGTGGAAGAAGAGACGCGCCTCCGAACGGGTGAGAATTCTGGGTCATCACATCATCAACTAAGTGGCCTGGGGCAAGAGCACCAGCGCGAGGGCCATGATCACGATATACCGCGCAGCCCCTGCAGCGGGGAACGAATCGAGGCAGGGTCAGAACTGATCCATGTTCCCCAGGTCGCAGACAAGCGATATAGCTGGGAGGTAGATCAAACGGGCAGCATCAGCTGATCCGGCTGATTCAACTCTTACGACAATGCCGTCTCTCTACCAATTTTCCTATGTTCCGCGACGTCACTCGACAGTACATATATGCGGCCTTTCCTACTACGGCATGGGTGAGTGGGTGTGGCCTTGTATCCACTGCTGCTGCTACTTGGCCAACATTTTCTTTTTTCAAGGGGATAATGGGAGCGAGGAGTTCCGGCGTCTGGGTGACCTCTTATTTTGCTTTACTCTTTTTTGTTTCCTCTAGCGACGCAAAATGGAAACGACCGGCTTTGAATCAGAAGGGCGGATGGGTGGCTGTGCCGTTTTTTTTCCCCTCTTGTTTTGGTGTTTATGGAGGTGGCGTTGGATCTCTCGAGAAACATATTACGTCTTGGTGACGCATCGAGGGGGTGTGAGGGGATCTGGAGTTTTGAAGGATACCAACAGGGGGGGAAGGGAAGAGGCGAGTGGTGGTTGGTATTGTTTGTGACAATATGTTGTTGGGTGCGTGGAAGTGTTCCCCAAAGGGGGCGCTGGATGTACGGATAAAACAGATGAACATAGGTATAAATGGGCATTGTCCCAATCTGGGTGGGATGTAGTACAGGCAAATGAACAAATGGCTATCAGTCCAGCTTTCCTTTGGAAGTAATTGAATGATTGATTCTGGGGTTTATAAAGTTCACCCTCGCAGCATGACTTGATGGTATTCTGGTTCGCTCTCAGGGCTGCGCTAGCTAAGAGAGAGAGGGTGGAAGGGTGATATAGACTGGCAGTGTAACTGGCATAGAAGGTGAAATATCATCGGAAAATATGACGCGTCTGTCTACGTCCTGCAGTACCAGTAATGTTCAAACGAGAAAGTTCGCTGACTGAAGACGGGCGAGCCCACAGTCACATCAATACGGTAGATCAGTGCCGATTTGTTGATGGAACCTATAACTATCCGTTGTCTGTTAAATATGGGTGAAACCCCCTCTTTCTCCCTATGAACGGATGGGCAGAAAAATCCGCCGAAGCACTGAAGGACACAAGCAAAGTAGAAGGCGTTTGTTTCCTCAACTGCGGAAACGTCCAATATTTCTGATGCTCAAAGACCCCATTCCTTACGTGAGACTACATCCGTGCCCAGTAATATCAGAGTATGAATGGGCTCTTGTCCGAGTAAATTATCCGTCTAAGAATCCGCTGTATAGCCTCCAACGATCGAGACACGGTTGCGGTGGGGTTGTGGTATATCACAACCGTTCGACAGACCTACTACCATTAGGTTTAGCTTGATTAGCATAGAAATGATAACGTGATGAAGAAGAGGGTAAGCCAGGGTGCCTTGAAGATGAAATCACGTAATGACTAAGGCCCGGATCTGTCTTTGTGTATGTTCAAAAAGATTGCCTAGTTGCCTAAGCTAACTCGCGCCAAGTACAAGAATTACATCCACCCAAGTGCAGTCAAAAAAGGCTCAGGCCCATGGCAGATGGCAAAGCCATCCCTCCACAGGGCAAAATGAGCGAAGCGAAGCAAAGTACAAAAACGAGTGACAAACAGACAAGAGACCAAATGGAAAAACACATCGCGAAACTCTCCCTCGAACCATTCTCAACTTGGGCTTAAACCCACTTCCCTTTTCCCTTCCCCTTCCCCTCCAACGGCGGGTATTCCTCTCCAGCACCATTAGCAACTTCCCCTACATCCTGGTGGTCACGAAGATCACCATACCACCCCATATCCGCCCCCTGTCCATTCATCTTGCGCTGCCTGGCTTCTTCCTCCTGCATACTTAGCCGCAGCGCAAGCTCCAGGTCATCATCCGCATCGACTCCCACGTCTAGACCGGCGGGGTTGGAAGTAGCACCATAGCTGGTAGCCGATCCAGAGCCAGCAGCGCCAGAAGCAGTAGCAGCGGAAAAAATACCCGTGCTGGTGGCGGTACGAGGTGACGTAGTGTTGTTTACCGACTGGCCCTTCCCCTTGCTCTTGCCCTTACCTCTCCCCTTTCCGCTCTTGACCTGGAATTTGATCTCGTACTCACACGGGCTTGAATCGTCGGCTGTCCAAGACTGGGGTGGGGAAGGTGTCTGGGCCGGTGGTGAGGAGGACCGCTCCGAGCTTTCTAGCAGGGATAGCCGGATCGCGCGCTGGATTTGGGCCTCATAGTCATCTTCCTCACCACCAGTTCCACCATCATCATGGCCACCAGATACAATCCTGTCCGCTGCTTCCTCCGCCAACACAGGCAGGCCCGCCGTGCCGCTCGGTCCCGCCAGCCCGTTCAATCCTCCGTCTCTCCCCGACGAGGCCAAGCTGAACTCGCTCCCCGCCGAACTTGCCATGTCGGCTGCAGTGTCACTTGCGCTGGTGGTCCCCCGGCGCACCTCGTCCGCCGCAAAGCTCTCCTCCGAGATCATTTGGGCATACTGCAGCGCCTCCTCCTCCGTCAGCCCCGCTAGCCCGACGCCAAACCGCTTGCGTAACCGGGCGACCTCGCGAGACCGGTGCTCCTGCTCGTGTCGCAGCTCCGCCTCTTCGGCAGCAATGTAGCTGGAAACCGTGCTGTTGTTACGCCGGCTGGCCAGCCGTCCGTGTATGTCTGAGTGCTTCAGTCGGCGTTTGCGGCCGGGCCCCTGGGGCCTGGAGCTGTAGGACCATGAGCGGATGAACGTGCCGAACGCGAGTACGCCGCGGAGGATTGTGGCGTCCGGGTCGAGGGCGATGGCGCGGACGGCAAAGTAGTTAGAGTGTTGCAGGGCTGGGTTCGTTTGCAGAATGTGCCGCGGGATACGGCCGGACGATTTGGCATTGAGCGTGCGGATCGGCTCGAGCGATGATGCGAGAGGGTCCCAGGCTTGGACGAGGCTGTCACTGCCCCCGTGGAGGAGGTAGAGAGCCGATACGGCTAGCGCAGTGATTTCAGGCGAGTCGGTGTGGATAACCCGCACGGGGTTGACCGAGGTCGTAGCGTTGTCACGCAGGTTCCATACAACCACTGATCCGTTGTTAGTCCCGATCGCGAGTAAGCGCGCGCGCCGGCCGGGTATCTCGGTCGTGGCATGCTTGGAGGTGGGAGTAGCTGGTGGGTTTGACCCCGGGAGCCCAGACAGTAAAGGATCCTCAAAGACGGCCATCAGTGCGTTGTTTGACATGTCCAATGCGGTGGCGGTGATCTCTGTCGTCGGAGCGTGTTTGAACACAAGCTCGCTCACCCGCCATTCTTCCGTTTCCTCCTGAGCCGGGGCCGATCCCAGGCGAGGGGTGCTTTCTCCAGACAGCAACGGCGACGCGCCGTGGGCCATGACATCGGCACTCTGGCTGATTTCGGCCTCTACGATCGCGTTTTCCCCTCCGAAAATGGACGGTCGGGGCGCGGTCGACGGCGCGACTGGGGTGAGAACCCCAGACGGCGTTGACTTTGCCGCACTTTCGGTCCTGATATATCTGCGGACCGAGGAAGGCTGCCCCTCTTCGCTGCCCGAGGTGATCAGAACAATGATCGCTCCACCACCACCCTCTCCTCCGGCTGCAAAGTCAACTTCGAGCTTCCGCAGCATATCCCAGCCCTGACACACCCGCTTAAAATGTGCAGGTGTGTGGCGAAAATACTGCTCAATCTCCCTGGCCTCAGCAGTAACCTGCTCTCGGCTTAGGTTCATCGCATGGGATGAAGACCTCGGCGAGTATGTCCCCATCACTGCATTGTCGTTGAACTCGTCGGACTTTGCCGTGCGGCGCGTCATCTCAATCAACTCCCAGTGGGCAGTCCGGCCAGTGTGCCAAGCATCCGTGACGGCATCTTCGGCCTTGCCTTTACGGGTTGGAGGGCTAGGCGGTTCAGTGAGATAAAACACCTCACCGAGAGCATTGAGCGCAACAGCCCAAACGCGCCCAAGGGATTTACGCCGCAGAGAGTACTGCTCGTCAACCTTGAGGTCAATGATAGGCACTCCAGGACTGAGGGCCCAGCGAGCAGTCATATCACCATCGCTGAAACGAGGGCCAGTAGACTCGTGGCCGAGAGAATAGCTTGTCACTACGCCTAGCGTGGACCCGGCCATGATGCCCACCATAGACTGCGTCGTCGAGGTCACGCCCGACGATTTGGCAATCCACACACAACTAGTCGCGTCGACTAGTGCGAGGATTTTTGGTATCTCTGGCGGCGACGGGGCCGGGTTGAGGCCGTCTCCCGCATGATTCCCAATGTAGTGCCCGCGTAGCTGCCCAGTAGCCTTGTAGTACACACGGCCACCGGGGAAGCCCTCCCCGCCGACGACGCCAAATACCTGGCTCACGTCCATGACGTTCGGGACCGCGGCGGGGCCGTCGCCAGCCCCATAGAAGTCAAGGTTCGGAAAGACCTCGTCCAGCTGTTGGAAAAGGAACGGGTCGTCCAAGCCCCATTTCTCGATCTTGCCCGTGGTTGGGTCGCTCGCTGTGGCTACACCAAGATCGCGTGTCCCATGTATCACCCTCGGGCCCTTCTTCCCGCCGGTAAAGTCCGCGTGGACGTGGCTAATCATCCATGGAAGCTTGGAATTGAACGTCAATACGGCGGTAGCCTTCTTTCCGGATTGGCTGGGACGAGCCGCAGCCGATCCACGGCCACCCGGTTTCCCGCGCACAACGCTGCGCAACAAGCGTGTGCGGATCAGGTATTCGCTGCGCCACGAGGCTAGTGCGGTGAGACGGGTGAAGTAGCGGGCTTCGGAACGGATGGCGTCCGATGATTCAGCCTCCTTGGCCCGTTGGTCGTTCTTTGCGTGGCCCACAACGGAGTTCTCCCCCGTAAAGTAGCGCAGGAAAGCGGCCCGCCATGCGTACGGCGTGGTGACAAGGGCGTAGAAGCGTTTCGAGACGAGCGCTACGGCGCCGTGGGAGTCCGGATGGAGGTGGGACAAAATCTGAGTCAAGATTTCTGCATTGGTTTTTGAGTCAATAAATTATCCGCTGCGGGTTATGATGCGAGCAAAAATTAAGAATGCTCGGGCAAACAAACCATTCGGGAGATCGGTGAGGTAGACGCTGGAGAACTTCGGGTTGGGCGAGACTTTGAAGCCCGGGCCCGGGTGCGCATTGTTATTGCCGACAGGCGAGGAGATAGCGGCATTCTCGTAGTCAAAGATACGTTGTCCAGCGACCGTCGCTCGGGTCAGTGCCAAGAACTGGCCCTCGGTGACAACACTCAACCGGCCAAAGGAATGGTCGACCTGGCCAACATTGAAGTCATCATCGGGCGAGCCTGCTGCAGCAGAGATGGGGCTAAGACGCTGCTCATCCGCAGATGCTCCTGGAGCGGACAGCAAGGGACCAGCGCCTGGCGAGCCTGAGCGAAAGCGACCGGGGCCATGTTGAGCGGTAGTGGTTTGCGAAGACTGGTCGTCTGTTGTTGTTAAGTCGTGGGATGGAAGTTCGATCAGCCCTGATTGCATAAAGGTTCCTACGGAAACACCGGGTCGAGATTAATCGGCTGTGCAATTCGTTCTGCACAGTCGAGAAGAGCCGAGGCGAGTGGAGGGTAATCCGAGTCGAGATGCGATCGATCCGGATATCGGGGAGGAGGGGTCGACGACAAATGAGTCAGTCAAACAGAGATGTCGAGGAAGACTGGCGAGAGATTGTCGTCTGCGATGTTTTTTGGGGAAACAACGACTCCGTTAACTCGGTGCCAATTAACGTTCACGTGTGGCGGCAGTTTTCTTTCCAATCGTCCCTCGTGTGTGTGCGTGTCCCGGTTCTGAATTGCGCGCAGTGTTGGTGGAAGCGTTCCTCCTCTGGCAAAAGTGACGTGTTTCGGTCATGGTTTTTCGCGTCTCCCACAAATCGGCTGCTTCCTTGCACGTGGCCCAGGATTCAGTGGGCTTGGCGGGCTTCGAGCGCGAGTCAGTCGTCAGGCGCGCAACTCTTGGCAGGAGCCGTTCTCACATGGTCAAACCTTAAATCCATTCACTTTGATCAGCTCTTGATCCGCTTTCTCCTCCTCCCGCAAACGAGGCAACGACCGCCACCACCCCTCTATTGTCATTTTTAGTGTTATTTTCATCACTGCATCCACGGATTTACGAACGGCCTTCAACAGTATTATCGAATTCATTGTTATTACGATTCTTACACCCCGGTACTCAACTGTTCTACACACCAGAACTAAGAAACGTGAAAGAGCTGCGGCTCTCCCCGAGACGCCATGGCGGACAAGGACAAGGACAAGCAATACAAGTATCGCCAGGAGATACAACAGGTATGCCATATGATTCGTTTAGCTTATGAATGTAGCGTCACATTGTGAATTGCATTTTGTTCTCAATTCTGGTGTTTTTCAAGTTGGCAAGTGCTTGAGGCGGAGCGAACCTACTTAGTTGCCCCCTTCTAAATCTAATTCATGGCGGCGGGTCCACGATCCACGTCTTATGATTCACATTTTACGTGGGTATGCTTTCATACTACAAGCTTTTCTATTTCCACGACAAAATAGGTCTTTAAAAATGATGTTCTAGTGTCAACTTTCATAGAGAGCATCGTTGGACAAGACACGATGCCGAGTACCTGATCTTTCGCCCTGTTTAGTTAGATGGGGTGTTGGAACCACCCTATTACTAAAAGATGAACATACGGCTGCCACTCTCCGTGAAGATGACTTGTCAAGCCCGAAGTCTACTGAGGCCGGCCCCTCCTGGGTTGAATAGATCTCCGCCCCGTTCAGTGTTTTCTTGCCGCAACATCACAGATTTTGGCTTCCTTCAATGCCGACTCCCCTCTATTCGCTCCTTATTTGCTCCATTAAATTCACCCCAACATAGGGTAAGAGTTCGCGCTCAAACATTACTTCGGTCAAGTGACCGGTCTTTCTTTACAGCAATGTCTTCCCTCGGAGCCATCGACCCTGTGGCCGCCGCCATGTTTCAGGCGGCCTTCGACGAAGCCGTCAGTGTGGGCGATAGGGGAGAGACGGATGTTATTCAGAAGATGGTGTTACCCAAGTTGGGCTACCGTGGCCTCTCTTTCACTCACTTATGTTGGGCATTCGACGTCGCCCTTGCCATCGTGTACGCCCTCGTAGAAGCGAGGGCGGGGGTTGCTTTTGCCAAAGAGAGAGCTGTGAAAGAGCGCAGGCCTCGGGATGTCATTACTGACCATCTCAAGATGATGTATGTCTCTGGCGAATCGGGGGAACCATCGGTCGAAACCACAGGAATCATTGAGGACATTGTCCGCCAGCAAGTCATTGAGATTGTAAGTCCAAGGTCCGTAGCCGCTAGATGGAGCGTGGCTAACCCAGTCACCTCAGCTGAAGAACTGCACGGAACTCGCCGCGCGTCGCGGATCGCGTTCCATCACCATCAACGACCTCATTTTCCAGATCCGTGACGACGCTCCCAAGGTGTCTCGACTGCGCACCTTTCTCTCATGGAAAGACGTGCGGAAAAATGTCAAAGATTCAGACGACAAGGGCGGCGAAGCCGATCTGGGCGCTGGAGAGGACCCCGTCGGGGGTGTAGTAGCCGGCGGGCCGGTCGATGACACGGCCAAGAAGAACAAAAAGGCCAAGGTTGGTCTCCCCTGGGAACCTGCCTCTTTCTTCCCCGCCGAAGTCCCCGAGCGCGAAGACGAAGAAGACGAGGAGGAGGAGGAGATGAATCACATCACGTTGCAGCGGCTGCGCAAGGCCGACGAGCGCACCAAGGCCATGACCAAGGAGGAATACGTCACGTGGTCTGAATATCGCCAGGCGTCTTTCACCTACCGCAAGGGAAAACGCTTTCGCGAGTGGGCGGGTTTCGGCATCGTTACGGATAGCAAGCCATCTGACGACATCGTCGATATTCTCGGGTTTTTGACGTTCGAGATGGTGCAGACGCTGACGGAAGAGGCGCTCAAGATCAAAGAGAATGAGGATCAGCACCGTGAGCGTACGGGTGAGAATGCAGGCAAGAAGCGCAAGCTGCCCGGTGGGATCGGTGGGGGCGGTTTGTTTGATCCGCCGAGCGAAGGCCGCACGCCGGTTGAGCCCCGACATATTCAGGAAGCCTTCCGCCGACTGCAGCAGCGGCCGAAGAAGGCCAGAGCCATGCTCAACGGGACCAGGTTACAGCAGCGGACGACACTGAAGCTTATTTAGGACCCGTGGTACTGTATTTTCGTGGCTCGGAGGGTCTGGGGCTTTTGTTATTTGGGTCACCATAAGCGCCCTAAAATGTTCACCCTAAACGATAGGGGGGAATATGTTCCTCGCGGGTTTTGGTTCGGGGTCTCAAGCGGAATGGTTTCTTTTGGCGTTTTTAAGCGGTATCACACGACTCATGGCACGATTCATGGCGTTACCAAGATAGCCATGTTCAGGGTCCTGGGATGTACTGATTTAGAGTGCTTACTCCTGATATTCTCTGGTATGTACACTATTTGTGTTTTGCATGTTCGTGATATTGGTGCCTTTGGGAGCGGCGACGTCAGCGAGGGGCAATCCCCCCGGAAACATCCAAATCCTCCAAAACTATAACGTTAAACCTTATGATCTTGGTTTACGCATCAAACTCTTCAAACAAATATTGTCGATATTCCCATCGAATACTGCAGTTCTGTCGAGGCGTTGGACACAAGATTATCAAGTCGTGAATTTCCAGCGCCATAGGGCGCAACCTACACCTACCTCCCAACAAGCTGGCAGGTCCATCCTACCCTAGGGAACATTCCGACAAGCTTGGATGTTGTCTCCTAGTCATCCGGCCGAAAAGGCACTCTCGGCACGCAAACAAAGCGGCGAGCACAATACACGCAGTAGTGTGTACTCGGGGGTGAGACATAATACCTAGAAAATCACCAAACGGCAAGTTTTCCCTGTTGCCAACAAGATGGGGTCGCCTCGGACTACGAACCGAGCAGGGTAACGCATGGTGGATATTGTTTCGGGATATGCATTCGCCGCGCTAGCTCCTCCTGATGATGACTTCAAGAGCTTCCCTGTCCCTTGTCTCCCTGTCTCATCTTCCACATTCCTCTTTTTGTCTGACTGTTCAAGACGGTTGAGCGGACGGTTAGACAGGCCGCGCAGTGCGCTGGTCGTACATACCATGGACGAGAGGGGTGTTCCGGGATATGGATTTTGCCCGTGGTTACACAAGCAAAATGAAGTCGTGGCAGTTCTACATCGTACGAGGAGCGTGGTACTAGGGTGCCAAGTTCTCAACGCAGTGGTTGGTTACTCGACCACCACAGCAAGCCGTGGAACCGGAGCGCCGGATCGGTCGTACCTAGGTTGATTGATGCGCCTTGAGCAATCAGTGAGTTTGTTGAACGAAGAAGGGCCGTCGCCGTCGTTCCGCGATAGATTCCCGTTTGTACAATATTGTAAAAATCACAAGGGGGCTTATAGGTTGGCCGCCTATAGTCGTAATTTGATGATATTCGAAAAGACGACGAATACTGTGGGGGGAAAGAAAGCGAAACGGCCGGCCCAGCCGGAAGCTAAACAGCGGCCCGCTTCCTCCAACGATCCTTGCCCGTCGCTGACCCAACCCCGCTCACACTTCAAATTCTAGTGTGGGCGAGCAAAGACATTCTTCTAGAGGGACAAGAGTCAAACTGAAAAGCAATTCGTCTCAAGGGGTTTATAGCTATCGTTGGCGAAGATTGGGAGTGTGGACATACACTACCTTAGTTCATGGGGTTATCGAGAATGTAATAACAACTTGGTGGCAGAGATAGGTATCCGTAATATAACAATATTCCTCTTTTGTTCGCCGACATCATCCCAACCCCACTAACAGCATCTCTCATGGCTAGTAGAGGTAGTGCACCAACCCTAACATACCCTCTCCTGGATTCAAGGCTTCGGAGACGAGGAAGGAAGCGGGCACTGCCGAATACACCCTACACAAAGGAAAAGGATGTCGAACTTCTTGAGGACTCGCTTTACGAGAGTGGTTTGTGGCTGAACGCATGAAGCTAAAGCCAGTGGCGCAGGACTGTGACACAGGTGTGCAAGCCGGCAAGGCAAGCCACAACAATCAAGCACCCTTGGGCAAGGAACATGAGAAGGGACAAGACGACTTTGACCAGGCGACATGACACGCGCACTCAAACGCCATCGCTCAAGCTGGTCTTCGTGCCATTTACTAACCGCATTTGTCTGAAGGAAACGTGCAGGGGCCTCGGGGGAGAGTGATCCGGCGGCGTGCTGCGGGCAAGCCTCTCCGATTGGGTATCCATGGTCGCACCGTTTCACTGTTTGCAGGACTGCCGGTCGACACCTTAATGTCGTCCCGAGGCTCGAATATGCCGAGTCGGTGGCAGCATGATACAGGTTGAAATTGCAGAGCCATGAGGCAATTAAACCACACTCTTCTTCGTGGAAGTATCGCGGATGTTTTTAAGGTGGTGGCTTTCCGGCTGGCGGGACGGGAATGTGAAGGGGTCATCCATGTACACATGGACATTTCCCCGTTTGAAAAAGCAAAATCGGGCGCCTCCCGTTCAACGTTATCGGATGATGTGCGTTTTCGGATCAACGCATGGCCAGTGCGTCCCGCTGCTAGCGCCGGGTCGGAGTGGAGAAAAGAACCGACGAGAGCTCCCCCAAGGAACAAAAGCCCGACTTCAAAAATTGCTGCCCAGCCCGAGACCCAAGGGTGCTTCTGGCCATCGTTCTTGTCTTTCGAAGATTGCGAGGGGGTATTGCTGGTTCGGGGATGGACAGATGAGACCAGACCGGCTGTTTCTCTCAGCGTGGCGACCCGGCGACCCAGTCTCGTGCGTCCGAATATGCACGAAGGTCGCAGCAGAAGCCTTTTGCCCCAAAGCGCATGCATTGGCGGGGACCGGTCGGTGGGCATCCGGAAGGTCCCTTGGGGCATCAAATCAAGTTAATGGGTCCTGGCGGTCGGTAACATGCGTGATCTAAGGGGGTGAAATCCACCGCGTGCTCCCTGATGAGATATTGCCAGCGGGGCTCACTAGTTACTACGTAGTGGTTGTAGCAGCGCAGACATTCAGCGGTGATATCCATCGTCAAGGTGGCCAACCCGCCAATCCCATGCAGCGTCTAGCAGGAGACCGTCGATTCCTGTTAATGCCGGTTGATTTGAGTTTGTGATTTGAGAAAGGTTGAGCAGGGGCATGCGGGAGAGAAGGGGGGGGGGGCAGCCTCTTGTTAGATTGAATCAAAAGACACCCCCTCTTTACAGAGTACTGTGTTCGATGTGATTATTGTGCGGCGAGAGAGTTGGCTGAACAGAATTTTCACGTGGTCCCAACAGTCTGGGACCAAGGGCAGCCAGCCGGATGGCTTAACCGGCTGTTGAGACGTTGGCCGCAAGTTTGCTTGACCGTTGAGCGGTTTGGCCGTCTTGGGGACCTTACGGCCTTCTAATTTCCAGATGAGCTTCGACAGCAAGACAATGGCCCGCGTGAAGACAAGCATCTGCGCCAATGTTTACATTTTTTTTTAGTGGGCAGCGGCAGCTACTCCCGAGTATCCAGATCCGGGTTGCCGAGACCAGGTTGGACAAGACAGCACGGGGAGCTCATTCACTGAACTGAACCCTAGCAAGAGAGCCCTGTTATCATTTCTTTGGCCGAGAGCGGCGGAATCAACGATGGAGTCCCACCCAACACGCATTGCTGAGTTCCTTGGAATGAAATGAACCGTCAAGAGGGAGCAATCGGATCCTCCCCGGCAACGCAAGCGACATCCCCTTCCGCGGGTCGAGTGGAACCGAGGCGGACCGAACATGCATGACCCTCGAACCGTCTGGCAAGTTGTCGACGAGCACGTCACCATAACACGCGCGTTCCCGCGTGGCTGGTATCAGTGCGGGCGGGAGCGGCGCTGGAGAAGGGCCGGGGCCAACGGCCCTGTTGTGGAAGAAAAGACTCGAGATCCGGGGTTTCTTGCGCGGAGATGGCGCATCTCGCCCGATGGATAGGCTGTAACTTGCCGGTCACCAACAACTAGTTGCATTTTGCAACCTCCCCGCTGTCCGCAGCTTCGAGACCGGGCTTTTCGAGCGGCACCACCCCCCATAAATCGCGCAGAGAGAGGACAAACGCATACCACAGCCAAGATGATCACGGTTTACCCGGCGCAAGACCAAACAGGCTGGCGACGGGGCTTGATGGATGCAGCATCCTGCCGTTTCGTGCGGCCTTTCGATCGGCATTTTCCGACGTGACGGATTGTCCAGAGCGAGCGTGAAACTGGGTGGGAAAGTTCGCGTGCTTGGAAGGGCCGAGCTCCATCATGGGACGTCTGCTAGCTGCATTGTGGAAGTTACTCTGCAGCGCGGCCACTACCAAAGTACAGGATTCCTGCATCAACGGTTGCGTGGTCTGGCCGTGGGCGGGGCCTCCGCAACTTTCTGCAAGCCGGTGTATTGTTGTCGCAGAAAGAGCTCAACGTTCACTCTCGGGTTTGTTTGCCCCCCTTTCCCCGTTTTTGAATGCCATGCCGCCCGTCACGCTGTCGTCGCGCGCTCTGCTGACTCGTCATCGGCTGCGGCCAACCAGACAACTCTGCGAACAACCACGCGCTTGGCTGACTGGTAGGTGGGCAACACAGTCCCCGTCGATCGGTACGTGGTGTGCGTTGCGTGGTTCGATGCGGTCCACGGCCAAGGTAAACACCGTGCTCGCAGCACAACGGGCTTGCCAAAAGGAAAACGAAAGCAATCGCCGAAGTCTGTAAAAAGATCCCAGAATTGAGATATCAAAATCTCAAAGCGCGACAAAACGGGCAACTTTACTCATTGTTCATTAGTTCGTCGGGGAGGCACTACAACACTGGGTTGCCAAGCTTGGCTTGGTTAATCGACGGTGCGAAGACAACACCAAGACCTGTGTTCTTTTGCAAGGCTAGGATACTGGGAGCTTGCTTGTCATTGGTGGGACTCTTCTCCAGTAGCTTTTATTGGCCAGTCAAGATCAGATACCCCACTCCGAAAATTCTGGAGACCGTTCCTAGATGATTTTCCCTCTTTTGTCCTTTCATTGGGCAAGCGGCTGCTCCACCGGGACTTCCGTCCCAAGGGAAAGGCAAGCGAAGCGACCAGTTCCTTGGCTGCCAGTTCACAGAACCGGTGGAGTCGCACGCTCCCGTCGCTCCAAGCGGCCGGGATGAAGAAACGTGAAACTCAGCTTCCACCGTTTTCCCAGCACCCCGGCATGCGCTGGGTTTTCGCTTTTTCGGTAGTGGTGCCACGGCGCCGGGACCATGCTGGTTGCTCCGTGCTCTGCCCCGATGATCCGGTAACGTGGCAGGTTCATGCCGTTTCCGGTCTCCGTTTCAGGAGGAAAAGATCATTCCCATTTCACGAAGAGGAAGGTCAAAATTGTAGCCGATGCTCCCACTGGCCCCCCTCTCCGTCCCACGTCCCCAGCGACCCAGCGTTCCCGTCGTTCCCACCGCCCCGGGACCAGCAGTGGCAAAGTCGTTTTCAAGCTTCCATGCTGCAGAACTCGTCACCAGCGAGCCGGGTCACGAAGTCAGGTTCTTGTGTTCTTGTGTGTGTGTGCAAGCGTGCTTACACGGCATCGCCCTCAAACTCGACCCAATTCAGGGCCCGAAATACAACGACAAATCTCATGGTGCTCCCACGTCGTCGCTAGCGCTAACTATTGGAATGAAAAGCGGCGGCTCGCCTGGGCTCACGTTAACAAACGATCGTTTCCATACGGCGGCGTGACGCTTTGCTGGTGGCCCGCTTGACCGACCGAAGAGCGCCTTCAACGTGCTTGGCGAGGTGTCTGCTGCAACTTTGCTGGCGTCCCCCGTTCCCACACTTGGCGTGGACCATTCCACATCCTGTCGACACCACCGCTAGCGCGCTGCACCCACCCTCGTTTCCGCCCGTAGGCCCGCGAGAAGGCAGGAAAACCCCCCAACCCACCCTTGCTAGCCTCTTGTACCGCACCACACCGGATCTGTCGACCTTCTCCGCTCTCTTCTCCCCCCCCCTTCCCGCTCTCACAACGGCCGTTGCCTCTGAACCTGACGTCTCTTTTCTCTCTTCGCCCCCCGAACATTCCACGACCCCGAACCCGACGACAATTCACATCGCCATCAAAACGGCCTCGACCACCGCCATAGTCAACGCCAATCCGACAAGCTGCCTGGTCCTCTCAGGTCTGTCCGTAATTTACGGCAAAGCTCGACTGCTCAACAAGGGACAAAAAGCCGTCGTGTGCACGGCCGCGGGTCCGAATTGACGTTTGTGTGTGTTGGATAATCCGGGCCTGCTCCAACGAGACTGCGATATCACGACTGGTTGCCGGTCGGATTGGGGAGGATTGCTTTGTGGAACGATTGGGTCGCGCCCGACTACTAATCCCCCGACCGGTCCAATCCTACCACGGGCTTCAATGCTCCCTTGAGCTCATCCAACAGCACACACATACACTCGCACATTAGCCATGAGTTCACCAGCACAAGCAGGGCCATCGGCCTCGAAAGACAAGGAAAAGGAGAAGAAGGGGTTTGGGAAGGTCTTTTCGAGGATGAAGACTGTGATCAAAAGGGCCACTGATTCATCCCGTCGAATGTCCACCGGCCCCAAGGTCGGCCTAGTGAGCATTCCTCCTGTGGCTCCCGTAAGGTATGCGAATTGCGCCCTTCTCTTTTTTTCCTGCAATATATCTTGGACTGCTGTTGTGATGGCAACCTCTCCTGCATCTACCCTTTCCCTTTCCCCCGTCCCTGGCCTTGCTTTACCTCATATTCACTTGCACCCCATCTGCATTGCATCTGCGGACTTCTCATCTGACATCACCCTGCAGCCAACCTGTCACAACTACACCAGCTCCTGCCGCCATTGAGGCCACGAAGGTCCCAAGGTCGCAAATTTTCGCTGAGCGAGCGAAGAAGCTCGGTGAACTGTACGGCCTAGAGATTCAGCCCAGCGAATGGCACAAGACCGAGGGCCACGCGCTCCGCGTGGAGAAGCCCATCAGGATGCGTGTGCACAGGAAGTGCCACCTTTGCAGCGCCTCGTTCGGGGTCGGAAGAGAATGCCCGCAATGCAGGCATTTGCGCTGCAAGCTGTGCCCGCGTCTGCCGCCCAAGCGTACCGAGGCGGAACGGGAAGAGAGCCGCAAGAAACGGGCCGCTATGATCAAGGAACGGGCCGAGAATGCGCCCATCATCCCCGACTGGGACCCCACGCCGAAGAAGGTCGTCCTCAAACGACCGGCCAAAACAGGCGGCCAAGATCGGTACTACAGAAAGCCTCGTCAACGTATTAGGAGGACATGCTGCGAGTGTGAGAAGATTTTCGTCGGGACGACCAAGACCTGCGAAAGCTGTCAACATATCCGTTGCACGGATTGCCCTCGGGACCCGTAAGTTACATTTTTCAAGATTCCACTCCGGGTCCACCCCGTATATGTTTTAACACATTGATACAGGCCGAAGAAGGACAAATACCCATACGGTTATCCTGGTGATGCCCCAAGCGCTAGAATTGGGCACTATCAGTGCGCAAGCTGCACGCACATCTTCTCTATTCCCCCGATAAACGACCCCCCTTGCGCAAAATGCTCGCACGACAAATGCGAGAGGTTAACACCTAAGAAGGTGGAACCAGAACCGGATCCCAACGTCCTAAAGAGCGTGCAGGAAAAACTCGATAGCTTGAAGCTGAAGTGATGACGGTCAAAGGGCGGGGGCCGTACATCTCGAATGATAAAAAACCAGGCGGGCGAGCGAGTTGTTTTACCCGGCCGTATTCTCCAGGACGCCATCTCTTCTCAACCAGCATGGACCTCAATAGTCATAGACGCATTCACCTGGCGCTCGATTTCGTCTTCGCCAAGTAGTTTCAGGAGACGTTTCCCCCCAACGGCTTACCGCCTGACGAAACATTTACGTTGGCCGATCCGGTCTCAAACGATGCGCGCCCACTCACGATCCAAACGATAACATGAAACATTACTCACACATCCCGACGACAGAGAGTCCAGTTTCATACCTCTCTCTATAAAGGCGAATGGAACAGCCGCGACGATGATCCCGAATGCATCTAGGAGGGAGCGGCTTTTGCATGTCTCCTCGTCACGCCAACCGAGTTGAAGGCGAAACATGATCGCGTCTGTTCAGTCGCGATGGCAAGAAGTTCCAGAATGAAAGCGAAAGAAGTGCTGCCAGGAGACGCCCGGTCAAACTCTCCGACACCACCTCCAGGGAAGGTTTTTCTGGGCAAAAGAGAGGCAGCCCCGGCCATGGAGTAGTTAAAGCTTATAGGAAAGGGAATTGGGCGAGGGAAAATCACGGAGGAAGAAAACGAGGCTGGGCGTAGAGGAAGAAAGCGGGAGACCTTTGGTTTTGATGTTCATCCGAATTTCTTTCATATCATTCTATTCACTTTTCTCCTTATACTTGTTGGTTGGGTTGGTCATGACACCCCTTCTTGATTTTCATGAGACGTCGCAGGCTTTTTTTTAAACCCCATCCTCCCTTTAACTGTCGAGATTCCCCCAGCGTCGTACAAAAAGGCCGACCATTTCAATTCACATGAAGAGAGCGAGTAAAACACGGCAAATCGGAAATACAAGACTTGCTTTCCAAGCAGCCGGCGGGGACACGATGCGACAATGCTGTGTGCTGTGTGTGGTTGCTAACCTTCCAAGTTACCTAAAGTGGATGCCCCAATCTGCCGAACCGAACCGATACATTACGCCGAGTCTTGAGTATCCGGGATTATCCCTCTGCAATGGATGATGGTCTCCAAAAAGATCCGATGAACGGACTGGATGGGATCAAATGGGACGAACGACTTCGGGATGGGACGAGCCTGAACGGGACGGTGCCTACGAGATGGGACGAGCAGGGTCGAGACGAGTACGAGACGATATGGCCATGATGACAACAGCAATAACAATAGCAAGAATAATGGCAGCATAAAAGCAACCAGGACGAATCAAGGACCGAAGCAGTTGCAGCCTTGCCCTCCCAAAATCGAACCGAGGCCAAAAAAAAAGCCCAGAGTGCCTAGACAGAAGAGAACGGTCCTCACCGGTGAAGTTCGGGGTCTCCACATCCCGGACCCGCCGACGTGGGCGTGGATGTCGACGTGGGTATGGAGATGCTTTATTGTTTGTTTGTTCGTTCGACATGAACCCACTGGCTCGTCAAGTTTGTTGATTCGGTAACTGTTTGGGTACACCCCTGGGCTGGGCCCTGGAGAACTGGCGTCGTGGGGGTGGACCGCGAAGTTTACGTAGGAGCGTAGGTACAGATTAGTGATGGTGGTTGGCTGTTGGGAGCGGCTCTTGTTTTTTGAGGTCCGTGTGCCAGCGGAGAGAAAAACCGACAGGCTGGATGAGATGTGTGGGGGGCGAGGGCCAGGTGGATGGGGACCTGCAGGCTGTGTGTGGTGTTTGTTTTTGCTGAGAGCTACCTGACCCGCCGCGCTGGGTCCGGGTCTGGCTTTTTTCTTCCTACGATCCATGTACTACTGTCACTTTCCTTGGACTTTTATTAGCGTCTTTTTCTTTTCCCTCCCTGCCTTCGCTTCAGACCACGCAACCAACGAACATCGCCGGGGGAACCCTGTTGGTTCGTTTCGTTGAGCCGAACAGCTACGGCTCTTATGGAAAACGAATGGGTTGGGATGCACTGGCTCCACGCGAAGCAGGCCAACACACCCGCACACATCCACCGACACCCACACTCTTGAACCAGAGAGCCGGGACGGGGCAATCTGCCGGCCCAACCGCCAAAACCACTCCGCCGGAACTGCCCGTTTCACTTTTTTTGCCTTTTCCTCCTTCCTGGTCCCGGCTATCTGGTTGCACTGTACGGGAAGGTGTCATAACATAGAACGCGGGCAGCTCGGGCTGGCTAAAATCCGATGGTTCAACTCCTCCTTTGTGTCTCACTTGCATGCTGACCGAGAAATTTGTGGGAGAACTGAAGCCCCGTTGACGTGGTGATTTTTTGACATCTCCATCCGCAGCCTGATAAGCTTCCCCTCGATTTAGTGTATTTTCGCTTTGCCGCCCGGTCCCGGTAATCATGCACCGGGCGGGCTCTTTCCCTTGAGTCCGAACTGACGGACTGGCATCGTGGCCTTGGATCTCCATTTTCCCGTTCCCCACACTATTCAGCCGGACCCAACCGTGAGGAACCATGGGACACAACCCAGCGTTCAGCCAACCAGCTGGGCTCGCTGGGTTTAACGACTCGCATTTTCAACTTGGCGAAACTGCCTTGGAAGGTCGGACATGCAGATTCGGGCCTTCCTCTTTTCAGCCCGCACAGTGCCACTGAGTGCCTTGAGTGCATAGAAATGAAATTGCATGATACACTGCATAGCACATACAGATGCGACAGAGCGAACTCGGTCCTCGAGAGGAGCCAGCTCAACCTGCAGGTGCTCGGGGCCGTCCAACGGGGTTACACAGACCCGGGGATATGGAACGAACCCGGCAGGTGGTGGGAAAGGAAGACGGGACTGGGCCGTGCTTGGGCTCAGCAACCAAGGATCGGCCCGGAGCGTGTCGCCCGGTTCCAAGGTGACGGAGGGTGGCGTCGGGAGAGAAGAAAAAAAATTGTCTCTGGTGGCGTGGCTTGTCCATGTCGGGTGGGATGTCAGGTGGGATGTCAGCTGGGATTCTTCCGTGGCAAGCGTGGGTTCTTTCCATCTGGCTGGATCCAACCCGTGCACTTTGCCGTGGAAGCAATGGACACGCTCGCACGTTGGCAAGCCACGAAATACCTCACTGGTTTTGGCTGCTTCGAGTCGGCTGATGCATTGAGGGGCGTCCCTGCTGCGACATTTCTGTTTTCCTTCCGGCCACGGACCGGCAGACCGGTTAGGGTATGGTCCCAAGCGGTTGGGTTCTGGCTGTGTCTGCTCGTGACATCAATATCCATCTCTTCGATCACCCCATCTCAAACCGTAACTACATTCCGCTTTGAGCGAACTCCGATGTTCCGCGATTTAGTGTACACTACACTGCAATGTCTCTCCCGGCCAGACGAGTGAACCACTTCTTTCTCTTAGACAACCTTCGTCCCTGTGTTCACTGTGTTAGTAATTGGCATTGCATCGAGACCGTGCCCAATTGGTACATAACGGGATGGCACCCACTCCGGAAGAACAACTGAAGGAAGGGGTGGTCGTCCAACTTCCCGAAAAGCCACATCGCTTTTCCCAGAAGTACGATCTTGAGACGCAAGACAGAAGTCCCGCCCGATCCCACTCATCGTCATCGGGTCCTCCACTCTGTCTCTCAAATATACTGTAACTAGTGTGTAAATGCGGTAAAACATCTTCCGAGACCGACTCCAATCCTGGATCAACGAGGCTGTGATTTCTCACTCCTCTGCCAATCCTTTCTAAAAGGTGGGGACAAGATGACGATTTCCTTCCGTCTTCCGAGCGACCCTAACAAACTACCAGCAAGCCAGTCAAGAACACAGCGCAAACTAATAATTAAATTCGGAATTGCTCTATTTTCCCCCTAAGTGTTCCACCAAGCTGGGTCCGTGTGAGTTTCCGCCAGAGGCCGGGCGTGCAGCCCTGCACGGCCCACGCGGACTGAGTGAAAACTGGCTTGACTGGGTATCGCCGTGTCTGACCGAGCTTGTGCTAGGCCAGGGGAAATAACTAATTAATGTTCAACGTTGATTAACTATGGATTATGCTGGTGCTGTGGTGCTGCTCCAAGCATTGCGTTTCGCGTCTTGTTTTTCCTCCAGCCGACCTCGCTTCCTTGAAGAAGGCCCAAAAAGGAAATGCACACATCCTCTCGGTATCCACCCCGAAAACCAGCGGGGCGGGTCCTGTTGCCTTAATGGGGTTAGAAAACGGATGGTCAGCAAAGGAAACGGTGGCTAGCATGGCCAGGGACTTGGTGGGGGGGTATTTTTTACGTTGTTTTCCCCCCACTCGGGTGGAATGCCCAGCCTGATGGTCGCAACTCGGGTCTGGGACTTCAATTTCGAGGGCGAACATCTCTGTCACTCTAAGTGGAAGTTGAAAGCGCATCAACCATCGTGATAGTCAAAACCAGGTGCCGTCACATTCTTGATAAGGGCTGGATTTGACGCTAACTACGAGATGATATTCATAATGGCCAGCACGAGAGATGCCCAACAATTTCAAGGGTTGGATTAGTGGAGGTCGAATAAAGTAATGTGCAGGTTTGTTCGAAGTGTTCAAAGTTAAGCCAGAAATTGAGGATATTAACAACCTGGAATTGAAGTTACGTTGTGACAACAACACTTCGTCAAAGTCAACCCTACCATGCCAGAGGGCTAGATTCAAGGAACCCTCACATCCTAAATAATCTGTTATGATAAAACAAGATGTTCTTGCTAAGCAACTCTTGATATTGTTGTATCATCGGGACGATTAAGGTCATCCTTCGAGTTTGGAGGATACAACTAACTTCACGGTGTGCAAAATTAACGTTTGAACTTTAACGTGTTTCGTAAGTATACCAAAAATTGTGTTTTCGAGACGAGAGCTGTCAATTAGGAAAGTAATGTCCAGCAAATCAACGCATTAACCGAGCAATAACACCATTAAAGCTCACTGATATTGAAATGGCTGTGGTGATGTGAGGTTGAACAGTATGGGTCGAAGCATTTGACATTACTGATTTAACTCTGACTATCTTCACTTGTCTTGACGAGGGACATAAGATCACGGGAAAAGCCATGTCAACACATTACCGAGTCTGTATTTCCATTATCTTTGCGAAATCACAACGTTCATTGTTGAAATAAAAAAACGGGAGAGGTAACCCACCGACCTGCAGGCACGAGAAGGAAGATTTCAGGCCAGGTCCGTGAGCCTAACCGTCCACCCTCCGTCGTGCCTGCGCACGCACTCTCACCACCGTCAGGAGGAAACCCAAGGAACAAACAAAATAAACAAAGCATAGAGACCTTTCTGGCCGCCGCACGGCCACCTCCCAGTCCCCCTTTGTCCACACCTCCTTTTCTCCAGGTGTGTCCCCCCCCCTTTAGTTCTCCACCACCCCCTCTGGCGCGTGGAAGTCCACGGCCACGGCTTGGCCCAGAGTAGCTTTCCTAGAGGGCTTGCGGTTGCCAACCACCGTGGCCTGGTGTCCCGATGCACCACCCGCACTGCCAGCGGCACCCGAACCAGTCCCACCATCACCCACGGCACCGCTGTGCCCACGATTGTTGAGATAGGCAGGAGCCTCCTCCAACAGTCCCCGCTCCGTCCACGATTGCAGCAGCGCCGCGTTGATGGCTCCCATCAACCGCTCGGTGACGTAGAACCGGCCGTGAACGTCCGGTTCGGCCCGATGCACCATGGCTGATGGGCGCACATCTGGCGCGCCCGACGCTGCTGTCGTGTCCATTGCCTCCGCGGTCTTGGGCAGCAACTGCACCCAGCTCCAGCGCGCGGAACCATCCCGCTCGATGGCGTTGCGCGTGGCCATCTCCTCGACAAAGGCGGCTGGGAGACCACCAGCGGCCGGGTCTATGGCGTGTGCTGGGTGTGAGATGCCTGGCCCTGTCGGGTGTCGCACTGCATGGTAGAGCGTGCCCTGGAAGTACAGGGCCGCACGGGACGACGCCGCGGAACCTTCAACCGCGGCGGAACTGGCGGTCACGACCTGGATGTCGGCCACCACCATCACCACGTTGGCGTCAGCTTCACCTGTGTCGTTGGCGCCTGGACCGGAGGATGGAGTCGAAGCGACGCGAATCGGGTCACCGACGCGGACCAACTCGGCACCGAGGTAGATCCCCCCATAAGACTGGATCACCCGCGAGCCGTCGGGAGTGGCGCGTTGGCCCCGGAGGTCGAGCGTAGAGAAGGCGTCGTTGATGGCTCGGGCGCCCATCTTAGAGGCCTCGAGGCCTAGCTGCTGGCGGCGGCTCTCCCGGTTGGCGGCGTTGGGGGCGCGGGAGAGGTGGGCGGCGATCAGGGCCTGCCAGTTGACCTGGTCGAAGGTCTTGTCTTTGAAGTCGTCGCCGTTGACGCCGGGGACGGAGAAGGTGAGGAAAGGCCGCATTGACTGGCAGTTCTTGACCACGTTGGGCTGCTCTCCCAGCAGAGCGTGGCCGAGGGGGCCAAGCGTGAACTGGTACTCCGCGTCTGGCATCCCGGGGTGGGTGTCGGCCGTGGGGGTAATAGCGAGGACTACGCCCAGTCGCCAAGCGGTGTGGTTGTACCAGACGAGCTCGCCGACGCGGAACACATTTGTCCAGCCAGTAGTGCCCGCGGGGAAGAGCTGTGTCTGCTGCGGCTGCTGTGACTGGTATATCTGCTGCTGCTGCTGCTGCTGCTGTTGCTGCTGTTGTTGTTGCTGCTGTTGTTGTTGCTGCTGTTGTTGCTGTTGCTGCTGCTGCTTCTGCTGCTGCTGTTGATATTGAGAGGAGCGGGTTTGGGTAGGCGTCTGGGCTGGTGTTTGGGAGGGCGCAGGAGATTTCGACGCGGTGGGGGCTGGACGAGAGGTGGGCGCCGGGCCACGGGGTTGTGAATTTTGCTGCGGGGGAGCCAGCTGGACCTTTGACCTCTCCTGCTTGACCTTCTCCTTGTACTTGGGACAAAGCTCGCAGAAGCAGTCCGAGTTGTCCCGGGACGCGCTCATCAACCACAGGGCATGTGGAGCGAACTCGCCTGGGGTGCGGTAATGGGCCTTGGCCCCCGCTGGGTGACCGTAGAGGTAGTAGTCCCTCTGTGTGCTGTTTCTTGGAGCACACCGGAGCTCGTACCCGTGGGGGAATTCGGAGAGAATGAATTGTCTCTCTGGTCCGGTCAGCGCCCAAATCGAGTATCGAGGGGAAGGCTAATGCGGCGGGTATTACATACTGTCTTGTCTAGGTCCTATCTGGTGCTGGAGATGCCCAGCAACGATGACAAGCCAGCGCTCGGACTGCGCCGAGTCGGAGACGAGGTTGGGGTCGAGGGGGAAGTGGTCGAGGTTAGCATACCCCTGGCCGTCGCTCCGGGCTATGGTAAACGGCCAGTAATCATCGGGGTTGCCTTGCTGAAAGGCCATCTTGGACAGCAGACTATTTCCAGTTTCGTTAGCGATATTTGACTTGCTGTTGTCGACCTTCTAGTCGGCCGTTCTGTCGGCTTGGAAGTTGGCGACGTTGCTTACCAGGTGGTCGATCTCTTGGTCAGCTGGGAGTGTGATCTTGTGTTTGATCTTGTAGTTGGCCTTCTTGTCAATTCAAAAATCAGCGCTGTTACCGACCTGATTGTTAATCTATCTGTTAGCTAGCTTGGAAAGGTTCTCAATCTTGAATCTGATCTCACTTTTAACTTGGTGGTCTGGTTTTAAAATCGCAGGGCAGGCGGCCCGCAACGATGCACAGGCTTGTAGAATAATAGCTGCGACATTCGCATCGACGACTAAGCAGGCGGGTTCAGGCTCCGAACCTATTACACGCTCCGCGGGGTCCGTGGTACACACCCGCCACTAGTTAGAGGATCTGTTCCTCTCCGTTGGCTGCGGAGCTGATTCTCCCAGTGAGGGCGGTTGATTGTGTGCTAAAGTCGCAGCTCAAAAGACTAGTTCCCAAACCAAACACTGGGGGTGATGCTGGTGTTAAACGCTACGACAAGGCGTGATGTTGTGTTTAGGAGCAATGACACGAGTGACAAGCTGTCGGTCGATAGGACGGGACTGGCAAATGAGACAGTTCCTTTCAACTGCACACACACAGACTGAAACACAACAAGCGTGAGCCGTCACACAAGAGCAGTTAGGTTCAGCGCAACTCTCGCCAAAGGAGCCGGTGAGTGCCAGATGCCGAACGGGGACTCAATGGTATGAGATAGACGTTTAGATGTTGGTTGGACCGAGAATGGAAGTGTCGTTTCTCTGCAACCATGACAGTGGAGATTTAGTTAGCGACTGAGCTTTTCCCCACAAAACCTCCACGAAAACTTGCCCCACCACAACCTGTGATGCATCTGCTGCCCCACAGAAAAACTCTGCGTCTGACTCGAACATCAACAACCACCAAAAGGCAAGGTGGCCGAGCGGTCTAAGGCGCCACGTTAAGGTTTACCCTTAATCCTCTTCTCCCTGAGAATCCGTGGTCCGAAAGGGCGTGAGTTCGAATCTCACCCTTGTCATCATCTTTTGCATCTTTTACCAGTGGTTAAAGACGGCGTGGGAGGAATTTCTTTTGTGCCCAACCCTAACCGGGGTTATTCTGTTTTTTTTTTCCCTTTTGCCCGTTGTACCATAGATGGTCGCCGTTGGCTTAACTACAAGCCGTAGACAATGCTAAGCACCAAGTCCCTTGATTAAACTTTTCTGAGATCCCTTCTCTCGAACCCCAAACCCCCTATAACTGCCGTACTCGCTCGTTCCGCGCAGCGGCTTCCATTTTCCTTCGGATAACTAACTAACGGGCGGCGGTTGTCGTCTCAAACCGGACCCGGGGACGGAGGCATCGGAGGCAGTGAAGCGTGGCTGACGGTAAACTCATTACTTCATATCGGCACTCATGCGCTATAACACATCTCGGTATGGACCAGCAACACCGCCGAGCCGTCTGCCAAGCACCAAAGAAACCGGAAACGGGGGCGGCGCGATATTGATATCTCGCGGTTTCCGGTGATAGCATGACTTATTTTAGCCGGACAGAAAGCCTATTGCCTAGATGACTTCCTGATACCTAAAATAGGACAACTATGGCAGAGACCAAGGCAACAGCAGGACCCGACCATAAATCAACGTCATTGTATGGATAAAAGTTGGACACAGCGCATGATGGCGCCGTTCTACCCTGTTGAGACCAACATTGAGAAATACTAGGAGTCGTCGGGTGTCGAGGAAGGGTGGCAACATCGCTCCTGGAGGTGCCTCTCGAAGGGAACGGATTTCTTGGAGGTCGGACGACAAGAACAATTCCCATAGTGTAGGGCCGACCGGGACCTTGCGAGTGGTTGATGAGAGAAACAAGAGGCGCTTTTCCCAAGCTGAGGTTTCGAGACAAAGAAATCAGAAAGCCACACCCACCAGGGGGTCTCTTTGGCATGCGGGCACGTCATACATGGGATTGGGGTGGGCGCCTCAATTTCTTGCGTCGAAAAACATGGTTGGACATCCCAATCAACAGGCAAAAAGAAGAAATAATTCCTTCATCACCGAAATCGAACCACAAAGTACGAATGTTTTCCGATTGAGGCACGAAGAGCTAAAATCCCGCTTTCGGCCAAAATCACACCCAGAAGGCCCACTGGGGGCCTGGGCCCTGAAAGCCCCGGTCTTGGAGCTTCATTTCACCAGACCGTTAGCAGCGCAATCAAAAACTGCAGGTGCGATTGGCCCACGCCGGCCGTTCCTGGCAGGACCCTGCCGATGCGAGCCCACTGCCGAGATGAGATGCCAGGAAAAGGCTGCTGTATCGCCGCCGTGATTGGGTGGAACCCCTGAATGTCAATCGGGGCAGGTTCAGACGGTCCAGGGGACGGGAGAACATGGAAGTGGGACCAGTGCCACACAGGCTGTTTCTTCCCATGTTGTTGGCTCCGGCCGCCTTCCCCGGGGTTGTCCCCCAGAGACATCATGGGGCGCCAGCCCGCCAGGGCAGGGCTTTCACAAGCTGACTGGCCTCCTTTTGCACTCACTCCCTGAAATCATTGTTTTTCTCCTTCACCGTCGTTCTAGGATCTCAGAACGTTCTCTCTTTTCCCAACTCTTACCTGACCTCGCAATACTCTCGTTTTGACAACAGCAGCATCTGACGGCGGGGGACCGACGACTACGACACCCGTTTTTACGCCAACGACGCGGCAGTGTGCAATTTCGCACCCATCAACGCGCGATCGCTCGCTCTCCCCCTTGTTCTGGTCCTATGGTGGTCCTTTGAGAGGCAGTCGGAGAGTTTGTCAAGTGGTTCCCGTCGACGATCATCCAAGGAAGTGAAATTCAGGATCACCTCACGGAACGTTCAGCACACGATCACACCTCCCAAACGAAACAATGCGCATTTCCACGCTTCAGGCGGCCGTAGGCTCGGCCGGACTGCTCTTGGCCGCTCACCCAGCATCTGCCAATCCCAACCAACACCGTCACGCACATGTAGACTACGCCAGGCGGCATGGCCACAACCACGACCACATCCACGGGAGTCACAGTCATCAAGTAGAGGACCTCGTCGCGCCAGCAGTGGACGCGGTGAAGACGGATGATGTATCCAAGATTGTGGCCCGGAAACCGCGGTGTACGCTGCCCGACGACCCGGACTTGGTCTACGTGCCAGGCAAGGACAATAACGGATTCGCTATGAGCCCGGATCAACCGTGCGAGGACGGCTCGTGGTGCCCGCTAGCGTGCGTCCCGGGCAAGATGATGGCACAGTGGAAGCCGCACACGACGTACAATTATCCAGATTCGATGGTAGGTCGGCGATACGTTTGAGATGCGCCAACGGTGTGTGGGCTGGCCTGACTAACACTCGCTCAAAGTACGGCGGCATCTTCTGCAAAGGCGGAGAGATCGAGAAGTCGTTCGACGGGCCGTACTGTATGGACGGCACGGGTGCTGTCAACGCTGTCAACGAAGCGGGCAAGATCGTCTCGTTCTGCCAAACGGTTCTTCCCGGCAACGAGGCCATGCTCATCCCGACCGATGTGACCGATACTGCGACCCTGGCCGTCCCAGGACCGAGCTACTGGGCCAACACCTCTGCGCAGTGAGTCCTCTTCTCTTCTTCTTTACATTTCTCCCTCCACCCTGCAGTGTACCGTCAATGTCAAAAGTATGCAGATCGTGACGTGACAACGTGACCACGTGCTGATGACCCCTGCCAGTTATTACATCAACCCACCTGGGGTGGACTCGAAGTTGGGTTGCATATGGGGCGTGATCACTGAGGCGATCGGCAACTGGGCCGCATTTGTTGCGGGGGCTAACACCATGTCCACTGGTGAAACCTTTGTCAAGATTGCGTGGAACCCAGAATACCTCAAAACGCCGCTCACTAAGAAAGTGCCAACCTACGGCCTCCGAATCGAGTGCCCAGGAGGCGGCTGCAATGGCATGCCGTGTGTCATCGACCCGTCCAAGGGTGGGGTCAACGGTCTCGACAGCCCTTCTGAGGCCAGCGGCGTCGGCGACGCCAACTTTTGTGTTGTGACTGTTCCCAAGGGCGGTACAGCGAACATTGTCGTCTTCAACACTGACGGTTCCGGTGGTGACGACTCTGGCGACGACGACAACGACAATGACAATGAGCCCAAGCCAGACCCCTCGCCTTCCTCCGAGGCGCCCAAGCCGCCCAAACCCACCAAGACCCCCCCGAAACCCACCAGCCACCCACCAACTACCACCGCTTCGCCCACTTCTTCCGACGAAAACGATGACGAGGGCGGCATAACCATCTCCTTGGGCTTGCCGGGCGGTGTCTTCCAGGAGAAGAGCGCGCACGGGGACACGACATTTGCCACGTCTGGCACCGCCCACCCAACTGGCGCTCTGCGACCTGCGACCACGGCCGGGCCGGACAGCGCTGCCTCGACGATTGCGCCCGTGGCTGCACCTTCGACGTCAAGTAACGAGGGCGGGGCGGCAGTGAGCGCCGAGGGGGGTTCGGCGATTGCCGGGTTGGTTGTCGCGTTGGTTGCGGCTGCGGCGTTGTTTTAAAGGGGGCGAGGGTTTGCTTGGAAAGAAGAGAACAGCGATATCGACACCGACATTGATGATAACGATACGCCCCGTTTATTCGCCGCATGCCAACATACCACGCCGAACCACCCACCTTTCTTCTTCCGGGACAGGGTCAGCGATGGCCCTTGATTGTGTTTTTCTTCTACCCGATACCAGAACATCGGCCCAGATTTATAGACGAGACGCTTCCCCGTTTTCATCCGGTCACCAAGCTACAACACAACACAACACAACCTTCTTACCTGCCAGGAGGGATTTTACCCATCAACCGCCGTCTGGTACTATACTCCTTTTATTATTAGCTAATTTCTTCCGACGCCTTCCGGTGGCGGTCCCGCGCCCTCCATACCTTTCTGGTGGATTCGGAACCTTTTGGCTCCTGTTCTTCATTATTTTCATGGCGGTAATCCCACCCTTGCTGGAGGACGCCTTATTTGGTTTTATTCGGTTCAATCGGCTAGTTGCTACGGCTTCGCGACATATACCCCTTTTTGGATTTTTTATTTCTTGACATTTCTGCGCCGTCCCCTGTTCCATCAAGAATAGGGGTCATGGTGGCTTATTTTGGAAACTTGCTTCACTAGATTTCTATTTTGATGTCTGTTCTGAAGAGAGATGCATGGCTGGAATGAGGATGAAGGTGGTCGGATGGGGTTCTTGGTATTATTTTTTTTGGAAAAAGTTTTGGAAAATGCGAGACAAGGGAAATAAATACCTGTGTCCGGCTGGTCTTGGAGAAGAGCCGAGGTTGGAGGATGATCGCAGACAGAGTTAGTCAATGAAGCAAAACGATTGACGATTGCGATATTGCAGTTCACAATTGCTGCTACAACCCGGATGATGATTTGATCTACGCCACATAATCTGTATTCGTATCATGAAGCTATCCATAACCCGACGACAGATCCTCAGATGATACTATCTCACAACCCCACAATCCCGGAGCCGTCAACTACTACGTATTTATTCGGCGCTCTCTTCAGGTTAATCCACACCCTACGACTGATCCCTCACCCACCCTGGCACATCGTCCATCTCCCCCGGCGGCTCTGCTCCTTCCCCTGCGTCACACGCATCTAGTGCATCCTGATACGCCTCGTGCGCGCGCTCGACTAGACTCTCATACACCCCCGGCCAACCAGCGGCCACGGCATTACCGCCCATCCTTTTCGCGCCCTCTACGGCAAACCGCTTCTGCTGCCGCGCGATAAACCCGTTCAGGAGCCCCGCGTAGACCAGTCCGGCCACGACAGACTCGATGTTTTCGAGATCGGGTGGTTTGTTTCCGAAGAGGAGGCCGTCTGCGGGCATGAGGCGGCGCGGCCCACCGGGGGGTGGGATGAGGGTAGAGGAGGAGATGTTGGCGTTGTGGGTGACGGCTTGGAGGAAGAGCGGGTTGGTGCTGTTGCTGGATGAACGGGGTCGGTTGTTTGGCTGCTGCGCGGAGTGGGCGGGGACATAGCCCTCGAGGAGTTTCTGGACGTAACCAGCTGCAACGACTAAGTCGTCAAAGGCGAGCGAGGGTGCGCGGTTACCGCCCTCGGCCCCTTGCCAAGTGAAGAGAAAGACTTTGCGGGTGAAGGAGCGCCAGACTAGCGGCTTGAGGCGGTAGAGAAAGGTGAGGTAGAAACCCTTGGCCCAAAGCCAGTCGCGGTTTAGACGCAGGGCTTGGTGGAATGTGACGAAGTTGCCCGAGCGGATGGCGCTGCAGAGGGGTACAAAGATGTCAGCGAAGCCGGCGGCCTCGGGCCGTTGGAGGAGGGCCAACGAAGGGAAGCGGCCGAGAAGGAGGTTGGCGGCGATCCAATGGGTGAGGATCTGCCGGCGGTGGTTTTGGAATTGCGGGAGGCACTGGTGATAGGCTTCGGCCAGGCACATCTCGGCGCGCATATAGTGGCTGTGATCGAAGTGGAAACGGCCGAGGTAGTAGAGGAAGGTGACACGCTGGGAGGCTGGGTAGAGCGAGAGTGCTGGGCCGCTAGTCGATAAATTGGTAAACATTTGCACAGCCAGTCGAGATTTGTCACACTGGAACCCGTCAGTAAAAAAAAAGGCCGTAGGAAAAACACATTGCGGGGGTTCAGCTCACAGCAAAGAGCAGCCTCAGGGTGAGGTTTGCGAAAAGGTAGACGGCGACCTTCTTCCCCTTGGGCTCTGACCAACGCGTGCTCGAGCGGTCGGTTAGACATGATGTGAATATCTTTTGGATGATGTCGGCGGCCAGCTCAACGATAGATTTCTTCTCGCCCGCCTCCTCTCCGGTGGTGTCACCGTGGATCTGGGCAAGCAACTCGGGCTGCCGAGTCAGGTTCATAACCAGCTTGGACAACGCCTCGGAGAGCGCCATGCTTGTCTGCAGCAACATGGTGCCGTACGTGGGGTTCGCAAGGGCATTCGCGCAGGAGCTAAGTTGTACTCATGTCAGTAGAGTAAAGCAAGATAGGGGTGGAGATGATGCTACAGGATGAGCACATACTTGAGAAGATCGCTCAACCGAGAATGCAGCCTCACGACATCCCCAAAATTGACATCACGCCAATACTCCAAATACTCCCTGATGAACGAGTTGAAGCCGGGCCAGGGTGATCCTTTACCCTCGGGTACGGTGTCCTCCTGCGGCAAGCATTTGTCGACGGTGTTCTCGAGCGAGGTTGAGCTAGGCGGGAAGCTCCTCCGGAGCTCGGCGCTCATGTCAAAATAATTGCTGCCCACATCGTTCTCAACCAACAGCCAGTTTCGCAGCTCATCACCATTCTGATCGCGCACAAAACCCCGGATGCTGGTAAGAAATTGGATGACGAGGCTCATCGTGGCGCTGGTGTGGTGGTGAGGAAGGGAAGGAGTAGTTGGGTTGGGACTATCGTGAAATGGCTGATGATCGGTGTTGATATTATGTTGGTTAATGGACTCGAACGCGGCTTGGACCTCGCGACGACGGGAAGGGCTATGGCAGCATTGTGCTCTTTGGAGAGTAAGAAAATAACACAGGAAACTAGAAATAGTTGATAAATGAAGCGATGATTCACTGTGACGCGCGAAGCTAAAAATTGGTTGATAATGAACCGTGAATGTTGTAATTGCTGTGATTGATGAAAGTTGCAGTTGGAGAAAAAGAATGCTGAGGCATCCTAGTCAAGCTTAGACCAGCATTATCTCGCCTTGACCAAACGTTGAACCTTCCTCCAGCAATACCGTTTGTCCTTACTTTCCCAGCAGATCTTGCACCACCTTCAAGCCAGTGTGAATGATCGGCACCATGAAGGAAATTACTGTCGAATTGAGGGCGTGTGAAATGTGGGAGCAGAACGTCAAGAACGTGGACAACCCTAACCCTATCATTACACAGAGTTTTGGTGATTGCCTGAATCGCTGCGACCTCATCAAATCATCTATTTCACATCCCTGTAAACGAAACTAGATTCAATTTTCGCCGTCAAGCGTATCATACAGACTCAATCCTCTGCACCACCATCGCCGTCGCCGCGCCTCCGCCGTTGCAGATGGCCGCCACACCGTACTCGCCGGGCTTCAGCTGATGCAACAGCGTCACTAGGATGCGCGACCCCGAGCTGCCCAGCGCGTGGCCCAGCGAGATGGCGCCGCCCAGCGGGTTGACCCGCGCGCCCTCCAACCCGAGGATCTGTGTCTTGGTTAGCATTGCTGGGGGCTGAAAAACCATTCGGGGTACGCTGTGAATCGTACCTTCTCATTGGCCTTGATGACCGCGGCAAAGGCCTCGTTGAACTCCCACACGGCGACCTGGTCCTTGGTGATGCCCGCCCGCTCTAGCGCGATGGGCACCGCTTTGGCTGGGGCGACCGGGAAATCAATCGGGTCAACCGCTGCGTCTGCCGAACTGCAGATGCGCGCCAACACGCGGGAACCGGCGCCAAACTCCTGCGCGATCGCCTTGCTGCCAAGGACGAGGGCGCTGCCGCCGTCGTTGAGCGTCGACGAGTTAGCCGCCGTCACGGTGCCCGTCCCGTCACGCACAAACGCCGGCTTGAGCGTCGGAACCTTAGAGAGGTTAACATCGAGGTACCCCTCGTCCACGCTGACGACCGTGTCGCCCTTCTTGCCCTTGACCGTGACGGGCGCGATCTCGTCGGCGAAGGCGTTGGCCTTCCACGCGGCCTGCGCCCGCTCGTAGGACTGGATGGCATACTGGTCTTGCGCTTCGCGCGTAATGCTGTATTTCTTTGCTGTGCTCTCCGCGCAGTTGCCCATGTGGATTTGGTCGTACACGTCCGTCAGGCCATCCTTGATCAAGCCGTCCTCGACCTTGATGTGGCCGAACGCTGGTAACCCGCTCGCCCGCGGCAGGTAGTACGGTACCCGGGACATGTTCTCGAAGCCGCCTGCAATTTGTGCCTCTGCGAGGCCCAGCTGGATGTTTTGGGCCGCGAACGCTACTGCCTTTAGCCCCGAAGCGCACACCTTGTTGATAGTGATGGCCTCGACCGATGGTGGCAACCCCGCAAAGATGGACGCCTGCCGTGCTGGAGCCTGCCCAACAGAGCCTTGGAGCACGTTCCCCATGTAGACATCGGTAATCTTTGAGACGGGTACCTTGGACTTTTCGAGCGCTGACTTGATGGCGACGGCGCCCAGCTGCGGGCCGGGAACGCTAGTGAACGAAGCATTGAACTAGGACAGTTAGTGTATTGGAAATGGGAAGCCTAAAAAGGAGCCAAAATAACTCACCTTGGCCGTAGGCGTCCGGGATGCGCTCAAGATGTAGGCGTCCCGGACCTCTTGCCGAAGACTGGATTGTGTCGAGAACAGCCGAGCCGAGCCAGACTTCTGGAGTTGCGGCGCAAGGCGCAGCGCGTGCCTAAATTGCCCCGCCATGACGACTCAGAGACTACGAGAAACTGGATGGAATGCTAGAAGTGAGGGGCTATTCGGTTCACCATGAAAACAGTGGGAAATCTGAAAGATGGGGGAGGATTGACATTCGCCATGACAACGGGACAAGACCTGTCTGGCCGGGAGAGCTCGGCTTGTGACGGCGATCATGGGGGCCGGGGCACCGGGGGGAGCCGAGTGTGGAGGCGGGGCCTTCGCGCCTCGGCTGAAGGCACGCGGGAGCTTCGAGGGTTAGGTAAGCTTCCATTTGGGGAAATGGGACTCGCGTGTTGAGAAAGTCAAAATCGAAGTCGCAACAGAGGGAGAAGCAGTGCTATCGCCGAGTCCCCCCCAACCGGTCCCGTCATTTCCCACATCAGGGCCGTTTGGACAGTTGGGCCCAGCAAGCCGAAGGAGTCGTGATGTTCAGCTGCCGGCTCTTGGTCTTTCTCAGAGGGTTGGCCTGAAAAAACAGCCCCGCACGCCACACAGCACTTTGTCCAGCACTGTGTACTTCGTAAAGCTTGATTGGCCACCACCACCCCGCTAATTCAATAACACCCTGATTACAACGGGTTCGTCAAGCCGCGCTTGGGAATCACAATCACAACCTCCCAAGTTGCCCTTCCTCTCCGCATCACGCCCCGACCGTGATCTTGACACTCCCCTTTATTTCACCGCATCCGACGCCTACTGTTGGACCTATTTTGGAAAACGTACTTCTTTGTTGACTTCTCCAGCACATCACCTGCTTACCAACCAACATGTCAACCGACGCGCGCCGCCGCTTGATGCGAGACTTCAAGGTACGATGAGGAGCTGAAATATCATTTTCCGGGCGTATCGGGATGCTGATCATTTCCCTTCTGCTTCCTACAGCGCATGCAAACCGACCCTCCCGCTGGCGTCTCCGCATCTCCCGTCCCCGACAATGTCATGACTTGGTGAGTTCCTCGTCGCAGCTTGTTGTGGAATTTACTGTCCGAAACCAGGGCTTGTTTCTACGCCCAGGAATGATCGGCTAATATCGGGACCCTCGCCCTATGTAGGAACGCCGTCATCATCGGCCCTGCGGACACACCCTTCGAAGACGGTACCTTCCGGCTTGTGATGCACTTCGAGGAACAATACCCCAATAAACCACCATCCGTGAAGTTCATCAGCCAAATGTTCCACCCGAACGTCTACGCCACCGGCGAGCTCTGTCTCGATATCTTGCAGAACCGCTGGAGTCCGACGTACGATGTGGCCGCTGTGCTGACCAGCATCCAGAGGTGAGTAGACAGGCTATGATGTTATGCGACGTCTGAGACCTTATGCTCACACTGTTCTCCCCAGTTTGCTCAACGATCCCAACACTGGCTCTCCTGCGAACGTCGAAGCGTCCAATTTGTACAAGGATAACCGAAAGGAGTATACGAAGAGGGTGAGGGAAACAGTGGAGAAGAGCTGGGATGACTGAGACCGAGGATCTCGATTACCACGGGGCGAGGCTAGTTATTGATTCTGGTTGGGCTGCAGAGTGCGAGTGGCCGCATTCGGAGGCGTAGCTCGCACGGGTTGTTTATCCCCCAACCCAAGTCGTTTTACTTTGGAGTTCTGGCGTTTTTCGATCGGTTTCCCTCAGCATTTTGGAAGGCACCTCATTACATTATCAGCGTGTCTTGGAGGCGCCGGAGGCACTGGATTCACACAGACACAGACACACAACACCACGTGGGTTGTAGTTGGGCGCTGGTTGGGATAGCGGGAATGGGAGGCTGGAGAGGGATTGGAGTTCAGGCTTGTCTGATCTTGCGTTCATGAGAGTTGAAAGAAAGATTAGGTCCCGCGCTTACTCACCGCATTAAATAGCGATCTCCCATTACCTAGCCTACCGAAGCCCCAGTTCACTCTTCGTGTCAATGAGTACTGCTCTCGGCTGAAACTTGTCGTCGTGAGATGTGTGTTACTTCGGCGCTGAATGACAGGCTGCCCGCCGACTATTGACGGTTGGTTACCAAGCCCCCTCAGGAACTTTTAGCAACTTCTCAAGAACCGACATGCTACAAGGAGGCCACTGAACACTCTTATCAACCCCCCGCCTACATGAATAGGTAATTTACGTCTCTGTGAGTCTCCAGCCCTTGTAACAACCCTGCCGATCAACCTGCAGAACAACAACTCCGTGATCCAAATAATAACCCCGAGCGAGGACGACAAACTCAAAGGGTCTATGGGGTCGGACTGCCCCGAGGGGAAGGCGTGTTCTGTGAAAGGGGGGGGAAGGGGGGGTGTGTGTTTGCCATTATTGTTTGGATCGGAATGTTTCGAGAAGGCGTAGTTGGAAGAGGAGTATCGGACTGGTTAGGGTGGGTGGTAGGGGATAATAGCCTTCGGGACGTAAAATAATCAAAAAGATTGTTGTCCAGACGCAAAATACTTCAATTCTACGCTTCCGGCTTAGATATTTGATCAACATCCTCAAAACCAAGAGCCCCATTTCCCTTCACTCAAAATCTCTTCCACGCAAAGACCATGTGTCGAGGTTGAGGTTGCTGTTTTGCGTTGCCTTGTGGTCTCAAGGTTCAACAGTTCAACCAGGGCAGTAAGTACTGAGATGTTTGGACTTCCTGATTGATACCCCGATTTCATTGTTAGCAAATTCGGGGACTCAAAATTATATTGGCACAAAATGCGCTCTGATCGTGGTGAAACACGTCTTGAACATACAGTTCCAATTACTGACTGCCCTTGATGAAAGGCGTTATTGCCATGTAGGACGGGGCTTTCTTTAGGTACTTAGAGTCACTGCGCGCTTTCTTTTGTTTGGAACAGTTAGGTTATGAATCTTAGCTTGCAGTTGGGCGTAGAGTAGAGCCTTTGAAAGCATTCGCACCCCCTTCTTGGGTGATGAGGGACTTTACATCTTGGTAATTAATATCTGAATATGCTACGGCGTTGCCATGAGTTTATCTACCATGTTGTATTACAGCTTGCCTTGTACCACAATTAGATAGTTTGGTAATGTCATGTGTAGAGAAGATGGTTGATATAATCTGTAACCGAAAGTTAATAGTTGGACACGGCCGGAATCGAACCAGCTACTCCGGTTACCGGTTTCATGAGACTCCCGGATATGTACCATTACACCACGTGCCCAGTGAAAAGGGCGTGCTGAATAAAGCATATAAGCCCATGGACCAAAGGGCTGAGCACGAGCTCTCATTAGAGGATTGGGCACAGATATCATGATTATTTTTCACATTCACGCCGCTGGTACCGGCCTGTCTGTGACACAGTGCCCTGTACTGTCGTAATTCTCGACGCATCTGCATGTAACGTACATACATAGTAATAAAATCTGCCCAACCCCTGGTCCTGGCCGCTGGAGAGATGCTGCCCGCTGGCAACTGGCCGGCAGAGCGCTGGGCGTTGAAGTGGGCCCTAGGCATGAATGACATGGGCCCTCCATCAGCGCCCTGGGCCGATGAAACGCCTGGCTGCCCTGCCGGGACTCGCTTGACAAAATGACGGGACACCCAGTCTCTGGAACAAGAAAAACAATCCACAAATTTACACGACACACCTAATCACCCACGCTTGGACCGTTCCATCCCCAATCCCGTCCCCTGTCACCTGGCTCGCGGTACCCCTGACACCGCCTCGGAACCCCGCCGCGCACGGCATCCGCTCCCCCTCTACCGAACAGACCGACCGACCGACCTTCGAGAACCTTCAAGTTGGGCTGGCTTGAGAAGAGGCACATTTGGCGCGGCGCTTCACTACCACTCCGCAACAGAACAAGCACGACTCTCTCTCTCTCTGCTTGCCCGCCTCTCTTCGGCACCCTAGAGACTATTGTTTTACGTCAGAAGCATCACCGAGAGGTTCCCCGCCGTCTTTCGCCCTCCCGCTATTTTGTAACACCAAAAAAAACAGACAAACGAGGACTCCGGTTTCCGCGTTGACACCCGGCCCGCGATTCCCCGGCTGCGCCCTCCCCGGTTTTTTTAGGAACTGCCCCGCGTCGCCTCTTTTACTTTGGCCGATCTGCGTGTCGTCAACGAAAACAAAACAAGCACCCCTCTCCCACTTTCATGAGCGAGCGCTTCCTTGGGAGCGCGGGAAGCGGGAGCTAAGCCACCATGTCGAACGCAAATAGCATCAAGGTCGTCGCTCGGTTTCGCCCGCAGAATCGGGTCGAGATCGAGTCAGGCGGCCAACCCATCGTCAGTTTCGATGGCCAGGATACCTGTACTGTCGATGTGAGTGCTCGGCGCCAGTGCCATGAGGGGAGGAGGAGCGTCCGTGTTTGTTGTATTGTTTGCTGATTGCCTGCTTCACCACGATATCCAGTCTCGCGAGGCGCAAGGGAGCTTCACCTTTGACCGCGTGTTCGACATGTCCTGCAAGCAGTCCGACATCTTCGACTTCTCTATCAAGCCGACTGTCGACGACATCCTCAACGGTTACAATGGCACCGTGTTTGCCTATGGTCAGACGGGTGCAGGAAAATCGTACACGATGATGGGTACCAATATAGACGACGACAACGGAAAGGGTGTCATTCCGAGAATCGTGGAGCAAATCTTTGCCAACATCTTATCCAGCCCAGCCAACATCGAGTACACTGTCCGGGTCAGCTACATGGAAATCTACATGGAACGGATTCGCGATCTTCTAGACCCGCACAACGACAACCTACCCGTTCACGAGGAGAAGAATCGCGGTGTGTATGTCAAAGGCCTGCTGGAGATATACGTCTCGAGCGTACAGGAGGTATTTGAGGTGATGCGGAGGGGTGGAAACGCCAGGGCCGTCGCCGCGACGAATATGAACCAGGAGTCTTCCCGCTCGCACTCGATATTTGTCATTACCATCACGCAAAAGAATGTCGAGACAGGTTCGGCCAAGAGCGGCCAGCTGTTCTTGGTGGATTTGGCCGGTAGTGAGAAGGTCGGCAAGACGGGCGCTAGCGGCCAGACGCTTGAGGAGGCAAAGAAGATCAACAAGAGTCTGAGCGCGTTGGGCATGGTCATCAACGCCTTGACAGACGGGAAATCGTCTCATATTCCCTACCGAGACTCGAAACTTACACGTATCCTGCAGGAGTCCCTGGGCGGTAACAGTCGGACGACACTCATCATTAACTGTTCCCCCAGCAGCTACAATGATGCCGAAACCCTCAGTACGCTGCGCTTTGGTATGCGCGCCAAGTCGATCAAGAACAAGGCTAAGGTGAACGCCGAGTTGAGCCCAGCTGAGCTCAAGATGATGCTTGCCAAAGCCAAGACGCAGATGACCAGCTTCGAAAGTTACATCACCAACCTGGAAGGAGAAATCCAGTTGTGGCGTGCTGGAGAGGCGGTGCCTAAGGAAAAATGGGTATCACCACGTTCACCAGATGGCGTGACGGGGACAAAGGCCGAGGCACGACCAGCAACGGCACGGCCATCCACACCATCTCGGTTATTGCCCGAGAGGACGGGAGCGGAGACCCCCGGTATGTCCGAGCGATCGGGGACCCCGAGCCTGCCGTTGGAGAAGGATGAGCGGGAGGAGTTCCTACGACGAGAAAACGAGCTCCAGGATCAGCTAGCCGAGAGGGAGACGCAGGCGGCCACGATAGAAAGGCAGCTACGCGAGACGAAAGAAGAGATGGTTGTGCTCAAAGAGCACGATGCTAAGATCGGTAGGGAAAATGAGAGGCTGGTTGGCGAGACAAACGAGTTTAAGATGCAGCTAGAGAGGCTAGCGTTCGAGAACAAGGAGGCGCAAATCACCATGGACGGCCTGAAGGACGCGAACACGGAACTCACCGCGGAACTCGACGAGGTCAAGCAGCAGATGCTCGACATGAAGATGAGCGCCAAGGAGACCAGCGCGGTTCTGGACGAGAAGGAGAAGAAGAAGGCAGAGAAGATGGCTAAGATGATGGCTGGTTTCGACCTTAGTGGGGACGTCTTCAGCGACAACGAGCGGTCGGTGGCCGATGTTATCTCGCAAATAGACGCCCTGCACGAGATCAGCTCCGCTGGCGACGTGATTCCGCCCGAGGACCTTAAGACGGTCCGGGAGAAGCTCGTTGAGACGCAGGGCTTCGTGCGGCAGGCCGAGTTGTCGGCGTTCAGCGCAGCGTCTAACGAGGCGGAAGCACGCAAGCGGGCGGATCTCGAATCCCGGCTGGAGGCGCTGCAGCTGGAGCACGAGGACATTCTTTCACGGAATCTAGATGACGCCGATAAGGAGGAGATCAAGGCGATGTTGGCTAAGACGCTATCGGACAAGACAAGCACACAGGTCGAGTTGATCGAGGGCCTCAAGTCAGATCTGGCGGTGCGGGGTACGGAGAACGAGCGGCTCAAGGCGTTGGTGGACGATCTGCAGCGGCGGGTCAAGGCCAGCAGCAGTGGGGCGGTGCCGATGGCCAACGGCAAGACGGTGCAGCAGCAGCTGGCCGAGTTCGACGTCATGAAGAAAAGTCTGATGCGGGATCTACAGAACCGGTGCGAGCGTGTTGTTGAGCTGGAAATCTCGTTGGACGAGACGCGCGAGCAGTACAACAACGTGCTACGCAGCAGCAACAACCGTGCGCAGCAGAAGAAGATGGCTTTCCTCGAGCGCAATCTCGAGCAGCTGACCCAAGTCCAGCGCCAGCTTGTCGAGCAGAACTCGGCTCTCAAGAAAGAGGTGGCCATCGCCGAGCGCAAACTCATTGCCCGCAACGAACGGATCCAAAGCCTGGAGAGTCTCTTACAGGAGAGCCAGGAGAAAATGGCTCAGGCGAATCACAAGTATGCTCACTCCCTTACCCCCTCCGTTAACATTAACATCATACGCACCCCCCCTTATTCTCCTCCACAGAGACTAACACCTCCCAGATTCGAAGTCCAACTGGCTGCGGTCAAAGACCGGCTCGAGGCCGCCAAAGCCGGCAGCACTCGCGGGCTCGGCTCACCCACCGGCGCCTTCAGCATCGGCAGCCGCATCGCGAAGCCGCTTCGCGGTGGCGGCGACTCCGCGGCACCGGCCGGTGCAAGTTCTGGCTCCGCGCACCCGACTGTGGCGAGTCTGCAGCAGCAGCAGAATCCGCCGGAGAGTAAGCGATCGAGTTGGTTTTTCCAGAAGTCGTAATCATAGATGGAGTTATGGCGGAAGTCATGGATTTAGAGTAAGATTGGGATTTGAGAATAGGTTGGGAGAGTTTGCCCTAGATTATTCAAGCGGCAGTGGTTTTGGCAGGGGCTTGGAAGGAAGTAGTCGTTGTGGCGAGGCATGTCGGTGTCATTTTGGGTGTTGGATTGGAGGCTGGGTTTGTCAGGAGGTACAGTAGTCTGCTGGCATTGGTTTTGGGAGGGCGGAGGAAGAGTAAGAAATGAGGAAATGAGAAACCAGAAGGGGAGTGAGGGAAAGAGTGATGCGTGATGGATGTTTTGACTCAAAATATCTGGACGTTTTTCTTGTTGCTGGCATGATCGTCGTTGTTGTGGAGATATATACCCGTTTTCGGGGGTGGATTTGGAATGTGTTTGTTGGTTTGGGAATAGAGTCACTTGAATCGTCATTTACCTTGGTTTGCATACTCTTGTCGCACCAAGTGTCATGTATGACTATGATTGTGTTTTTGATGTCGCTAAACATGAGTGGGCGGGGTGTCGAGAAGTTGAGCCATTCAGGAGTACAAGCCAGTTGCCTGGATAGACAGAACGTTTCACGTAATAAAAAGTTAAGCTCCGGTCAGGCATTAGGGGTTGTTTTCATTCTTTTGAAATTTGATTCCATGAGTCGCTGGTAACAACAGAAACGTATGTTTTGGTGTTTGATAGTTTTGTTAAACGACTAAGCCAGAGTCTTGGTGCAAGGCCATACTGTAAAGCAAAATTGCGCGTAAAACAAGACAGTAAACGAGACTGTGGTGGAAGCCAATTTGCAAGAAACAATTTCCGTCGCTGCTCATTCTGTTTCCGCCGTTTGGGTACAATATTTCTGATCTCAATGTACAGCAAGTTGTTCAAATCACTGAAACATGCGACATCGAACATCTGTTCCGCCCCCATCCCACAGGGTTGGTCGGTATCTTTTCATAGACGTAGAAATGGACAATGTTTGTGTCAAATTTTAGTTCTTGTTGCCAGTGATCGCGGCCGCAATCAAGATCTCGGCGGCCAAGACAAGGCCGAAAACAGAGAAGGCCGCCATGGTGACGAAAAACACCTTGATGCGCAAGAGGTAAATGCGGATCCAGCTGGCGCGGGGAATGGTCTTGATGGCGGCGCCGAAAGTGGCAAAGCCCTTTCCGGTGATGATCTCAGGCTCGACGCGGCCAGCAAAGGACCGGTCAAAGGGAACAAGCGGGTCCTCGTCGGCGGGCAGGAGCGAAGCTTGCACGCGAGCCAACGCAGCGTGGGCGGGAATGACGAAGATTGCCTGAATGCCTAGGGAAAGGCCGGCGACGGCCAGGGCTTTACCGGCGTCAGAACCGCTGGGGGTTTCCCCGGTCTGGAGGTTCAAGCCGATAGCGTAGGCCAACAGGGTTGGCAGGATAACAGACGCCTGGATGGCGGCCCAGAAGAGGAAGGTCGGGAACCAAGTGGCGAGGTAGACCTTGTTGACGGGCGGGATGCGGCTGGAGAACGACTTAGTGGACGGGGCGGTGATGACGACGTGCGTCCAGGTGGTGGACAACGGGGCGGTGCCGAGGAGAGCGAGGAGGTGGCCAACGCTGGAGGGGACGAAAAAGGGGGTGGAGATGATGCCAGTCGCAATTATCACGGCGAGGTTGACCAAGAAGTAGTAGCCAAAGCCGCGAAAGTTGGCGAGCCAGCCGCCGAGCGAGCGGATCAGCCGGTTAGTGGCGCGCAGAGAGGCAGTGATGGGCTGGCCGGGCTGGGCGGTATGGGCGGGTTCGTCGTTGGGCTTGGGGGTTCCGTCATCGTCAATGGGGAGGGCCTCATAGGCGGGGAGGGGGTCCTCCACGGCCGCAAGCGTAGGGTACACATGCGTCAAGGTGTAGGCAGTCTGTGGGCAGGGGTTAGAGGGGTGAAAAGGGTGAGAGAGGATGAGAACGGGTTTCGCGGATTTGAGTCAACTCACGATGAGGAAGATGGGGAGAAAGACGATGAAGTCGGCGGCAAGAATCCATCCAAGGCCGCTGGGACCCTCGTAGTTGGGGGGGTCCTCAACGAGGCGTTTGGCCAACGGGGCACCGAGGGTGAGCGTCGATGAATACATCCTCGACAATGGGAGGCGGAAGCGAAGAGGAAGGCCGGAAACGAAGGGAGAAGTGGTGGTTTTCAAGAGAACGGGAATGAAACGGACAAATGAACGAAAAGAAAGATAAATCACCTCAAAAATGTGTGGAGTGCTCGATGAGAAGAAACAGCCTTCAACCAAACGAGCGCTAGGAGAACGGAGATGAAAGTGATGGATGGGAGTTGGGCGAATTATACGAAACGGGGTCATCTTGTTTGCTGCAGAAGGATGGGGCATTCTGCCTAGCACAAGGCCCTGACAGAGGAGGCACTGCCCCGGCCCCAGTTTTAATAGGTACGCGTGGCGCTACCTACCAATAAAGTTCCCGGACTAGCCGAGAACGTCTGGGTCTGGGCCATCTCGGCCATTCGGGTTGCTTCAGCGCATCTTAACCCTAACCCTTCACCTAGAGTCGGACACCCTTGGCACCGCACATCTCCAACCCAGGTTGGAAGGACGACTGAGTAGAGATTCCAGATCATTTTCCCTCTCTGCCTTGTCCGGCTGTTTGGGGATTATGTTTTTCTGTCGTCTCAGCTAATGTAGTTGCAGGCATCTATCTGCCTTCAAGGCTAGTCTGATGACCCGTGAAGGCACACTGTGGGGCATGTCTTATTCTCTCATTCTCTCATATTCTCACAGTGCGACTCAACTTTACTTCGTACATACCACTTCCTGTAAATTCAGTCGAAACACCCCCCAATTTGAACAATCAGACAATCGGCCGCCAAAAAAGAAAATTAAAGGAGGAATTGACGGACAGAAACCTCATATAGCCACGCAGTCTTCCCCGATTTAGATTCCTCACCAAAAACGCGCCCATGTCGGCGTCCAATATCCCCAACTTGCTCTCTCTGCGGGGAGGCAGAGGCCGGGGTCGTGGCCGGGGTGGGCCAGGCCGAGGTGGTGCCTCCGGGGCCGGGTCCAGTCTAACCCACGACGCCACCATCCAAGGCACCGATACCGATGCTGCTGTCTCCCGACTGAGCGCAGTCGACCTAGGCTATCTCTCGGACCCGTTTGCCCGGCTATTTGTCCAGGGCCCAGCGACACGCCGCTTACCTATCATCAACCGGGGGACTTACACGCGGACAACAGCCATCGACGCCCTTGTCGACCGCTTCCTCGCTAGCACGAACCCAGACGAACCGCGGCAGATTGTATCCCTTGGAGCGGGGACCGACACACGTTGTCCACGCCTCTTCACCTCGCCCCGCAACCACCGCAATATCACGTACCACGAAATTGACTTTCCAACCATCATCGCTCGGAAACAGGCCATCATCGGCGCTACCGGTGCTCTTCGTGCCATTCTTTCCACCCCAGAACAACTCTCACCAACAACCTGGAAAACCAACTCCCTCGTCTCCCTCAGCAGTGATACCAACACGCTGACCCTCCACGGCCTCGACTTGCGCACTCTCACTCCATCCTCTCCGCTGCTCCTCAACTTTCTCCCCACCGCCCCAACGCTCATCCTATCCGAGTGCTGTCTCTGCTACCTCCCTGTCGAGCACACCACGGCCCTCCTCGCGCACTTCACCACCAACCTCTCATCTACGCCACCCGCCACCCCGTCCTTAGCCATTGTCCTCTACGAGCCCATCCTCCCGCACGACCCGTTTGGCAAGACAATGGTATCCAACCTTGCCGCACGTGGTATCCGGATGCCAACACTTGAGGCATTCCCCACGCCCGCCGACCAGGAGGCACGGTTACGTGGGGCTGGGTTTACGGCGACGAGGAGTAGGACCGTTGATGGGATTTGGGATAGGTGGGTGGATGAGGCGGAAAAGGAGAGGGTGGATGGACTGGAGGGTGGACTGGATGAGGTGGAAGAGTGGAGATTGTTGGCGGGGCATTATATTGTTGCTTGGGGGTGGCGGGGTGAAAAGGCAGATCTGGAGGTTGGGGGGTGAGAGCTTGCTTGAAGGCCAGGGGAGAGAGACTGGCAAGGAAGATATTGGAGTCATCATTAAATGGGAAGGGAGCTCCAGGTTTCTCTCTGAGGCTCGCGGTGCGGGGGTAAAAGGCAAGATGGTTAGGGAAGGAACTAGAAGATCATGGACAATGGCGATATGGCCCGGCCACGTTTTTGAACGGGAATTTGTTACACTAGTAGCATTCATGGTAGGTATCCTGGGTTATCGAGCCAATAAAGACTCCGGATACTAATTCCATGGAAGTTGTCGAGGACAAGTGGTTCCGTGATACATACACGTAATTACACATTTGACACCGCAGCTGTATGTTACATAACCGTATAAATTACATGCTTGGCAGGACCCACTGCTCCCTCCACCTACTGCCCCTCCACTCACCCGCACAGCACATGAGCAAGGCGAGCTGACTGCCTGCCGCGTCCACCTACCCTCGCTTTTGCTGTAGACGGGAGCCTAGTCCATCGTCGGTTTGAAGCCCAGCTTAATATCTCCTCTCAGAGAAACATCAACATCCCATATCCCCAGGTGTAGAAACGATCGAATAACTTATTGCCCAACATGCCTCCTCCATCCACATTCGTGGTACGTCACGTCCTAGCTAGCTACCCACCTATCTCAACATCCACCATCCTCACTCACGCTATCCATCCATACCCCTTTTTCATAGCCCTCCTCCCCCCCAAAAATAAACGAAAGAAGCCCAACTCGGTTGTAAGAGCGTTATTGATAACCCTTTCCTAGCCCAAACTCAAAGTCCAACTCAAGCTCGCCATCGCCCGCCTACGCATGGTCCAAAAGCGTGATGAGGCCCTCGCCAAAACCCAACGCCGCGCTATGGCAACACTCCTCGAGCAGGGCAAAATCGACTCAGCTCGCATCCGTGTCGAGAACATCATCCGCTCTGACGTCACCACCGAGCTGCACGAGATCCTCGAGCTGTACTGCGAGCTGCTCCTAGCCAGGGCCGGGTTGTTGGATACCTCTTCCGCGGCTGCTGGGGGGCCTGGCGCGGGTGCGGGCGCGGTCGGGTGTGATCCTGGTCTGGAGGAAGCCGTCAAGAGCATCATCTATGCGGCCCCACGGACGGAGATTAAGGAGCTGACTACCGTGCGCACGTTGTTGGCGGAACGGTTCGGCAAGGAGTTTGTCCTACAGGCGATGGAGAATGAGGGCGGTGGGGTGAGTGAGAGGGTGGTGAAGAAGTTGAGTGTGACGCCGCCGCGTGAGGAATTGGTACAGGGGTACTTGGAGGAGATTGCGAAGGCGTATGGGGTTGATTGGCCACCGGGGAGGCGGGAGAAGGAGAAGCTAGGAGAGGCGCCTGAGTTTGTGGACGGGGAAGAGGGAGGAAATGGTGAGGAAAGTGATGGGGAAGGAGGGGGTCAGAGAGCGAAGCAGCAGTTGGAGGCGCCGTTGTCGGGGGAAGCGGAAGGGGATGGGGAGGCTGATGCGAGAGCACAGCTAAGCAAGGCCACGCCGCCGAAGGACTTTGGCCCTGCAAGCCCGCTGCATGTCAACCCGCCGAGCGCGACGACAGATAACATTCACCCGAAGGTGACGCTCAACAAGGTGGAATTGACACCTACGAAGAAGCCGGTTTCCGCTCCGGTTAACAGGAAACCGGCGGAGAAAAAGCCGAGTATTTCAGACGGCATTCCTGATGTTGATGAGTTGGCGAAGAGGTTTGCGGCGTTGAAGAGGTAGACAGTATGCCGGAAGGGGTATGGTTCCGGAGATTGAGAGTTTGCCTTGCGAGTACCAGTGTGGCATTTGTGGACGGGTTTTGGAATTGGAGTCTAGTGTTTTGGTACTAAGGTTTCTCGAAGTTGACTCCAACATCAATAAGCAAGAAACTTGAAAAATCGTTTTACCCGAGTTCGCACTGCTTGAAACGCCTCGCCGTGTATTCTGGTACGCCCCTTTTCATGCTCGGGATGCGTGATAGGGCTGGGGTAAAATTCTTACGGCAGGTGGGTATCGAATTCAAAAAAGGAGACTAACTATAGGAGGACAGGACTGACTTGCGTCCTAGGAAGTGTCAGAAGTGGTCCACGTCTCAACTACTCCATCACTGGGAAGCCTAGCATGGCGTTAAGATGTTGGAACCCTACATGTATATATGGGTTAAATGGGCGACCACTACGTCGCTCGCTCGTTATCCCATCTTATTGCACTTTTTGTCCCATTGTCTCTCTCACTATTCTTCTACCTATGCGCTGGCTCTATTCCTTCCAGCCCACACCAACGTCATTCACGGTGTGAATGAGGACTTGGGAGTGTCAGCTCCTAAAAATGCACATAGCCTCAGACAAGAACCAGTTTACCCCTTGTTCCAAACCAAATCGGCGTTGTACAGCTCCTGACACAATCTGATAAAATCAAATCGCTCTTATCTATCTGCCATCATATGCGTAGTCATAAAGGTGAACATTGCTACTGTGGAATCCATGGAAGTTCCCTAGCCGGCACACAGGTTAATAGAAAAGAAGGAAATATGGCCTATTGTAACTTGACAAAAGAAAAAGAACGCATGTTCGAAGAACACATACATAACTCCAGCGGTTTTGTTAAGATTCAAACAAAGGTGCCTTTCAACTACACCCTTTCTCTTCTCCTGGCATCTGAAGGGTTCACGAACACTGACATTTGTTCGTGTCTGACCACCATATCGGCATACATCGCTTGGATGCAACCTGAGACTCAACGATCGTAATTACGCCAGACGAAAGAGCACATTCTGGGATGCTATGCCGTGTATTCCCATACGGACCCGCCACAACACTGGTTGCGCCTTCCCGGAGAGACTCTGAACTATTGAATTTGCTTTGACCCGCGAGATTTCATTCCGATCAAGTTCCCGGAACCCCCCCACTGCCTTTCTTTCCACAATCCCTTCTCCTCCGCTCATACATCTGGCGGGTAGCCTTCCTTGCCGAACTTCTCTCAACCTCTTAACCCCCCCCCCCCGAAGCGTAACACCTTTCGGGGCCATCATTCCCCTTTTTTGGCGTCTACAGCGCGAGTGTGCTGGCGGTCTTTTTTGGGCCAACGGCTAGACCGATTTTATCGCGATTATCACTTCATTGCTTTCCCTCCTTCCAGTCCCACCCATTTCTCTACCCCTCGGGTATACAAGCATCTTATCTTCCCAATCGGATTCGTTCCGAGGAAGCTCGTGTCTTCCAGTGCGTTCATGATGGGACACGTAGACAAAATCGAGCAGGCCCTCAAGAGCCTGGGTGTCCCGGGCGTCAATGGTGTCTCGTTGGCACATCTTTCGGGGCATCTACGCAGGCTTAAGCCGTCCGACATGACCCAACGCCAACTCCTTGACGTGTATATTCTATGGCTACACCGACGCCTTTTGAATATCGATTCTTCGGCGGCCGGCGACTTGTCTCGGGAGGTCGCCGACTGGCATCGGTTTATGAGGACTTTGCCCGCCGAGGATGGACGTATCCTCGAAGCATTGCGCCACTGGAAGAGCGCTGATCAAGTTGAAACCGGATCCAATTCACCGAGGCTCGAGTTCGCTGAGATTGAGTTGACGAGGTTGTCGATGCCGTCACTCAAACACCAAACCCCGAAGTTAGAGAGCCGCTTCGGTCAGATGCACCCTGACAGAGCCATGATGTCGCCCAACGCTGCGGCTGGCATTGACGGTGGCCATGATGGCGACGATGATGATGGCAGCACCGCCTTAGCCCTTGGCAGCAAGTTGACGAGGCACGACAAAAACCCTCCCGGACAGGACTTGTCGTTTCTAACAGGATCCAACACGCTGCCTATGAGAAAAAAGGCCAAACCTGCTCGAAACAAAGCTTGCCATGGTCCGAAGTCAAACGGCGTTTCCAAGTTGAAGGAAAACAGCAAATCGAAGTTGTCGGGGCAGGACAAACTAGCGCTGGAATCCGGCTCCACGGCACCCGTTGCCTCGATGAACCAAGAATATACTGGTCCTGGCACTGTTCCGGAATCGTATGTGTGTCGGCGCTGCTCTCAAATGGGTAAGTTTAATGGCTGTTTGGTATATCACATCTAGGACGCAGTAACTGACGATGTAAGGTGATCACCACGTGCGAGACTGCACAAACAAGGGGGGTGCTCCCCCCGAGGACACGAAGCCTAACCGCCCCTGTGGCGGTTGTGGGAAGAAGAATGCGTCTCGCACGAAAAGATGTCCCATGAAGCCGAAACCCAAAGCCGAGCAAGGGAATAATACCTCTTCCCCTGACCAGGGTTCGATCAGCAAGACTTTCCTCGCCCGGGATAAGGGTAATCAGCAGAACCGCGATGAGCCCCTCGAGAAACTATCTCGACTCCGTATTTCACCGGCGCTAAGTGATACTCGCAAACGACGGGCATCTCCTCCATTATTCCCCGCGGATAAGGGCGTCTGGAAGAAGAAGTATCGCACCTCAAACCCACCGGGCGAGACGGCGGCCATGACTTGGCTAGGCGTACAGGATGATGGTACCATTATCCAGCCATCGAATCCTAACGAAGGGCGGCTTTCCTATGACGACGATATTGATCCCAATTGGCCGCAGTCATCGCCTGGTCGTGTGAAGGGGGACGCCTCCGTGTCGGCCAACATCGAGGTGGATCCTTCAAAGGTGTTGTCCACTCAGGATAACAAGAGCACCGCTGTTAACCCTCGTAAACTTTCCATACCCCGCTGGAAGATACTGAAGGAAAAGTTGCTTGCTCAACGCCATGAGCGGTTCAAGGCCGGCCTGTCAGTAATGATCCGGGAGGAAAGTCTCAAGAGGGATCTCATTCTGGTTGTCGACGGCGTGGAACACTACCCCCTCAAGGACCCTTTTCTAGACGAGTTCTTCCGTCGACAAGACACAATTTGGGTCAACAAAATTCTCCAGACGAAGCGGCTCCGTGCTACGGATTTCTACGAAGTCGATGATTGGGACTCAGACTTGGAATCGAGAGAGAGCGGGGAGATATCAGATGACCCGGTGGAAGACCAGTATTCTACTGCCTGTGCCGACGTTTACATGGGTGATGCTGAGTTCTCACCAGCTGCCGCCATGGGCGGTTTGACGGGTGGCCACCAGGCGACACAACGGAGTGACGATGATCTTGCCACTGGAAACACCGCTAGCGGGTTCTGCTAGTGGCCAATCAACCAACACTGTTGCGGCCATAGGCTAAGATACATGTCGGTTTCCCGGGGGCGTAGAATGATCCTCGGGCGATGCTCGACTCGAAGTTCACATTGGGTCCTTGTGGGCTTATCAGTGCACTTCTGTGTACTTTCCCACATCGTCCCTGAGAAGTATCTTGCTCATTTTGGGAGCACAAGATACCTACTTATGCCGCGGCGAGTTACGGCCCAGGAGCCCAGTTCACTGTTTTTGCGCCCCGGTACATATCTTGCCTGTTTCTTCTTCAGAAACGTGCGTTGTGTTCTGGCGCCTGGACGGGGTGGATGAACCCCACCTCTTGTCACTTTTCTTGGCTTCTTGCTTCAAACAGTAATCATACCTGCGGCGGCGGCCGGAGGGGGTGAACGGGAAGAAGCTTGGTTGTCCCACGGTGTCGGAGAGTTACTTTAGCGAGGGAATCCCCAGGGTATTCACACGTGGCATACCCGCTGGTTTACTGTTGATATTTGTAATTAGAAATTGTAGATACTGTTGCTGTTTGTAGATTGGCTAACTGACAAAGCCTGTTCTCAACATTTGGGACCGGGAGTTGGTGAGTGCTGAATTCCTAACTGCCACCCCCCCCGTGTTGTGTAGGTCCATCCTGCCTATTCAGAGTGGTTTGGGATTCTGGGAACATGCCCCACGGAATAGCTCGCAGCGGCTCCTCTCTCCTTTATACTCATGAGCGTGTTTAAGTCACGTTTGTGGACCTCGGTGTGCTAGCTGGCGTAGCGGTACTCCGGGTGTCACTCCCATGTATGCTGCTCAACTTATTGCCGAATCATATAGAGCGCATTGTCCCCCCGAGGTTCGGTCCCTCCCTTTCCAATGTTCGCTCGGCCGAACGCCCGTCAGTTCCCAGTTTCCTGTGCCCGGTGTTGTGTCATGCGCTCCTGGTGTATGGCTCCGCGACACGCGTATGCGTTCATCGACCGATGGGAAACACAACTTCTCGTACTCAGCCCCGAGGGGCCTTAAGCGGCCAGGCGATCTATCCTGATCCCCGAGCAGCATGAAGCAACATCCCAACGCCATACTCCTTTGACCATCCACATATTCTTCCCCCACCCCATTCACTCCAACTTATCCAAATGTTCCAACCTGGTTAACACCACCTGCTTACTCGTCTCCTCAATCTCCCCAGCCAGAAAAACCTCATCCAGAATGGCATATACCTTGTAAAAGTTGAACACCAGGTCCAGCTCGCACACGTTGCCGAAGAAGGCGTCGAGCACCTCAACGAAGAAGTGGATCGCCTCGAGATAGGCGAGCTCGTTGTCGTTGGTGTCGACACACGCGCAGAAGAAGAGACCCGCGTACCGCCGGTAGACGACCTTGTTGTTGCGGAACTCGACGAAGTTGGACTGGTACTTTTGGTCGCGCGGGGCGACGAGGCGGTGGACCTGGATAGAAGGGGGCACGGTTAGTATTGGGATTGGATCTGGGTTGGGAGGAGATGGACAGCGGGGTTCCCGGGAATGTTTCGTCGTACCTCGCCTTTGACCTTGATCTTTTCGTCGTCGCTGTAGGGGACGTACCACTTGGCTAGGCGGGTTTTGCCTCTGTGCAAGCGAGAGTTCCAGGTGTTAGCAAGCTGTCATTGGTTCCTGGTCGGATTTAGTGGAGGGGAAAACATACTGCCGATTCTGAATAAGGATAAACGACAACATGGCGACTTCCTAACGGTGCGGAATTGCCCGCGGCGTTGTTGTCGTTCTCGTCCTGTTTTGGTCGCGATGCGCTCGGCTGCCGCGGTACGTTACGTGAGATGGATGTTGAAGTCGCGATTGTCTTGGTCGTCCACGGGCAGGGGTTCAAATGGGTGATTGGGATGCGTTTGATGAAAAAATGAGGGTTAGGGTTAATAGTGAAATATGTCTCGGTGCCATCAAGGTGCACACAGGCGCCAAGTCTGAGGGTTGTAGCTCAGTTTCGGTGCGGGATGTTTTTTTTCCCCCCTCGGAACGTAACCAATACTAGTTGGATCGCAAAATAGTTGTGGGAAAATCCTGGTATCCAATATGTACGAGCCACCGCATGACAACCCTCAGCCTTGAACGAATTCAAGCTGCTCCCCGAGTTCAGTCTAAATCTGCTCCAAACGCCAAATGCAGTTGCAACCCCATGCCCAACGCCACGTTTCTTCTCTCAGTCCTTCCTATAATACTGTCCGGCAACGTATTGCAGTCTAGTCCATGCTCTGCCTCGATATTCCTATTAGATTCCTCTCGCGTCCATCTCTACAACCCCCGCCGCTTCCCATATCAACCTAAGCAATCTCGGAACGGATGTTTCTAGTGGATGCTTCCGCCGGGTGTCCCTAATCCTCAGCGGCCCCTTTCCCTTCATCCTTCAACCGCTCCTGATACTGCCGCCGGATGGTCGACAGCGTGACCAAAATTCCAACCCCGCACGCCCCCAGCGTGACGAAGTAGGCATCCCGGTAGCAGCTCAGTCCATCGGGGCAGAACCACTCCCCATTCGGACCCGAGATGCTGTGACTGTCGTAGATGACGCCGTAGAGCAGGTTGAAGATGTTGCCCGAAATGACAGGGCTGAGGGTCATGAAGCCCCAGTTCTGGCTCAGGCCGTTGATGCCAAAAGATTCGGCCACGATAGAGGGGAAGACGCCAAATAGGAAACCATAGCCGAGGCCGGAGAGGCCAGAGACGAAGCCGAGGAAGTTGGGGTTGGTGATATTGATGGCGCAAACCTGGGCGATACAGAAGACGAAACAGGCGACGACGAGGCACCAGGCGCGGTTAGCGTGCAAGGATTTGACCAGGAAGTCAGACCCGACACCTGAAGTTGTTTAGTTCGGTTACCATGATTGAGGAGGGGAAAGAGGGTGAATGTGGCTCACCACTCAATAATCTACCAGCGAAACTGGCAACAGACAAAATGGAGACATGCATCTGCTGGCGATGGACGAGGAAGGATTCGTCGACGGAGCTGTCGTAACGTTCCCAAAGGGCGATGACGTCGTGACCAATGTTGCTGTATTTTGATTAGCACTAGGAATCATTGCAGAATCGATGAAGAACACTCACTTGATAGTCATAAGCCCAATACCCGCAAGAATACCCATAATCGAAAACAGCTGCCAAAAGTCGAGGCTGCGGAGCAGACGCCAGCCGCGGATATCTACACGACGGGAGCGATCCAAATCAACACTGTTCTGGACAAAGACCTCACCAGCCACGGACGAAGACGAGGACTTGGACACCAGGGACGACGTCTCGTCGGCCTCGTTATCACCCTCCGCGACCGTGACTTCGTGGGAACCGCTGCCCTTGGGGGCGGGTTGGGTGAGGGCCGCCTCGACGTCGGTCTGCTCATGCCGGTGTGCGAAGGAGTTTTGAGAGGAGGAGGATTCGGCCTCGGCGGGGGCGGGGGCGGGCGTCGTGTAGGTTGTGGGCGACGTACCGGGTTCTGCATCAATAGACCGTCGGCCACCCGGGCGACGAGCAGCTTTGGCCTCCTCGGAAATTGTGCGCTGCAGTAATTGCGAATCGGCCAAGCCAGCACTAGTGGGTAGGCTCTGGTATGAGCTATGTGGATAGACTTTGAGGAAGAAGAAGCCAACAAAGGTCATGATGAAGGTTCCAGCGGCCAGAAGCGTGAGAAACGCTCCGGTATCACCGGGGAAGAAGACACCGCCGCATAGTGAAAAGAAGAAGGCGCTGAGTCCGAAGGCGGCGAGGGGAAAGGCAGTAGCGGTGCCTCGGTGGTGAGGCCAGTTCAGAGCAGAGGTTTTAACGGAGGCAGCAAAGGCCATGCAGCCTCCGAGACCAGTGAGGAAACCAAAGATGCACAAAACAGCGACAGAACCCGAGCCGGTTTCGAAGGCGGTTCGGAAGGGGAGATAGCCGAGGCCGAGGAGGATGGAACCAGCGATGACGGCCGGGCGGGGGCCGCGGTGGTCGACAAACAACCCGACGGGAACACCCAACGAGTACATGCCCATGTTGCCGGCTAGACCTATCAAGTTGGCCTCGGTGGTGGTGAGATGGAGCTTATCGGCGAACTGCGGCGCCCAGGCAGAGTAGACATAGTTGGTGCCGCAGGCAAGTGAGATGACGACGGCGGCCACGCTCGACACCAGACGGGCACGGTGAAGGGCGACGTCCCTCATGGTGGCGGTGTCTGATTTCGATAGGAATGGATAATTGGTGATGAAAGTTGGAAATGGGGGCGGCGAGCGATGCGGTCGGCTTATCAGAGAAAACCAAGGGGCAGCTTCAGCGGTGATTGCGGCATCCCGGCTCAGGGGTTCCTAACAGAAATCGTGCGGTGGGAAGGCACGGTTATGAGAATCACGTTATGTTCTATTGCGAGGGCGCAACTTCATCGCGATATAAAATGGGATTTGAGGATGGGAAGGACGGTGAGAGAGTAGAAGACAGTGTGTGTGATGGATGGATGTCAAGTGCAGAGCTTCGGGTGAGCTGCGAGTTGATGGGTTTCAGAGGCCTTGGCACAGGTCCGGGGCCGGCCTGAACCCCGGCTCTCAGCAAGCTCCGAGTCTTGGCCCTCAGGCCCAGGCTGACAGTTTGCTGCTGAAAGCGGGTCTCGGTTGGTGCCGCGCTCTTGGCTCTGCGTTATCGATGATTCGTGGATCGGGGGCTGGGCATCGCCCGTGGCATGGGGAGGTGGGAGCGCAGGATGCAGGGGTCAGGCGACAGCGGGATCTGACTGCTTTCACGAGAACCAGCCTGATAAGATGGTTGGGGGATGACCTTTTGTCTCGATATGAAGCGTTGAGGGAAATCGTGATATTGGAGGAACTATGGAGACGTTCGAATGAATGACACACGAATTGGAAATAAACGGTGCAGCCAAGCAAAGAGGACCATGCGATTACCTAACCTCCAAGCCCATCCGGCCCTTTGTCGCTCGGCGCAAAACAGACCCTCCAACCCACGTGACTGGGCCGACGGGCTTTGAGTGTCTTGGCACTGCGCGGATCTGGGCCACTTCCAGCCGCCCTCCATCGTCATCCTGTTGGCGCAGCCTTGATTCGCCTCAAGACGTCGTCCAAACGTCCAACTCCAAACTCCAAACACCGACGACCAAGCTATCAAGTACCACCGCCCATTACTTCGCCCGGGCCGTAGGTACTAGTGTCTATACGACATCATTTCGGGCGTGTTTATATCGTATTCCACAACCCCAGTCGAACCTACTCGTCCTGGAAATCGGCCGCGGCCTCGACAACCGTCGCGATGGGCGCTCTCCTCTCGATCCCGCTGATGGCGGTCCCGAGCATGGGCACCGTATGTTGTTTCTCGGCTTGTCCCGAAAGTGAATGTCTGCTTACAGTCTCTAGCTGCTATCGTTCGCCGCTAGCTGTTGCGGCGCTGCGACATGCTCCATGGTTTGCAGCGCATGTGGGAAATGCGGCAACAGGTACATACAAGGGCCCCCTCATGGCCGTGACAATGTCATCGTCGCAGGCACCCACTAACACCGTTTCCGCAGTGTCGCGACCCGTATCGGCTACGCCCTCATTCTCCTCATCAACTCCATTCTCTCGTGGATAATGCTCACAAAATGGGCGATCGAAAAGCTGCAACACCTCATGCTCGACTACGTCAAGATAAAATGTGGCGACGGCAACTGCTACGGCTGGCTCGCCGTCCACCGCATCAACTTCGCTCTCGGAATCTTCCACCTTGTGCTCGCTGCCCTCATGCTAGGCGTGCAATCCTCCAAGAACCCACGCGCCGCCATCCAGAATGGATACTGGGGTCCCAAAATTATTGCGTGGCTGGGTCTGATCGTCGTTACCTTCTTCATTCCAGACCCGTTCTTCCAGTTCTGGGGCAACTATGTCTCCTTGGTGTGCGCCATGCTGTTCTTGATCCTGGGCCTTATCCTGCTCGTCGACTTGGCCCATAACTGGGCCGAATATTGCCTCACGCAGATCGAAGATTCGGAGTCCAAGACATGGCGCGTCATCCTGATCGGCTCGACTCTCGGCATGTTCCTCGGCTCCATTGCCATGACCATCATCCAGTACATCTTCTTTGCCTCGGGCGGCTGCTCTATGAACCAGGCCGTTATCACCGTCAACCTGCTCCTCTGGATCGCCATCTCCGTCATCTCAGTCCACCCCACCGTCCAGGAACACAACCCCAAAGCCGGCCTCGCCCAGGCCGCCATGGTTGCCGTCTACTGCACCTACCTGACCATGTCCGCCGTCTCCATGGAGCCCGACGAGACCGAAGACCACCGCTGCAACCCGCTCATCCACGGCCAGGGGACCCGCACCACTACCATCGTCGTCGGCGCCATTGTCACCATGCTCACCGTCGCTTACACCACCACCCGCGCAGCCACCCAAAGCCTCGGCATGGGCGCCAACCGCTCGGGTCAGATCCGTCTCTCCGATGCCGAAGGCGACTACGAGCACGACCTTGTCACGCAGCAACCCTCGGCCCGTAAGCAGATGCGCGCCGAAGCCCTCCGCCGTGCCGTCGAAGAAGGCAGCTTGCCCGCCGATGCTCTCCTCTCCGACGACTCCGACGACGACTCCGTCCACGGCGGCGGCTCAGGTTCCCGTGAGGACGACGAGCGCTCCAGCACGCAGTACAGCTACGCCATGTTCCACATCATCTTTTTCTTGGCCACCGCCTGGGTGGCCACGCTGCTGACGATGGACTGGGACGATGACCGCCGGCGGGACGATGATTTCGCCACGGTTGGACGCACGCTGTGGGCTAGCTGGGTCAAGATTGTTAGTTCGTGGGTGTGCTATGCCATGTACACTTGGACTTTGATCGCGCCGGTACTGTTGCCGGAGAGGTTTGAGTTCGAGTAATGTAATGAGGAACGTGTGGGAATAAGGGTGGGTAGGTTGGATGGTGAGATGAGATGATACCCGATGTCCGTAAGCATGGGGGGCCGTGGAGTAGGAGAGTGAGAGGGGCATGGAGCAAGGTTCCGGGTGTTTTCTTCCGGGTATAGGGCGGATTAGCGGTTTGGTTTGTTGGGTTCATCATCGGCTGGCGTTTGTTTCCCTGTCTCTCTCTTTCTTGGCGTAGTTACCTACCTAGGCGCAAACCTTTGGATTACAAATTCCCACTTGTCTCGCGTCAGTTGTTCTCGCCCTGCAATCTCCCGATATGCGAACCTGAATAAAAAAGCTCACCGGGCATCATGTGGCCGGTGACGAAAAGATTCACCGACGGAGATCTTGCTCCCACGGGTTGCCTGTCATCCTGCCCTTGTTGTTTCGGTCCCAGTATTGGGTCTTTGGTGCTGGTCATCCCTGCGGGCTCCCGGGCCGGTAAGAGAGATATAGATTAAAGAATTGGGCCAGTAAGCTTTGCGGCATTTGGGTCTCGAGTGAGGATGTCACAAGGGACGGGGAGGGGGGGCGGAGATGGAAGTCTGGCTACTGTAGCCGAGCTGAAGAGATTGTTTGCTTCGTTGCATGAGGCTGTGCATGGTGCGTGGCTGGGTAAATGAGATTTGTGGTGGTCGGTCGGTCAACTGAGCTAACACAAGAAGGTAACATTCGTTTTAGGAGGTCTCTTGCCGTCACAGAGTAGGTCTCCGGTCCTATGAGAAGGAAAGGTCTCATGAAATGCACGAATGACCTCGATGTTCCATCTACGCCGTGACTAAACAGCCGTTTCCCCCTTGGCGAGCCCGATTTGTCAGTCGATAAGCGGGCTGTTCTACCTAGTAAGATGACGGCGGGAGGATACATCGACCCCAGAATAGATGATTACTCGCTCTAGGTTTCGTCCCCATCTCTCACACGGGAGGCTGCTGCCCCCGGGCCGTAAACCCTGATGATGTGACACGTTGCTCGGGTACGGTACGCGAGATGGGATCTGTCAAGCCCCGTGGGTAGCGGTTGGCGTTTTGGGGGCCGAGAGAATACGGGAGTGAGGTGGAGGTTAGTTCGTGGGGGGTTAAGACATGAGCGGGACGTGATTGTCCCGTTGAAGGCGGTGTAAAGGTTCTAACTAGTAGTCTTGTGGAAGTGAGAGGTCTCGTGATTTATTGACGTCACCTTACTTGTAGTTGAGTTTTCTTTGTGATGGACAATGAAAAGAGGGACTAGATGGGCAGATAGGTGTGGGGGTCGAGTCCTGAACGCGAGTTGATTCTCCTGATCACCATGCTGCGACCTTTGCTACTCCCTCCACCATCGCCGCAGTAGCGGCTGAGTACCCAATAGTGCATCCCATATGCCCCTCTCGCTTTTCCGAGCTTGCCGTCGTTCTCCCCTCGAACTCTCTTTTTCTTCTTCCCCAGCCCTTCAACCGGACCCCTAACCCCATGTCCCGTTTATCGGGTCTTTCCTGCGTTGTTCCTTCATGTCCACTTGCAGCTGACTTCTCCCACGCCCCTTTCCCGAGTCGAGTCGAGCCAAGTCAGTCAGTTGTCTACCGCTCTAATTACGCCCACGGTCCCTCTCCTACCGCGTGACCCTCACGATGTCGCTTTGTCGCCCGTCGCTGTCGTTAATGAGACGTTACATTGCTGCTTGCATGGCGTAGTGCAACTCGAGAGAGCCAATTCCTGACCTGCTGAGTGTGTAGCGGTCAGGGAATTTCCGTGGGCACCATCCAGTCGACCGCCATCGTGGGTGGGAAAAGCGACAACACCAAAAAAAGGTTGTTTGATATACATACCGCGTGGCTGAAACCCCGTCTTTCCCGGTCGGCCGACCGATCGGGCCTTGCCGATAAAGCAGGCGCCCTTCCGGGCCGAGGAGTAAGAAACCCACTATTCCCCGGGTACTGATCCCTTTCTACGCCCACGGCTGCCCATGGGCAACGAGGGCTCGGGTGGTGTTTGATCTCGTCACACAGACGAGGGGGTCTAGGCTGGGATATCCCTCCTCCGCTTTGCTGTTGTGCTTGTGGTTTCTGGTGTAACCATATAGCATAGAGCTCCCCGTGCCGACCCGTAGCGATCCTTCACTCCGAGGGGCTTCGCGGCCTACCATTTCTCTCTCGATGTTGCCGATGTCCCCCGATGCGCGTGGGTGTTGTCGATGCCGTACAGGCGATGGGGGCTCGTGCTACTTGTGGGACTCGTGGTACCCGTGGGACTCGTGGGATTCGTCGACGCTGTGTAAGTAAGCCCAGACTTTTTGCAAGCCTCAAAAGGCTCTTGTTGGTCGAATCCCCGGCAGACGTCAATGCATGGTTTCTTTCTCTCTCTCGGACGCCCCGAGACCGAGACAAGAAAGACACTGAGACATTGACATGAAGCAAGTCAGGAAGAGGGAAACGTTGGTGTAACCACGCTTTTGGTATGTATTGCCTACGCTTCAAGTTCCTTGGACGGACGGAGGGAAACTAGCTGGCCCATTCTGGGGTCGCCTTAGGCTCTGTCTTGTACGACCGCCAAACGAAACTATTCGGCACCTAAAGGGAAGTCTTTCCCTCTGCGGGCTTTTTTTCCCTGTGCGTGGACGTGGCGCTACGGTGATGAGACAATGCCGGAATGATATGAGCAAGTCTACATACAACTTGATCAACGTCGGCGCTGAACGCCCACCCTGCAATGCTAAAGAAGTCAGTCAACCTAAGACGATTCTATGCGAAATAAGGAAAAAAAAAAGGGGTAAAAAAGGGGGTTTGTCGAGAGATTCTCCAACAACAAAAAAGGGAAAGTTTCATTTTCCTCTCATCCTTCCCTTCGTTGACAACACAACTCTAAGCGACCCAACTGATCGACTGACTGACTGACCGAATCAGGGGGCATAAACTCATCGGGAACCTGCAGCAGCACTGGCCGCGCCAAGTGCAAGTCGGAACGGAAGCCAGCGCATCGCATCTCCCACACCTTTTCTCTAGCTTCCTCTCGAGCCGACTCTCCTCTCTCTCGCTGCCTTGGAATACCATCACTCACCCCCACTCCACACTTTTGTCGACTCTTTCCTTTCTAACGGCGGAGTCCCCACGGCTCGGTCACACTGTCTTATGTCAACCTCCTGTGTAACAGAATAACGCGCGGAACGTTGATAGAATAGACGCGCGGATCCCGTCCCGGTATCCGGAGAGGCGATGGTCGAGTGGCATTCGGGTTAGGTGGTGAACAGGGGGGGTTGTGGGAGGGCTGAGTGGTAGTCCTGAAGAGCGGAATGACGGAGAAGCAAACAGGCATGACAAACGGCTGGCCGCCCGCCCACCCACGGGAAATCAACCGTCGCTATCTTGCAGCCGCAGAACCTGGGGAAATCGGATGATGGGTAGGGTGTGTGGTGGACCAGGGGGTTGGTTGGAGGTCGAGTTAGCGTGTTTGTGTGTGTGTGTGTATGTGGTGTGTGAGCTAACGTGGCCGGCACAACGGGCCTCGGAGGAATTCGGGCCACCCGTATGGTTGGCTGCTTGGTACGAAGTACCTAAATTGGTTGATTTCTGTGCCCAGGGCTGCTGCTGTCGGGATATCTCGCTGCGGGACGGGGGGTCTTGGGGGCCAGCCCATCGCGTGCGCTGAGCAAGGGGGAAGAAAGGGGGGACCGGACAAAATACCTCTTCCCCCATCCCCCCTGGCTACGTCTGCATCATGCAAGCGCAAACGGAGAAATTACCACAGAAAGCATCCCACTCGCTAACCTGCGGACTCACAAGCCGCGGCATTATCGTCCAACCGGTGAAGAAGAGCAGACAGAGTTGCGTAAACCGTGAAGGGAAGATCAATGGCATATTACACGGCGCAATGCAGCCCTTTCCCAGCCGCAGCTAGGAGGAGAGGTAGCTTAGTTGGTTTTCTGGTTATTGATGGTGATGCGATGCTGATCATGTCGCGCACGCATGCGTGTGCGTGTGTGTGTCTGTGAGTGGACGGTTGAAAGCAAACAAACAGAAGCATGGGGCGGCGCAACGGCCGGAGACAATTACTCAGGGAAGGGGGCAGGTGGGGGAGGGTAATAAGTGGTAGGGCGAGAGGCGGTAACGGCGGTAAGGGGGCGGCGGCCAGGGGATTGTAGAAGATCAGGGGGCTCGGGGGGTCCAGGGGCAGGGTGAAGGGGAGTGGGAGGGCGCTTCGGCCGGAGCAATCGTGGGATCAACTGCGGATGGTGACGAGGTGTGGTTGTACTGCACCGTCGTGGGAGGCGGGTTCTTGCTCGATAGATGGGGATATTGATGAGCGTTAGAGATGGCCGGTCTTACTGGCGGTGGCCGCTTGCCCACTACGCTGGACGTTGGCCGTGATCTCCTTGACCAGTACGCCGGCGTCGAACTGTTCTGGGAAATACGATGGACGAGGCATGTCTGATCTTGACAGGAGTGAGTTGTAAGGTGTGTACTACCGGCACTGGAGTTCCGGGATAGTATGACTGTATGTAGCCAATATGTAGGTAGAGTCGAGACGATGCAGCAGGCGCGCGGACGGATGGACAAGGGAGCGCGGAATGGTGTAAGCCAAGCAAGGTTGGCTAGATACGCGAAGAAAACCGAGCACGAGGCCGGGACGGGCCACCCACCACGGTTTCTTCGGCCATCAGACCCAGACCGCCTTCATCCTACGGGGTGATTTCCTGAGCGCCACGATATGTACAGTACCTACACCCTGCAGGGGTGAGCTACGTACCTATCTTCATAACCCTGCCACAATAAGTAAGTAACTGGCTCGGCATCTGACCTGCGGGGGGTCGGCGAGGATAGGCCCTATGGAGCGCTGACATTGTGCAGCGCAGCAAGCATGGGACGGGCCGGAGCGTGAGAGACAGGGTGCCCCTTCTATTTCTCGTTTGACCACCAGAAACAGGATGAGTTGGTCGTGGCCCATCCTTGGTAGCGGGATATCATCCAGCGAGTCGACCAGGGTAAGAGACCAGCACAAGAAAGAGATATATAAACTGCGTGACCCCATTGCTACCACCACACCAAGTGAACGCACTCTCTTCGACCCAGCTATCATCCTCCACGGTATTCTTCCCTCCATGTGCTAGCCCACCGCGACCACCGCGATACCTTCAACGCCCCGACCAAGTATGCCCCACAGCGTGAGAGACATTGAGACTGGGAGCAAGGGTATCCATCAAGCAGTGTTAGTTACACCCTTTCTTTTGTGCCCGGATATCATATGGCCTGATGCTAGTGACAAGTGCTGACCCTTCGCTGCAGAGACCATTCCGGCCCAACTTCCTCTCCGGCCAAGTCCGGGGATGGCGCTTCTTCGCAGCAACCACCGATGCTGAAAGCGTGGACCGACGAACTCAATCCTCATGAATTGACGATCACCGAGTCCTTCTTTGTTAGTGGCCTAGTCAGGTAAGCACCGGCCGTGAGCAAAGTGAGGCCGAGAAGCCGAAAAGCCGAGAAGCTGACTCTCAAGGCAGCCGTGCTGGGGCTAGAGCCACCGAGGCTGGTCAGGGCGGTCGTGCTGGGCGAGCATAGTGATGGTGTGCCGCGATACACGGGCAGGTGGTGTTGAACGGTCATGTTCTTTTTTCCCGTCTTTCGACGACTCAGAAACCAGTTCCCCATTGTTTTTTGGCGCCTTTAATTTTATGCAGAATTCCATGCCTTTTGATTCTAAGAGAGAATTTTGGAGTTTGTGTTTAGACAAGTGAACCGTCTGGTCGGTCTGTGACGTCCTAACAGAAGCTGTCGACGCTCTAGGCCGAGGTGGTGGCGTCGCCCACATGGAAACCGTCCAGTGTGACGGTCACGGCACCTGCTTGGACAAGCTATGGCGAAGGCAAGGTTAGTATTTGAGTTAGAAATGAGAGTTCAAGGCGATCGATTAACATACAGCACGAGAGAGGTCTTCAATCAGGTCGTCTGCATCCTCAATGCCCACGCAAAGTCGAATAATATCCTCGGGCATCTGCCTCTCTTCCCGGGTTTTGGCGTCGATGCTAGCATGGCTCATACGGCAGGGCATACTGATGAGACTATTGACACAGCCAAAGCTGACGCTGATACCCCATAGGCGGGCAGCCTCGACGATCCGTTCTGAGAGGCCAATGTTTCCGGTTTCAAAAGAGAGCACAGCGCCAGCGCCCCGTGCCATGGACCAATGGAGATCGTACTGCGGGTGGGATTTCAGGCCGGGGTACCGGACGCGGAACCCGTGGGACTCGAGGAACTCGGCAATTCGCTGTGCGTTGGCTTGCTGTTTCTCCATGCGAATGGCCAGTGTCTTGACACCCCTCATGAGCAGAAAGGAGTCGTTTGGCGACAGGCCGCAACCGGTCGAGTTGATTGTGAAGTACATCTTGTCACCCAGGGCGGGGTCGTTGCACGCGATCACGCCAGCCATGATATCGTGGTGTCCAGACAGGTACTTGGTCCCAGATTCGTAGACAATATCGGCGCCAATGTCGAGCGGGTTGAGGAGCATGGGAGAGAGCATGGTGTTGTCCACCACAACCACTGCCTTGCTGCTGGCCTGGTGCGTGGCCCGGGCGATCGTTGGAATGTCCACAATCTTGATCAACGGGTTTGTCGGCGTCTCGAGAAGCACCATGGCGGTTTTGTCCGAAATGACCTCCGTGACGGTGTCGGCATTGGTGGTGTCAACATGGTGCACAATTACCCCTTGGTTGTTCTTCAGGTACGTGAGAAGCCGGTTGGTGCCACCGTACAGATCGTCACCAGTGATAACCTCGTCGCCGGGCTTGAGGAGGCGTGTGATCACATCGAGGGCACCCATACCAGAACTCACGGCCAGGGCGCGGCTGGCGTTCATGATCTTGGCCATGTGGCGCTCGAGGTGCGTTCGGGTGGGGTTTCCCGACCGGGTATAGTCGTACTCGCTCCCGCCGCTGGACGACGTCTGCTTGAAGGTGGCAGACTGATAAATGGGAATGCTGGAGGCGCCGTATTGGTCTTTGGAGTCGGTATACACCAATTCCGTGGCTAGAGCGTACCGCTTCCTCCCGGAGAGCGGGCTAGATGGCGCTGGAGAAGGGGGGAGGGCATGGCCGTCGAGGTCAACATGGGTGAAGACCTTGTTGGCGGCCTGGGACGCAGGGCTGGATCTGTCTGGCGCAGCCATTGTGAGGGGTTATGAAACCGTCGAAGATCGGTTCGAGCGTTAATAGGGTCACTACGGGAGGTGGTTGGACCGAGGGGAGGAAAGGGTGTGTCCCGGCAAAGCTCTGGGGGACGTCACGAAGAGACGTCGGGTGAGTGGGAGGTTCAGGAGAGCTCAAGCAAGTAATTGGGATTGGAAATTGGATCCAGGTGGCTCGCCGGCTGGGATTCTTGAGAGAAAGCAGAGACGAGAGTAGGGAAAAAAAGTATTGGAAGACAGGAAGTCTGAGATGAATTGGGAGAATGGTGAATGAGTCGACAAATCTAAGGAGCATTCACTGGAAGTCTTAAAAGCCACCATTGGTTGTTGCGACCGCTTTTTACCCACTGCATCCGACCCCGGAGCACAGCAGTCAGCAGGCTGGCAGGCCCTGTAACTTCCAGTGCTGTGGGAGGGAGGGTCAAGAATATGGGGTACATCGGCGCGGGAGCCGGCACAGCACACCGGCGAAGTACCCCGACATCCGAACAAACAAACCCCACAGTGGGGCCGCTAGGATGACGTGCTTTGCTCACGATTCGGAGACGGCAGGGACGACTCCTTTGCAGAACTCGCCATTTCCACGTCCGCTTGGGCAATGTAAATCTTGGTTTTGGAAGTCAACGTGGCCCGAGTCGAGGATTCGGATTTTTGATCGAACCGCCCCCGAGGTTGATTCCGCAGGCATCTATTCGATTTCCCACCGACAGTCTAGCGCCGACCTAGGCTTGTTTGGCCCCTGAGTCTTCGTCCTACAGTTTCGTTGGCTACTATCTAGGAACAGCAGACGTCGGGTCAGACGAAGGAGCAAATGATCTGCCGGGTAAACGTAAGCGTCAAACAAGGGAGGAAAAACTATCTCGTACGAGTTAGTAATTCGCCTTGTTTCTCGCTGTATTTGAAGACGGGTATTATCCAATGGTTGGTGTATTTACATAACTCTTACAAGACCCAGGGCCGCCTCCCCGTCCGCTTCCCAGCTGCAGCTACGCGGACCGTACAACTTGATCTTCAGGAATCTCTTCCACATCCTCGTACTCGTCACCCGATATCTTGGAATTTGCACCAGTGCTGCTCGGCTGACTGGGCTGCGATTCAGCCAGTTTCTGTCCGCCATGGTGGCCGAAAAAATCCTCAGTCCTGATGCCTCGGACGTGGTCAGGGTTCACCTGCGACATTCCCGCACCAGTCGCCCGATGTTTCCGGATGTACTCCCTCACGGGAACCATGGCGGCGTCACGACAGACTTCCTTGATGTCGCTGCCAGACATGCCGGCAGTCACCTTGGCGATGTAATCAAGGTCTAGATTCTCAGCGTCACGCTTGGTGTCACCGAGGACAAGTTGTAGGATGCGCAGCCTTTGCTCGAATTTAGGGAGCGAAACGGGGAACTTTTTGGGCATTCTCCTGAGGATCGCTGGGTCAATATCGTTGATCCTGTTCGTGGCGCCTAGCACAACGATCCTGTTGGGAGTGCCCGAGGCGTTCGTTGATGTGAGGCCATCCCAGAGAGTCATGAATCTGGACAATTTGAATTAGCAAGCAGCCGCGACGCACGGAAGCCCTGGAGAACCTACTCAGCCTTGACCATGCCGCTGGCCTCGTGCTCCCCACTCATCCGAGTCCCTAAGACAGCGTCCATCTCATCAATGAAGATGATGGCTGGTTGAAGCTTCTGGGCCAGGGAGAACACCGCGCGAACCAGCTTGTTCGAATCACCGTACCACTTCTCCGTCAGAGTTGAAATGTGAAGGTTGATGAAGGAGGCGCCGCTCTCACGAGCCACTGCCTTGGCTAACATTGTTTTGCCGCAACCTGGCGGGCCGTACAACAACACCCCTGAGGGCGCTGCCAAGAGCGCGCCGCCGTGCCGATATAAATGTGGCATCGTTAATGGGTAGATGATGGATTCCTTGAGTTCATCGATAATGTCGTCGTGCCCTCCGATGGCATCAAACCCGACGGGTATGTCTCCTGGAGCAACCACTTCGAGCGCTACTTGGTTCTCATACTCGTTGAGGACGAGGCCTTCCTCTACCGCATCCGCATATTCCGATGTATCGTTGCCATCTTGGTCTACCGCGGCGCCGGTCCGGTGCCGTCGTATCCTCCTTAAATTCGCTTGCGCCTTGGCACGAGCCGCCTCATTCTTCTCTCGGTCGGGGTCAAAGAGACTGGAAATATACGGGGCAACGATGCCGGTTGCAAAGAGGTATGCTGTGAAGACCTGCGACACAAAGCACATGTTAGAATGCAACACCACGACCGAATGGGGCCAACTTGTTGTTACGTACACCCGCAGCGAGTGCAAGACCCGTCGACAGATCCTTCATTCGTTTCTGGTCGCCCATATTGTGTCGCGGCGAAATGAATTGCGCTGCGCTTCTGCAGTCCACTTTGACGCAAGTGTCGAAGCAGAGTGCAGTTGAACAAACGGGGCCTGAGGCTGGTGAACGGGTTGGAGGGCCCGACGCCGGGAGTTGCCGTTGCGCGCCGAGGATCGCTGGAAACGACGCTGGGGCGAGGCCGTCCGACCTTGTGCTTGGCACTGAAACGCATGTGTTAGCGCCACTCCAGTGGCTGGACGCAACGGGCTTCAGGGATCAGAATGTTAATACGGTATCGTAACGTTACCGTATTGCAGGTCATACAGGAACTGTGACGTTTGTTTACATGGTTGTTTTGAGAGCACCAGAGCAACCAGGCTGCGGCTGCCCCTCGCGTGTCCAATCCCGCAAATTGCAGCGTCCACCGCCCACCGCTTTCATCTCATTTGTGGCGTCTCTCCACCGACGCGCCACGATAGCCTCAGTACAGGCCCCGGGAATTACCAATTAATACGAGTTTCGACTGCACCTTGCCGATGTCCAAGACCAAGGCCCGCTCCCACTTGTTGCAGTTGGTGGATTCGGACTCAGACGACGGAATTGGAGGTAGCTCACTTGGGGCCACGCGACAATCGAAAGGAGTGACTACATTGACACGAACAGCACCAATCTCTCAACGCGCGATGCCTCCAAAGAAAGGAAAGGCCGGTCGCCCAGCCGCGAACCGCGTTGCTAAGCCGACGCCAGCGACAACAGCAGCAACGCGCAACGCGACAAAAGCAGCACCAGCGAGGAGCACGACACGCGGGCGCAAGAGAGCCGCACCAACCGACGAGGAGGAAGACGATACGGAAATGGCGGACGCGCGTGACCCCCCCGCAGCCGAGCCACCAGCAAAGAAAGCCCGCGGCCGCCCAAAGAAAATGACCGCCGAGGCCGAGGAGCCAAAAACAACCGCCGGCGCGCGGCGAGGACGGAAACCGACGGGGAAGAAACCCGACCCTGATACAACGGCTGAGGAGGTGTCCGAAATTCCCGAGACACAGCAACCGGATGAGGAGGAGAGCGACCTACAAGAAGAGGAAGACGACGGGCCTGGGAATTCGCCTGTTGCGCAAACTCCAGAGCGCGCAAAACCGGGGCGCGGGAAAATCGGCGCCCCAAGCAGCGCATTGAGGAAGACTTCACAAATACCGTCTCCAGAAAAAGGCGATCCAGCACTACGCCGTCGTCTTGGGGAAGTGACGCAAAAGTTTGAGAACCTGGAACATAGGTACAGGGATCTTAAAGAGGTCGCGGTGCGTGATGCAGAGCGCAATTTTGACAAGCTCAAAAAGCAGTCTGAAGAAAAGTCGAAGGGTAGCTCACCACCCTCACCCCCGTTTCTAGACTGCGAACTTTGCTAATCATATGCAGCGGCCGACCAACTCATCGCCAGCCTTAAAGCCGAACTCGCCGCACAAAGAGAAGCCTCAAAGGAAGCTAACAACCTCAGAAAGCAGCTTGACACAAGCAAATCCAAGGCCGAGACCCTTCAAACTGAACTCACAGCCCTCGCCACCTCCCTCAATGACTCTAAATCGGAGATCAAATCCCTCAACCTCAAACTATCTGTGGCGCGCAACGCCGAAGCCGCGGCCGCAGCGGCCGCAGTAACCGCCTCAAATAAGGTCCCGGGGAGCGCGATGAAGGGCTCGACAGTGGCTTCTCGACTGGCGGCGACCAACGCCTCGGAAGCGACACAGGCTGCGCAGAAGAAGGAAGACTTGTACGGCGATCTGACGGGTTTGATCGTGCGAAGTGTCAAGCGAGGTGATGACGGCTTGGACATGTTTGATTGTATTCAAACTGGGAGGACCGGGAGTGTGTTAACCCCCTTCAAACTTTCAACCTCCCGCTTGCCTTTAACTTCCCCCATTCTTGCGTACTATGTGTCTGACCCCTCACCTCTAGCCCTACATTTCAAGCTATCCGTCGGTGTACGGTCCGAAGACGGGGAAGCCTACTGCAACTACACCCCGCAACTGGACTCCAACCGCGACCATGCGCTGATCGCTGTGTTGCCTGACTATCTTGTCGATCACATTTCGTTTCCGCAGGCGCAGGTCGGCAAATTTTATACACGCGTCCTTAACGCATTGAATGGGACTGGCGAGGTGTGATCTGGAAGGCGTGGGCCCTTGCCCATCGCATATGGTATGGAAAGTAAATGAGGGCACGGTGATTGGTGTATATACCTGGCGTCGGAGTGTTGTTGCTTTGGGATCTTTCTTGGTTTCTCGCTCAGCGTGTTTTCATTTTTGTTTGTTGACTGCCGGGGCGTTCTATGTACGGATACTTGAGTAGTATTGGTGCATGAGACCAGGTTAAATGGAAGTGCGTCCTTGCTTCACTATCCAGCCATCTTCAAATCTCGTAAGAAGTTCAAACAACGGAAACACAGTGCTTAATTGCAAGGAGAGAGTGAGTTCATATATACATAGGAGCTATTTCATTGAACTCGTCTTTCGGGGACCTTCATTTCATACAAGATGTAAAATACACCTTCACCTTCCATTACACTTTATACAACAGCTCTTGTGTACCGTTTTGTAACGTCTGGCAAGGACCATTGCCCCAAACATTAAACCCCTTTCGTCTCATCTCATGCGGCCGTCCGCTGCGTCAGCCGCCTAACAACGCGCCACAAACAGCTTCAAGCAGCTAAACCGCCCGTTCCCACGTTGCTTGTTCTTCTCTACCCTGCCATAGCGCCGTTATTCCTTCCTGCGTCTGCGATCTAACTGGCGACAAAAAAAGAAGAGTGGCATGAAAAGAATAACATAAAACATTACTGGCGCACCAGGGCATGAGCTCGTCTCAATCCATCAATCACAAACCCGTGTCAATTCGTCCCATCCAAACCCGGCCAAACCCGGCCAGAGCCCCTGTGACGCCTCATGAGAAGATCAGACCCCCTCTCATAACATCCACCCGCCTTCTAAGGTAGCCACAAGGTAAGAAGCCCGAAGGCGGGAAGAAGTCAAAAAAAGGATACGCCTCGCCTACTCCAACACAATGACCTGAACCGACAGGTATCCAAAAGTTTAGCAACCAACTCAACGGGCAGTGCCGAGAGGTAGAAAGGGAAAAGAGATTAAAAAGACAAAGGCCCGCTTCATGCACAACACCGCAAAGAACCAACTCAAAGTGCGGAGAACCCACTGATGAAAATGCTGCGCTGTGGAGTCCATGGGACCAGGAAGAAGAGAAAAAGGTGTTGCTGAGCATGGAATGAACCGCCAAGACGCCGCCCGTGCTTGTGAAATATATAGATAAAAAAGGCGGGAGACTGCGCTCCCAGCGAAATGAAGATGCTGGTTTCTCGCCCATCCTTGGCGTAATGACGCAAGGACCTAGAAGGAATAGATGTAGCAGTGAGGGCGTCGGCGGGGGTGGAAAGTATAGGTTTCGCAAAGGATAGGTAGATCGGGATGGTTGTAAGCTAGGCGAATTTGGTGGAATGGGTATCAAAACGTGATTGGTGTCTCGTTGTTGTCTCGTTGCCAAACTGGGATACGTAAGCCCCGTCGCCAAAAGAGGATGGTCATGGCTCCTTCCCCCTTTTCCGGTCCTTGGTATCCCATGTGTAAAGATCGTTGAAGCCCAATACAGACCACGAGTCTGAAGTTGAGTGAACAACAGCCAACCAGAACGCCAGGATATTAGCCAGATAATGCAACGTGTAGGCATACGTAACGCCATACACTGCTGCATAAGTGGCGATACAAAACAGCAGAATGCTGGTCACATACTTGAGCCGGCTGCCCATGCGCGGGACCATCTTGCCCGTGGTAAGGGCCTCGACAAGGACGATGAAGGGCATGACGGAGAGGACGTTGTGGTGTGAGGTGAACGGAGTAAGCCAATGGACGGTGAGGTTGTGTATCCATACGACGAAGGTCGGTAGATTGATGGGGAGAACCCAGAGCATGAGGACAAAGATGGAGTGGGCGTAGTTGTAGAAGTTGGAGTTGGCCGTCGACCGCAGCTCAGAGGCAATGCGCTGCGCCCGGACGGTCGTCATTAGTTGCGCAAGGCAAGCCACAAGGTAGGCGAATTGATAAGGCACCACCGTCGTGACAAGCAGCAGCAAGACGGCGGCCGTGATCATGCGGCGTCTAGGGGACGGAACCAAGAAGGCACCGGGTGCCGCCTTGCCCCTGTCCTCATTCCGAGTCCATCCGGGTCGAAATGTGATCAAGTTCGCAATGACTCCCAGCAACCGTGTCAAAGCGAGTGCCATGTAATTGATGATGGAACAGACCCCGACGCAGACGATTGCGATCAAGGGGATCAGGAAGAGAAACAGAGGGTCCTCAGTACCGATCAAAAGATCGTTCTGGTGAAAGTCCATGATGGACAATGTGCCATTTCTCCAATGCCAGAAGTTGGTACTGCTGGCCGGGGTCGAGTCTCGTGTCGCAAGCGTAAGGAAGATGAGTGAAACCAACATCAAGGGAATAGACTGTCTTAGGCACAGATCCAGCCCCTCAAAGAAGGGGATAAAGACCCCTGTGTTGTCGTATACTCGAAATTGTTTCCTTAGGACTAGGGCCACGATGAAGAGGGGAAATGCCGCAAAGACAGTGCGGTAGCGCATGTATAGCTTGCCGAGGCTGCCCATATAATCAGCAGTGAGCTCAACGTGGATGGCGGAATTGCAGGTCGGGTCGGTCCAGAATTGGAAGCTCAGGCCGTCTTCCTCCAACTTCCCCGTGAGCGGCGGCGGAACGTAGGGAGCAACACCATGAAGGCTGACCGTCGCTTCGTGTGCATTGACAAAGTACTTGGATTCGTAAGGCTCGGCCAGGTATTGCCGCAGTAAGGGGGCGAACAGCTCTTGTTTCCCATCGCAGTTTTGGTGGCTGATTCGGAGATTGTAAGCAAGCAGGCTCGACTGGAGCGACGGAACCTTAATCTCAGAGACCATTGGTCGGTCGGCAGGGAGGCGGAGCTTCATCCCAAAGGCAAGCAGGCTTCGAAGAGAGATGTGGCGTGTTCGGCGTGACTGAGTTTGATCACTGAACTCGGCAACCACAAAGTTGGCCGTTGGCGTGGTTGCTTTCTCCAACACCGCCACAAACTGATGCTCGGCGATGTCATCTACGCCGTATTCCAGATAAGAAAACGGTACGATCTCCTTCTCCCCATCTGTATAAAAGGGGAAACGCGTCGCACGAGTCGACGCTGGGAGTGAGATGACATCCGGCCCAGTTGTCCTGCAAGCCAACCGCGTGGACCCAGCAATTCCTTTGGATAGATCGATTTGGCTAGCGAGGCCGGCCCCGGATTGACTCGGCTGCGACGGAACCACGCTGCAAAACATGACCTCTAACTTCTCATGGTCCCCTGATTTGTCAAGCTTCGCGTCGGTTAGAAGAGTGAAGCGCTTCACGCCCGGCGATTCCGAGGGGGGGATCGGCATGAGGTGTGCGCGGATAACTCCGGTAGTGCCTAGATTGCGCAAGACTAGGCGTTCCCCTTCCGCAATGATGGAGTCGGAGTTATCGTCGACCGTGAGAAGAGTTGTGGGCTCGGACCGAGGTGCAGTCTTCTCTGCCACTGCTTCCATGCCGGTGAGAAACCATTTTTTAAACACTTGCATCCGCTCGGCGCGAGGCTTAGTTTGTGCAGCCCGATGTACGTCCACCACGTCGTATATCGCCTGCGCAATCACCTTCCGGAATTGATCACACCAAAGGATAGCTTGATGGTCCATGCTCGTCCACACGCTCGGGATTGTCGAAGTAAACACAGTGAACCCATGCGTGTCCGGAACTAGTGACTCGACGCTCGCGTAATCGGACGGGACCACGGTATCGAGACCGCCACCTGCAATAGATACAAGAGTGACGTGCCACAAGGGATTGTTGTTAGCCCATTGTTGCGAATAGGCCCGCCTCCAATAGTCGTTGATGTCTTTGTATGTTTGCACGCTCTGGCTATCAAACGATACCGGCGGACGAGCATGTGGAGCCGACATGGTGATGATGGTGTTGATCGAGTTCGACTGATAGTTTGGCATGACTAGCATAGTGCGTGCAACAATACCTCCCATGGAATGTCCCAAAACTATCACCGAAGTGGGGTCTGGCAGATCGGGGTCCCTGTCAGAAATGTGCGGATCTAGGTAAAGGGAAAGGATGTATCGAATCGCCTCGTTGAGATATTCGGCTTGGTCGAGCAGCGTCTGGCCGTGGAACGCGCTGATATCCTCGTTGAAGTCGACGGTGAAGAAATCTAGGTTGCGCGCGCCCGCCTGGATCGCGGACTCGTCGTGCTGCAAAACATCATGAAAGTAGTTGGCCGCTTCCGCTGCGATGGGCCGGACCTGCTTGTAACTTCCGGCGTTGCCGGGGATGAAAAGGATAGGGACGCCGCGGACCTGATCAAGAGCAAATTAGCCGATTGGAGTGATGATAGCAGGGCTGTAGATTGCCGCGCAAACCTTGGTATCGCGGTCGATTCCTTGCTCGCGATAGAGGTACAAGGAGTATTTGCTTGCAAGGCGCGTGTGTTCTGTATCAAATTCGTCGAGCTTGGCGTAGGATGGGCGCATATAAGACATGCGACAACCTTTTGGATCGATCTGTCGAGTCGCCGAAGAATGAAGCACGGCGAACAAAAATCCTAGGCCGATCATCGATGCAACGAGCGCGAGGAACGTGATTGCCCATGGGCTCTTCCATGGTGGTCGCCGCGCTGCTGGCGAGCCGGTCTCTGGCACCTTTTCCACCGCGACCACCTCCCGTGTCCGTAGATTTCGGTTCGCCGTTGTCATGATGAAGCCCAGAGGTGACGGTGGCGCGGTGCGATCGGGCGATGGCCGCTTTTCTCCTACGCCATTTCCGCTTCGCGATTCAGGTAGGCGCCAATTGACGCCGCTAGGACGTCGGGTGGTCGAAAGCGAGGGTCGGCGGTCGGCGCTGCGACGGCGGTCGAGCTTGTTCGGTGGGTGTGCGGAGGATCTGGATTCTTTCGTGCTGAAACGAGAGGAATTGACTTGAGGTGCCTCAACGGGAGAAGCATCGTCGTCGTCTGACGATCCCGACGAGTGCGTCCTCATCCCAGCAGGACCGTTGGCGGAGGATTCCTGCCTGAGGGCGGCGGCACGAAGGGATCGTGTTTTTTTGCGTATGGGGGAAGGGCCAAGCGAGAGACTCGTGCGGCGGTGAAAAGAGGGTTCATGGGCCGCTTTGAGTTGATATTTGGAGACTAAATCGCAAGGCCGAGCGGCGCGAGCATCCAGCCTGATCCCGTCACCAAAAGCCGAGGCCCAGCACTCCTCAAAGCCTTTTCTTTCCCGCGCGCAAAGAGGGCACAACAAAAAAAAAAGGACGGCGATTCGGGAGTTGGTCAGCTTCGAGGATGGAGGCACGATGGCCGCGGCTTTCCCACTCAAAGGTTGGCAAGCAGTGCGCCAGCTGCAGGCGCTGCAGCCACTATTGGCCAGGCACTCGGCTCTAGGGAGAGGCCCAGACCCATCTCGAAACGGGCAGACTGATTCGATGCTAGTGGCAGGGTTTCCAGCGGGTGGAGACGCTGTGTTGCAGTGCCACTGAGTTTTGAGGTTTCGTGCTAGGATTCGCACTTTCCCGTTCGATAAGGTGATCATCCTGCTAGGCAAAGGGATTTGATGTTGACCCCCGTTTCTCCCGGTCATTTCAAAACGGCCCGGATTCCAACAGCCGGCGGGAAACGCCTCCTACACTACACCACATCGTACACGAGCGAGAAATCACCTCTTTGGCAGGGGCTCGGTGTTCGTAGGTCGAACCCTCAATGCCGTCGTTGCATGATTAACGATATCAGTCTACGATCCATTTTTAGAGGTCTCGAGTTGCGAGATTAGCGAACGAAACTTGGCGTTTTGAGTTAGACTCCATCAACAGCCTCCTCGAAGTGGTCGCTGGAAGCACCGAATGCAAGTCTTGTTGATCACAAGGGCGCGACAGTGAGATTACGAGAGTGGGAAGGCGTGAACGAGGAAATCCGAGACCACACACACGCCAGAGGCCCGACAACTTCCCGTATTTTGGGGGGCGGCTAGGCGATCGCGTGCTTACCAGCCACCGGCGACTTTTCTCCTTCTCAATCTTCCTTCCCATCAGGGTTTGCAGTGGAGACCCTGAATTGGATTTCTCAATTAGTTCATTATACAACGTTTTCCACGATCAATCGCTCTGGCTGAAGTGGGTGAAAGCTTGGTTTGAAAAGACACGCGCTGCTGCATCTGAGCTTGTTTCGTGTTACCCCCATCTACCGATGGACCGCAGTAGCTTGCCAAGCATAACGTCATAACAGGGGCGTGACGCGGCCCGCGAACTTGGCGTCTTGTGAAGCTGTGATGCCAACGGAATCAGTCCTCCACTGGGGTTCGTTGGTTGGTTGAGAGACGGCCAAGCAGGGAGCTCTCGTATGCCGAGAACCGCCCGTCGTGCTCCGGTGTGGAAATACCTCAACACTAACACTCTGTGATATTAGTGGAGATATATTGCAGTTAATTGGAACAATTTGAGAGATAAGGTAGAGAACGGGCAAGGGACGGGAGAAGGTGGAGGTATCATGGACGGTAACTATCAAGCTAGACAAGTAGGTGCCTTGTAAAATTTCTTCTCGACGGCCCTATACATTGGTGGGAAACGTCGTGGGCGGAGTTGAACTGTCTCGCTGTGGCCAGAAAAAGCGGCAGACGAAGTCCCTGGATAACTTAGTTACTTTTTCGACGGACACAAAGTGAAAAAAAAACCAAAAAGAATAATTTTCCAAAAAAAAAAAAAAAGTGGAAAAAAAGGACGAAAAAGAATATATCAATTAAAATCTGTAAAGATTCGATCGGATGTTAATGGATTGGGCTTGGACTTAAGCTTTCGTCTTCGGCTTTTTTTTGGCCACAGCGAGACTCTCCGACGGCGGGGTCGGCTTTAGGTCTGGGCGCACAGACCATATCGAACGCGCTCTCGCGTGCCATGTCGCGTCAAGGTGCATTCGATTAATCGGCCATCTCGGCCCTTAACACCTGCCCTGGTCCCTTATCATCATCATCATCATAATTGGTGAATTGGCATTTCAAGTGTGATATGATCAGCAGCGATTAGATTTGGTGTTTTCGCGTTGCGGCGGAACATGAGTACGCCAGAGAATGGCATCCAGCGCCACGATCAAGGCCATTGAGTCTAGCACAGTTCGCCTAGAACCCGTTCCTGAATGCAACTCCGAGCGCAGGGGTTAACGTTTATAACAGATCCATCAAATTCAATCTGGCCAAGTCATCGTCGACCTTTGCTCTGTGGCAAAAGAGCTGGTAGAAAATAGCATCGATGCGGGAGCTACCACCATTGGTAGGCAGGCAACGTGTCGCCCGTCCAAAGTAACTTATTTAGCTAATTGTTGCTTCTAGATGTTCGGTTCAAGAACCAAGGTTTAGACTCAATCGAAGTCCAGGACAACGGCTCCGGTATTTCATCACACAATTACGAGTCTATCGCGCTAAAACACTACACCTCCAAGCTCGCAAGCTACGATGACCTCTCGGAGCTGCAAACCTTTGGCTTCCGGGGTGAGGCCCTATCCTCGCTCTGCGCCTTGTCCCGCTTCGCCGTCGTGACGTGTACCCAGGAAGACGCCCCGCGCGCCACCAAACTCGACTTTGAAACTTCTGGCAAACTCAAGAGCACCGGCGTTGTCTCGGGCCAGCGGGGAACCACGGTTATCATCGAGGATCTCTTCCGAAACCTGCCTGTCCGCCGCCGGGAGCTGGAACGGAACATCAAGAGGGAATGGGGAAAAGTGATCAACTTGCTAAACCAGTACGCGTGTGTGCAGACCGGCGTCAAGTTTACCGTTTCGCAACAACCCACTAAGGGCAAGCGCATGATCCTGTTTTCAACCAAGGGGAATCCTACCACCCGCGAGAACATCATCAACGTATTTGGAGTAAAAACCATGAACGCCCTGATCGGGATGGACCTCAAAGTCGAACTAGTACCGACGGCAGGACCCTTAAACAAAGGCAAGGCGCGCGCTGATGGAAGTGCCACCGAAGTCCGGGTCCTTGGCCATGTGTCTCGTCCAACGCACGGCGAAGGCCGGCAGACACCCGACAGGCAGATGTTTTACGTCAACGGCCGTCCCTGTGGCTTGCCCCAGTTTGCGAAGGTGTTCAACGAGGTCTATCGGTCCTACAACGCGTCTCAGTCGCCTTTTATCTTTGCAGATATCCAATTGGATACGCATCTTTACGACGTGAATGTCAGCCCGGACAAGCGAACTATTTTGTTGCACGATCAGGGGCAGATGCTTGATAATCTGCGGGAATCACTTGTTGAACTCTTTGAGACGCAGGACGTCACGGTTCCTGTGTCCCAGGTAGCGGCGTTGAAACAGACGCCCTTCAAAACGGCGAGCGGCCGGGCGTGGTCAGTAGCTTCTGTTAAGGGCAGCAGCGCGGCTAAGAGCAGGGCTGCCCCCGAGAGTGAAGACGAGGATAACATTGGCGATGTGGCGGAGGAGGAAGGTGCAAGTGAAGAGGAACATGACGAGCTACCGGCCAAAAAGAAAACGTCATCTAAACCCGCAACTTCGTCAAGAACGGTCACGCTGTTGTCTCGCTGGATTGCGAATAGTCCCGACAGTAACAAACGCTCAGCATCGACTCGCAAGGACGAACCCGAGAGCGAGGAGGAGGAGGAGGAGGAGGAGGAGGATGAAGAGCCAAGCAGCCGAGGAGCAGGTCCAGCAGCTGAATCCAACGCGAATGATGAGTCTGAGGGCAAGGATGTAGCGCGGCAGCGGACATTGGGACAGGGAGAGGCGGAAGGTTCGGACGACCAGCCACCTCATAGTCCACGACTTGGTAGCGGCCCGACCCAGGTTATAGAACCTGAAAAGGGAGACCTAGAACAACACGATGAGGAGGTTGAGTCCTCGGTTCTTGCGATTGCTCCGCCATCCCAACCACCAGAGCCAAGAGCAATCAACACAACTGCCACCCGGCTGTCTAAACGGACTACCTCAGAGGTAGCCACCATCACTATCGGGGACCGCACTGTAACGAGCGTAATCGGAAATCCGGCGAAGCGGCTCAAGGTGGACGAGCCTACACGATCATCGAAAGTGGCTACCACGAAGGGGAAGAAAAAGGCGCCGCTGCCGTCGTTCGGTGGACGTCTTTCCCAAATGTTCTCTGCCTCGGCGAATCCTAATTATGATGCTGAAGAGAATATTGAGGACCTGTCAGACCCGGACGAAGACATGGAGGAGGATGCGGAAGATTCCTCTGAGGCGCTGAGCGAGGATGGCCAAGACGAAGAGGAAGCTCTCTTCGTTTCCCAAGATGAAAACGAGGCACGGGATGGTGGGGATGCTAAAGAAGCAGAAGAGGGCTCTGGGGAAACCCAAGATACAGAGCAAACGGGGGATACCGAGTGTTCCAGCAGGCCGGTCACTCCAGATGAGCCTTTGGCTCATTCACCATCCTGCCGCCATGACAACCCTGAGGATGATGGAGATGATGTCGAGGATGACGTAAAGACGGCCAATGAGGACCAAGGGGCGCAAACTATGATTGATGCCGCAGCGTCTGCCGCAGCCGGGCCGAGCGAGGAGGGTGAGAAGCGATCGGAGGTGTTTGTCAAGGGACGGCCAAAACGCAAAGACATGACCCTGAACCTGGCGCAACAAGTCAAGATCAACACACAGGAGATCCAGCGCCGCATCACCAGCCTAGCAGATCACTTACCAGCCGCCGCGAGCAGCCATACACCGGACGTGAAGCCGGACGGTCTTGACGCCGACGATGCGGAGGAGAGACTATCACTAAAAATTTCGAAATCCGACTTTGCCCAGATGCGCATCGTGGGGCAATTCAATCTTGGGTTCGTCCTTGCCGTCCGCGAAGCGCCTTGCCCTACTACCGGGCGCGAAGACACTGGCGAATCTCCAAACGATGACGATGAGCTTTTCATCATCGACCAGCACGCCTCAGACGAGAAATACAACTTCGAACGCCTCCAAGCTACCACCACGGTCCAATCCCAACGTCTCGTTCAGCCCAAAACCCTCGACCTGACCGCACTCGAAGAAGAAATCATCCTCGAACACCTTCCAGACCTCGAGCGCAACGGTTTCACCGTGCACGTCGACACATCCGGCGCCCAACCCGTCGGATCGCGCGTGCAGCTTCTCAGCCTCCCGCTCAGCCGCGAAACCACATTCTCCGTCGCCGACCTCGAAGAGCTTATCTTTCTGCTGGCCGACAACCCCACCTCCAGCGCCAGTACGGTCCCTCGGCCGAGCAAGGTGCGCAAGATGTTTGCGATGCGGGCGTGTCGGAGTAGCATCATGATCGGGCGGGCGTTGTCGCGGCGGCAGATGGAAAAGGTGGTGCGGCACATGGGGGAGATGGAGCAGCCGTGGAATTGTCCTCATGGACGGCCGACGATGAGGCACCTGTGTGGGCTGGGAGGGGCGTGGGATGGGAAGGGGTGGATGGAGGGTGAAGGAGAGAGGACGGATTGGGGTGCTTGGGCGAGAGAGAGGAAGGAGTGATTGAGTGAGGGCAATGATAATGATAGAGGTCCCTGTCATCTTTTAAGAGGAGTGCTCAATGTCTGGTTGGCGCATGGTTTCCGGGATTAAACTGCTTGCTTTCTGCGTGTTTCCTTGCTACGAATACCCGCATGAACGCGAATTTTTTGGACAGAAATTGAAACAATGAGCATTTGCAGACACTACGACTGACATGTATCCGTACATCCATACATCCATCCAACATCCCCGTATCCTTGCCATCATCACTATCATAAATCATACCATTAACTCCAAACAAACGAGACAAGATGAGATCCCCCAACATGCGAATCTGATCCACCCTCCGACTTGATGTGTCTTTCACATCCTAACACCTCTTCCAACCCCCCCCCCCCCCGGTTCCATCACTTCTCCTTCACCTCGCAATAAACTCACCCTCTCGGTATTCACTCATTCAGGACCGAATAACGGGACCACCTCTCCCCAGCCCCAGCCCCGGCTCTACCCTCCTCGGCAGCACGACCACTCACATTCCTCCTTCCCATGCTCACGCCCAAATCGTACCCGTAATCATTCCCGGACGACACCACCCTGCTGCCCATCGCTGGCCCACCCTTAACACCCTCCTCATCATCAGAAGAGGGCTCCTTCCCACCCACAAGAATCGGCGGCGTCGCGGCCTTGAGCTCGCCGTACGGCTTGGAAAAGAAAGCGCTGTCCGCCTGGATCGAGGAATCTCTATTTCGCTGCTGCAATCGCTGTTGGTGGACGTTCGGTTTCTTCTGGAGCGTGCGGGACTGGATCTGCTGCTGGGTTTGGTCGGTGATGTCCTGGCTTCCTGAGACGCGGCGGTCGTTGAGGGAGATGGTGGAAAGCACGGAGTTACGGAGGCGGGAGAAAGGGGTGCGGGGACGACGGGCTGCGCTGGCTTCCGCGGAAGCGGGTGTTGAGGAGGGAGGGGTGTTGTTCATGTTAGTGGGTGTGGTGTCGGTGGGGTGGGAGCGGAGAGGGTTAGGATGGTAGGTGTTGTCGTCGTTGTTGTTGTCGTGGTCGATACCACGCTGGGCGGGGGTGTAGAAGGTGTTGGCGGCCGCGGTGATGTCGTTGTCCGAGTCGTCATCGGGATCAGACGCATCGAGGGACGCATATGCCGCAGCACGATGGTAGGCCGCGTTTTGAGCATCCTCACTCGCGCTCTGGCAATGGCCCTGGTTTTGGGCTTGGGCGCTGGTGCGGTTCCGCTTCTGGGTCCGGCTGATCAGGCTCTCGGATGTGTACCAGGTCTCGGTAAACCTAGCGGGGCGCGGCTGGGCAGTTTGCGACGGCGAGACGGGGTCAGAGCCGGTTTCGCCAAGGGGAATCTCCATGTACGAGGCGCGTTGCTTCGACGGCGAGGGGGGTGCCGACATGCGTTTTCTGTCGATATCCTGGGACGACACCGAGCTGCGGTGGCTGGCGGGAACCTGGTATTGGCGGCTGGGGAGGTTGATGCGTGAATCGCGGGTGGAAGACTCCAATGACGAAAGATCAGAACCCTGGCGAGTGTGCATGAACGGGATCGAACGTGGGCGCACACTGTGCTTCTCGTCGTCGTCGTCATAAAGCCGGCTACCACGTTCGCTCTTCTCGTCATAGTAAGTCGACGTCGTAGCCACAGACGACTTGTTCCGCTTGTGTGCCACGCGCGAGGTCAGGTTCGCTTCCAGCGGGTTCATGTCAGGTGGCATGTTGGCAATGCGCCTAAACATCAAGCCGAGCCACAGGGAAATGGCCAGCGACAGGAGATGCAAGCCACCCGCACCGATCAGGCCGTAGTACACTGACGGGACCATGTACTGCACCACGTTCGGGTCGGATGGAGGCTTGGTCTTCCACTCTTCGTTCTTGTTCCGTGCTAGAATCGCGCCATACGCGTACAGAGGGAGAACACAGATGTCCGAAAAGCCGGAAAATAGTTGGTAAGCAGCGGATGAACCCGGGGTGCGCGCGCCGGCCGGGCGGAAGTGGTGGAAAATGCTATAGCCACAGTGTACGAGGACGACACCCAGCTGAAAGGGAGAATTAGTACAAAAGTCTGAATCAACCATACACGCCAACACGATAGTGTACTTACGGTCACGCCCATAACCCAACCCATCAGGCCCGCCACGCTCATAACTGTGATCAAGCCAACGGCGGCCGTGATCTGAATGACCCGGAGTCCGATCTGCACCACACGCATGCCCTTGATCCAGCCCTTGGTGCGGCGGCCCATCGGTCGAAAGCGCGAGCGGCCATTTGGGACCATGTGTGCACTTCAATTCAATGTCAGTTCGGCCGTTCATTGATCATACGCAGCTGTCGGAGGGGTGATTAGGTGATGATGTGCTGAGAAAGTATAACATACTCGGGATGGCGATTGATCGATACTAGCGGTCCATCAGGTTTCGCCTTTTGTTTCTTGGGCTCGTAGCTCGCTCGCGTCACAGCCTTGGGATCAAAGTTGACCGCGGGAAACCGCTCATCATCTTTGATGGCTTGGTACATGAAGGGCGGCTGAGAGCCCCCCATGATGCTGGCGATGTCGGTGTGGTGGGGGCCGTGTTGAGGTCAATGGAAGAATTGAGAATTCGGAAGCGTAGTTTGCGAAAAAGGAAAATCAAAGAAACTGAAGAAACCGCATGAATTTTACAGTTTCCCGTCTGCATGCATGTGAAATGTGGTTGAGTCTAGACTTGAAGTCGGGCTGCGGCTAGGTGGGTGGTGTGGTGGGATGAATGCGATCCTGTTTGGTGTCGCGGTTGACTGGGCAACGGTATTGTCAACGGCGGCTATGCACAGCTTTGGTCAGGAACAGGAAGGCACATCGACACGTCACACGCAGGACCAAAAGCACGCTAGTTAATCCAAAAGGATACCTATCGGAAATTCCCACAGTATGGACAATCTTCGCATCCTGTATTCGAATTAGGTACGAAGTATTATTTAACTACCTACCTTATATGCCACCTTTCTCCCATTACCGGAACAAAAGTGGTTGTAATTATGTACCATACCTACTAACTACATGTACGGATTGACGTTTCCGCTTAGAAACGAGAATTTGTTCCAAGCTGCCCTAACTACTTCTGCGTACACTAGTTTTGGGAAAGATGCACCTCCAATGCGCACCTGAGCTGGAGCACGTCGTTTCCACCCATCAGGTCCTTGATTTGCTCGGCTCGGATGACCGCCGGCGATGCCCTAATTGCTCCGAGCTGTAACGGCCGTCCTCGGTGCTCAGACCCGCCGACAACACCTGTAACAGAGTGGATCCCGGGTCACACCAACACTCGATGGACATCACTTTGTATTTTACTCTCCCATGTCATATTTTTGGATTTTATTGAAAAATTTTCTTCCTGGACACACATGATAGACTCATTGTTTGAGACTTACACATAATCATGCTCCCGATCCGCTGCGCCAGGCTACGGCAGCATGTAGCCCGGCAGTGGCCATTGAGAACGGCTGTTATTAACCCCTCCACTGTAAACGTCACCACCGTCAATGTCGCATCAACAAGGGGCATCTCAACGACACCAGTCGCCAACCGTTCTGGGCAGCCGTTTCGTATGGCCATCATTGGCTCGGGGCCGGCCGGGTTTTACACCGCGTACCGGGCCATGGCCAGGATCCAAGATGCCAAAGTTGACATGTACGAAGCCTTGCCTGTGCCTTTTGGTCTCGTGAGGTTCGGCGTGGCTCCTGATCATCCGGAAGTTAAGGTAGAACAAGATTATTCTATACATAATTCGTCTCGTATTGTTCATGTGTTGACCCGTTGGTGCAGAACTGCCAAGAGAAATTTGAAGAGGTGGCCTCCTCTCCCAACTTCACCTTCATCGGCAATGTCTCTATCGGTAACAAAAGCGACCACTCGGACGGCTGCACTATCCCTCTTGCCAGTATTCTAAGGCACTATCACGCCATCGTGTTCTCTTACGGCGCCGCCAAAGACCGGATCCTCGACATCCCCGGTGAGAATCTCAAGGGCGTGTACTCGGCCCGGGAGTTTGTGGGCTGGTACAATGGCCTTCCCGAGCACGCCAATCTCAACCCGGATCTCACGAAGGGAGAAGAAGCTGTCATTATTGGGCAGGGCAACGTAGCGCTTGATGTGGCGAGAATGCTGCTGGAGGATGTGGATGTGCTGCGCAAGTCAGACATCGCAGAACATGCCATCGAAACGCTGTCCCAAAGCAAAGTCAAGCGGGTGCACATTGTTGGCCGCCGAGGTCCGATGCAGGTATGCTTTCTCCTAGCCGGATTTCATACCTTAACACCAATAATACTAATACGGACTAGGCCGCATTTGCCTCCAAAGAAATCCGTGAACTCAAGCGTCTTCCTAGAGTTGCCTACCTCCCTATCGAACGCTCCTTGATACCACCAGATCTCAAAGCAATCCCACGCGCCCCTCGCCGACTCATGGGGATCCTCAGCGAACACTCCAGCGATCGTCTCACCGACGCCGAAAACCCTGCGCTAAAGTCCTGGTCCCTCGACTTCCTCCTCTCCCCAACTGCCTTTCTCCCCTCAGAATCCTCCCCTGACCAACTCGCCGCCACTCAGTTCGCCCGCAACACACTTTCCCCCTCTCTCTTTGACCCACAAGCCTACGCCCTCCCAGCCATAAATGAAGACGATGGACAACCGACCACGACAACGCTCAAATCCCCTCTCGCCTTCCGTTCCATAGGCTACCGCGCCCAGCCGCTCCCAGAGTTCGCCGCGCTCGAGATCCCTTTCGACGACCGCCGCGGTGTGATCAGCAACGACGGGCCTAGCGGGCGTGTCCGGCATGAAGTGCGCGGCCGAGACGCAGCCATGACACTGGGGAATTTCCCGGGACTATACTGTGCCGGTTGGGTCAAACGTGGGCCGACGGGGGTGATTGCCTCTACGATGGAGGACGCATTCGCAACAGCGGAGGCGGTCGCAGAGGATTGGCATAGTGGGAATGTGAAGTTTCTGCATGATGGAGATGGTAGCGCGAGTGGGGGTGAGAGTGGGACGGTAACAGGATGGGAGGGGGTGAAGGCTGAGGTTTCGAGGAGTTCAGGACTGGATAAAGCGAGGGTGGTGGATTGGGAGGGGTGGAAGAAGATTGATGCGGCAGAGAGGGAAAGGGGCGAGGGGGTGGGTAAGGAGAGGGAGAAGTTTACAAGCACGGCGCAAATGCTTGGGGTGCTAAGGTGAAGAAAAACACCAAGAAGTCCAGGCGTCATTTGTGGTGTGTGGCGTGTGAACATTTTGTACATTTACTGTAAAATCATAGAGCAAGCCTTCCCTGTACACGGGGGAGCATACACTACTTCCTATCTACGCCTTCAACTTCTCTGTCAGCTCCGGCACTTTCTCAAACAAATCCCCCACCAACCCAACATCCGCCACCTGGAAGATCGGCGCATCCGCATCTTTGTTGATCGCCGCGATCACTTTGCTGTCCTTCATACCCGCCAGATGCTGGATCGCGCCCGAGATGCCCACGGCCAGGTACAGTTGCGGCGCTACCACCTTGCCGGTCTGGCCCACCTGCAGACTGTTGTCCGCGTACCCGCTGTCGACTGCCGCGCGTGACGCACCCACCGCGGCTCCCAGCGAGTCCGCCAGGGGGTTCATGATCTTGTCGAACTCCTCCTTCGACTTCAAACCCCGCCCACCTGACACCACTTTACCCGCCGTCGCCAAATCCGGCCGGTCTGACGTCGCCAAGTCCTCCGACACCCATTCCGTCTGACTCTCCACCTTGGGGTCAACACCGTCTTCCACCGCCGCCGAGCCACCGCCGATGGCCGCGGCCGGGAAGGCCGTGCCCCGCACGGTAATCACCTTGACCGCATCCGACGACTCGACCGTGGCAATCGCGTTGCCCGCATAAATCGGCCGCACAAACGTCTTGTCGTCCTCGATAGCCGTGATATCTGAGATTTGCTGCGAATCCAGCAGCGCGGCCACCCGCGGCAACACGTTCTTGCCAAACGCCGTATTGCCCGCAACCACGTGCGTGTACCCGCCCTTCTTGATGTTTTCTACCAGCAGTGGCGCATAGTTCTCCGGCAGGCCCTTGTCATACGCCGCACTGTCCACCACGATGACCTTTTCGAGCCCCTCAACCTTGGCGGCCTCGTCGGCGACGGATTTGATGCTGCTACCGGCGACAAAGCCGTGCACAGAGCCTCCGAGTTTTTGAGCGGCGGTTACGGCGCTAAGTGAGCCAGTGTTGAGCTTGCCTTCGCGCTGTTCTAGGATGGCGAGGGCGGAGAGGAGACGGCGGAGTGCGGCCGGGGACTGGAAGAGGGTCGAAGTCGTCGCATTGCGCAGTGTCGGGCGGGAGAGCGCCGAGAATGCCCGGCGGCCGGCCCCCAGCATGATTTTGGAGTGGATTGGTGGTTTGGTGGTGTGTTTGGTGCAGCAATTGGAGGTCGAGGTCGCTGATCAGCTCGCGGTGGTCGTCACAAAACAAGGCCGGCGAGACACTCCGATTTCAAGACGCAAGCGACGGATTGAAGCGGCCCGAGGTTAGCTCGGAGGGGTCCACCAGAGCCGTAACGAGCCGGCACCAGGGGTCTGTGTCAAAAGTCATATTGTTGCTGGAGCTGTGGCTTATTCTATAGACAGTGGCACTGTCACGTGAGTGAACAATCTCAGAGGAGCGCAGAACGCGTCCGTGCACTCGAGCTGGCGCTTGCTTCGCCTGTTCGACGTGCTGCAGTCCGTCGCGAACAATTTCTCCAACGCGATCCATCACGAACCGCCCCTCCTTGCAACCATCGCCAAAATAGCGTTTGCGCCGGCTCACATCAAGAGTCGATTCGGCATTTGGTTGTAACACTTGCAACTTCATTTTTTTCATTGCCGGACCCGCGCTTTTTCACCACCCGCATTCGATTGGCCACCCAGTTTTATTGTGGCTGGTGCATCGACCCGCGCTCGCCTGGATTCGACGTTGCTCTCTTTTCTAGTTTTACGACTTCATCGCCGCCACAATGGATGAGAGCTCGGTTAGCTACGGCACCCCGACAAATGGTGCATCGCCGGGCGCCAACCCGATTCTCGCGCAACCACCTCTCCCTGATGCCAACGATCAGAACGCAGGTATGTTGGATGCAGCCAGGGATGGATAGGTGGATTACACAAACGGGTGTCACTAACATTACCCTTTTTCAAGATGTCCAAATGAGCGATGGACCGGCAATCAAGCAGGATAGTACCACGCCCGCCCCCGGCGCCACATCCGACAACCCGCTCGATGCGCCCGAAGGGCCCCCCGCCGAGGTGACGGGTCAGGATGAAGAGATGGGCGATGTGTCGAAGGGCGAATCAGCGCAGGGTGACGGGCAAGACGGTGCAAGTGAAGCCAAGACAAAAGAGTTCATCGAGAACGCCGCCCGAGAACACCTGATTTCCCAGACCCATGCCATTGTTCTCCCCAGCTACAGCACCTGGTTCGACATGAACGCCATCCATGCCATCGAACGGAAGGCTCTCCCTGAGTTCTTCAACAACAGGAACCGCAGCAAGACATCTGTGGTCTATAAAGATTACCGTGATTTCATGATCAATGCGTACCGATTGAACCCTATCGAGTACCTCACGGTCACGGCGTGCAGGCGCAACTTGGCGGGTGACGTGTGCGCCATCATGCGCGTGCATGCGTTCTTAGAGCAGTGGGGCCTTATTAACTACCAGGTACGATGCTTCTACGGCTGTTTACAAGAATAAATTGAATTGTTGCTAACGTCTCTGCTAGGTTGATACCGATCAACGGCCCTCCCATGTCGGGCCCCCTTTCACCGGCCACTTCAAGATTATTTGTGACACGCCCCGTGGTCTTCAGCCCTGGCAACCGGCTGCCGACCCCGTCGTCACGGAAGGCAAACAGAACAAGGACACCGAGGCTAAAGCTGCCGCAACCCCGGCGCCTAAGAGCGAGCTCAACCTAGAAGTCGGCCGCAACATCTACGAGGCCAATGCAAAGAGCAACAAGCTGAACAAAGGCGACAACAAGTCCAACGGCGAAGCGCCCACCACTAATGGTGTGTCGGGTACCGATGAGCTGACTAAGGCTCCCGTTGTCAAGGTCAACTGCTTCAACTGCGGGACCGACTGCACCCGCATCTACTACCACAGCTCGCAGACCGACCCCAACAACAAGGCCAAGTACGATTTGTGCCCAAGCTGTTACCTCGAAGGACGCCTCCCTGGAAATCAGACGAGTGCTCACTACACCCGCCTGGAAAATCCCACCTACTCGTCGATTCTTGATCGGGATGCGCCGTGGAGCGATGCTGAGATCTTGCGGCTACTGGAAGCGCTGGAACGATATGACGAGGACTGGAGCGAGATTTCCGAATACGTGGGTACCCGGACACGCGAGGAGTGTGTGCTTCAGTTCCTGCAGCTCGACATTGAGGATAAGTACCTCGACTCGGAGCGTCTTGATGCCCCGATCGGGCTTCAGATGCTCGGCAGCCACGGCGGGCAATTGCCCTTCAGCCAGACCGACAACCCGGTTATGTCGGTCGTTGGCTTCCTTGCCAGCCTCGCAGACCCCGCAAGCACGGCCGCCGCCGCCAACAAATCTGCCGAGGTTCTTAAGCAAAACCTGCGCAACAAGCTCGAGGGTGGTGCATCATCCGATACGCAGCAGACCAACGGAAAGGGGAAGGAGAAAGCGGGCGCTAGCGGTGATGACACGATGGACGTTGACCTCCGCCACGAGACGACGACTACTACGACCACTACGACAACCACTACAACCACCTCATCCTCCGCGCTTGCCAGCATCCCCCTCGCCGCGGTCGGCGCCCGCGCTGGCGGCCTCGCTTCGCACGAAGAGCGCGAGATGACGCGCCTCGTCTCATCAGCCGTCAATATCACCCTCGAGAAACTCCAACTCAAGCTCCAGTACTTCAACGAGATGGAATCGATTCTCCAGGCGGAGCGGCGCGAGCTCGAGCGCGCGCGTCAACAGCTCTTCCTGGACCGCCTCGCCTTCAAGCGCCGTGTCCGGGAGGTGCAGGAAGGGTTCAAGCAGGCCGCGGCGGTGGGCGGCGAACAGGGCGCACGGTTGGCGCAGGAGGTGAACACAGATGGCGGGAAGGTCGTGTTCCACGCGCCGCCGGCGGTGGCGGCCGTGCAGCCGCTCAGTGCGGAGGGGCCGGTGAAGACTTTTGAAGCTTAGACATGGAATGTCTTACTTTGGGTGGTGTCCGGGAACGGGAACGGGTGTGTTTCGGATGGGAGGAGGTGTATTCGGTTGTCTGTTTTCGTGTGCCCCCGCCTTTTCTCGTTTCTGTTACCCCACTAACCGTACCCTATCCTGTCTTCTATTTTTCTCTTAACCTCTCGTTCCCTTGGGGTTTTCTGTTTGGCTGTAGCTTCTTCTCGGCGTCTAGGGTCGGCAGGGCGGTCGATGGGTAACGTTATTTATGTATTGGGGCTCGTGTGGGAGTAGTGATATGCAAATGTAGTACGGTACGCCGAACCAGATGAATGGCATGAAGTAAAGGAGGGCGACCGACGAATTTAGTAGTGTGATAAAGAGATGGCCTCTACATGTGTCTTGTCCTGTGTTCACCCGCCTGTCTATCAATTGCCGGGAATGGCAGGGCAACTCTGCTAACTGACTGCCTGGTAAATATTATTGGGTGGTTAGGAGGCAAGAGGTTTTGACACCACGATGTATTTGTCATATGATATGATATATGTTGCACCCCTCTCTGATTATGCTGAAGCGATTTGCTTGCCAGGCCTAATAGAGTGGTACTTATAGGTAATAGTGGAAGTGGAAGTCATCGCAAAATAAAAAAGTGACAATAGAGTTGACGGAAGTGGGGTTCGAACCCACGCTCTCTCTCGAGAAGAGGAGATTTAAGAAAATACTTAAATCCTCCGCCTTAGACCACTCGGCCATTCCGCCCTTATCTTAAGATATTTCCCGACGGTAATCCTATCTGAAGCAGCTGTTGTGGGCAAGAGGGATCGAGGAAGTCGGAGGGTCGGGTGTGGTGGAACGCTGTGCAGCCCCCTGTCACTAGCGGCCAGTGCCCGATTATCGCTCACATTGAGCGGTTTGGTTGACAAGGAAACAAGACACTTCAAGGTGCCTATACCGGGTGATAGATGAGACATCTTTCAGCGAGACGACGGTACCGATGAGAGGCACCGACGGCCGAGCCGGTTATCCATGTTTGCTTTGCATCTGACCCAATTGGTGGGTGTGCATGCAGAAATTGAATGGGGGAACAGCGAGCTTAGTCGTGTGCTAATATCACTTGCTCATGTCGCTGGCTCGCTAGGTTAAGTGATATTTTTGGGGGTTTCTGGACGGTTGAGAAGGATTGCAGAGAATACAACGCGAGCGGTCGAACGGGAGCAAAGTCGGCTTTTTGGCATGTGAAGAAAGGCTGCTGGCGACTGTCTGTCCACCTACAACGTGCAGGGTGTTACTCCGGTGGTCCGCAAACCAGAAACGACGTCAGCCTGTGGCGTGTGGCACCAGACCTCGAGGTGTGCGGCTGACTGGCCGGGGCAAAGTGAGCCCCATGGTAGCCGCGGCCGTTTGGAGAAAGATGGGGAAGCCGAAAGGCTAAGAGCGGCAATTAGCCTCGGTTCGGGCCAAATGCGGGCGCTGCACATTCGCTTCTCACACACAGTGGACAAATCGTCCCATGCTCGAAACACCGCGGCAAACCCCAAGTTGATTGACGGACTAAAAAGTATTGCGCGAAATTTCCCTGTATTGGCCTCAAATCAGACACCCGAAGTCGCTGGACTCTAAAAAACGCCGAACTTCTCGTGTTATTTCTTGCTATCCGTCAACTCCCGCGGCTCTTGCTAGAACCTCAAATCACACCCCGGCCCCCCGCTGCCAACCCCCAGGCCTCCCAGAACATCCTGGTCACTCTTACACACGTTGTCGAGGCGAACTCCTTGTTCCAGACTCGAGGCTCGGCTCTTCGGGTTCATTTCTATTTTTCCATTTTATTTTCTTCTCCGTTTCCTTTTCTCCCTTTTTTTCTCCAGCTCTTTCTTGGAACGGAAGTTGTGATGTTGGCCGCGATTGCGAGAAAAGAGGTCCGGTCTCCCGCTCTTCGAACCCTCCTATCCCGTCAGACAGCCTCCCCACTGGTCAGTGCTCTTGTGCCTTTTTTATTCCGTGTTGGGTTGATCTCCTAGAACGTCTTTGTTGACACGCGCCGAACCCGAAAAGCAGAGGATCACCGCCATGGCGCCCGCAAGCAGACGGAATAACAGCTCCCTCCCGGCGGGGTATGTCGAGGACAAGTCCAAGGGCGCGATGTTGCGATTCCAGGACTCTCTCCCACGGCTGCCCGTGCCAACCCTGGAGGAGACCGCCGCCCGCTATCTCAAGTCGCTCAAGCCGCTCCTCACAACTGCCGAACTCGAGACCAGCACCAAGGCCGTGCAGGACTTCATTGCCCCTAACGGCCCTGGTCGCAAGCTGCAGGAGAAGCTGGTCGCGCGCCGCGAGGACCCCAAGCACAAGAATTGGATCTACGAGTGGTGGAACGACGCGGCCTACCTCAGCTACCGCGACCCTGTCGTGCCCTACGTCAGCTACTTTTACTCGCACCGCGACGACCGCAGGCGCCGCGACCCGGCTAAGCGCGCCGCTGCCATCACCACTGCCGCTCTCGAGTTCAAGAAGCAGGTCGACACTGGCAGCCTCGAGCCCGAGTACATGAAGAAATTGCCCATCTGCATGGACAGCTACAAATGGATGTTCAATGCCAGCCGCGTGCCCGCCAAGCCCGCCGACTACCCGGTCAAATTCGACCACGCCCAAAACAAGCACATTCTTGTGATCCGCAAGAACCAGTTCTTCAAGATTGTCCACGAGGCCGGCGGCCAGCAGCTCAACACCTCAGAGCTCGAGCAGGCTTTCCGTCGCGTCTACGAGCTCGCTGGTGAGCGCGCCCCGGCCGTGGGTGCGCTGACTTCAGAGAACCGCGACGTGTGGACCGATGCTCGCGCCGTCCTGCTCTCCGCCGACCCGTCCAACGCCAAGGCGCTCGAGGCGATCGAATCAGCTTCCTTCGTTGTCTGCCTGGACGACGCCCGGCCTGTGACGCTCGAGGAGCGCGCGCACGCGTACTGGCACGGCGACGGTCAGAACCGCTGGTACGACAAGCCGCTGCAGTTCATCGTCAACGACAACGGCACTTCGGGATTCATGGGTGAGCACAGCATGATGGACGGCACGCCAACGCACCGCCTTAACGACTATGTCAACGAGGTTATCGTCAACAACAAGCTCGACTTCTCTAACCCGACTGTTCGCTCCCACCTGCCGGACCCGCAGCCGGTCAAGTTCACTGTCACCAAGGAGGTCCAAGCGGAGATTGACCGCGCCATCCACGACTTTGGTGCCGTTATCGGCCAGCACCAGCTCGCCGTGCAAGCCTACCAGGGCTACGGCAAGGGTCTGATCAAGAAGTTCAAGTGCTCGCCCGACGCGTACGTACAAATGATCATCCAACTGGCCTACTTCAAGTTGTACGGCAAGAACCGCCCGACCTACGAGTCCGCCGCCACCCGGCGCTTCCAGCAAGGCCGTACCGAGACGTGCCGATCCGTGTCCGAAGATAGCGCGGCGTGGTGCCGCGCCATGGGCGACGAGTCGGCCGACAACGAGACTCGCATCGCACTCTTCCGCAAGGCTGTCGCCTCACACATTGAGTACATCAGCGCGGCCTCGGACGGCAAGGGTGTCGACCGCCACCTGTTTGGCCTCAAGCGCCTGCTTGAGCCGGGACAGGAAGTCCCCGCCATCTACGCTGACCCGGCGTTCGGCTACTCCTCCTCGTGGTATCTGTCCACCAGCCAGCTGAGCTCCGAGTACTTCAATGGGTACGGTTGGAGCCAGGTCATCGACGATGGGTTTGGCATTGCGTACATGATCAACGAGAACAGGTAAGGACAGCAAATCGCCAAGTTCTGAGATTATTGAGTTCCCCGTTTCTAACTTGTGGCCGTAGCATCAACTTCAACATCGTTTCTAAGGGCCTCGGCAGCGACAAGATGAGCTTCTACCTCAACGAGGCGGCTGGCGACATGCGCGACTTGCTGGTGCCCACGCTAGAGACTCCCAAGGCCAAGATCTAAAACAAGCGAAAAAAAAAATGAAAACAAAGGGAAGTGTACCTCCCGGACTGAAGCCTTTTTCTCTTCCTCTTTGGATACTCGGGGAGAGCGGGCTAGCAGCGGCATGTGGTAGACTTGTATTGGCGTCGTCGTGCTCGTTATTGTTTACTTTTAGCGAACTGTTCAATATTCATTTATACCTCAGTGGGGGAGCATTTTGATGCATGATTTTCCCTTTTCCTCTCACACAGTCTTCATCTTAGAGTTAGACTTGCTGTGTTGATTGTCATAGACAGATGCCAAAAGTGGACATTTTTTATTGTTGTGTGCCTAATTCCCGGTCTGGTGTTCCTGTTTCATCCGTAACTGAGCGTAGATACGGGAGGTCACAAGGTCACGCCCGGGGAGATGCGGAGGATGCCCGAAATTCCTAGAAAGGATCTCGGCATTGCTTTTACAGCCCCTAGCGCGATTGGTCGTTCGAAGGCGGCGTCGGTTGCCTTCAACGGACGCCTTGGCGGGTAGTTTTTGATATTGACTCTTGAAGGATGATTCCCGAGCAGCCCTCCCTTCCCCGCCTAAATCTGTTTCAATTCCCCCTCAGTACGCGCAGTCGTCTTCTCCCTCACCTTCCCTAAGCACTCAGTCCCCCAGACTTATTGCGCCGTCATGTCAACGGAGATGGAAACCAAATACATGGCCCCCTCTACAACCACCCCAACAGCCTCCTTGATAACCACTTCACCCTCCAAACCAAGACTCCCTGCGCCTCTCTCCGAGTCCACTTGCATCGCAACAACGAAAGAACGGAAATACTACCGTGCCCCGGCCGTCTTTCTCAAGCGCAGTCTACGGCCGGATGAGTATCAGACAGGGCCGGATGGTGCAACCGTTCATGTCCCTCACTTGGCGAGGGAGAGGCTGATGAATGAGGCGGCTGCGCTGGATTTTGTGATGCGGAATACGGATTTGCCGTGGGTAGCTATTTTCCTTATTATTCCTACCATGCATTTGCCCTTTTGTTGATCCTCCCTTTTTTACTGTATCGATTTTGAGCCCCCTTTCTCCGCCTAGGAATAAGGGGCTAGTTGGCCAAACTTTTGATTAGCGATGCATACATAAATCTAAAGTGCTCTGCAACTGACACCGAACTCTCACAGCGTCCCCCGGGTCTGGGCATACTTCGAATCGGACGGCGCTTACTGTCTAATGACCGAAGCAATGCCGGGCGTTGAACTGTCGTGTCTTTGGGAAGATCAGAAGCCGACCGTGTTGGCCGAGTTAGCCAAACACGTAGCTACACTCAAGACGCTGCGGTCGGACCGGCTCGGGGGTCCGACCGGGTTGGTGGTGCCCCCTGTGAGGCTTCGGTCGGGAGGGAACGGGGAAGAACTTTCGGGGGAGAGCGAGACCCGTGGTTGGGGAGGGGATGAAGAACTCCATGTGGAACAACAAGGTGGGCTGCATCAACCACAGCCAGGGCCACAAGAAGGACAAGATGAACTACATCTCCCGCCGTTATCGGAGAAGTTCAGTCAAACATTCGACTCTCCCACGGGCTCTCCACAGCTCCCGAATTCACCAAGCCCAGCCACTACCCTGCCTAGCAAACCCTACGTCTTCTGCCATAACGATTTGCACCAGAACAACATTCTCGTCGACCCATCCACACTCAAGATCACCGCCATCCTCGACTGGGAATATGCCGGATTCTATCCTGCTTGGGTTGAGTGCCCTGCTGCGTGCTACACCCGGCTTGGGGATTGTGTTGGCCTAGAATTCCAATAGTGCACAGTGGGATGACTCAGGATGAAGGAAGATAGGTGTTTGGGTAGTGGCTGGTATGGAGCTAGATTAGATGGCGATACTGGAGTATGGCCTTGCAAAGATCGCTTTGGTTCCTGATAGTTAGCTGCCGATTTATGACACAGGAACAGAAATAACATATATGATGCACCGAACCGCTGTCTTATACAATGCCTTTTACAACTATCCAATACGGATAACCGCCGCCAGCCTTGGACATCAGTTGGGCTATATATTTGACCGCAACCTCCCAACTCCTATAAATCCAACTAGCCGGTACCCGCTTCACCTTCGCCGTGGCTCCCTATTACTCCCTCTTACGACGCGTGCGAGACAATTTCATTCACAGCATCGCCCTTCTCCGGATCGAACCAGGAGCAAATCTGGCTCGGCAGTGGTATCTCCTTGTAGTCCTCGTCCTCCCCATCACCCGCAAGGACATTCAGGTTGATGCTCGAGGATTTGCTTGAGTACAGTCGCGTGGCCGAACTCTCTTTGCTGAGGTAAATCTGCGCGCCGTCGACCTGATCCAACAACACAGTCGGGATGGTCCCCATGACCTGCAGTGCAAAGTTGCCCGACTTGACAATATCAACGGTAGAGATGAGCGAGTCAACGACGAGTGAGAGCCGATTGGTGTTCTCGATGGTGACCTGGTTGGCCTTGCCCTTGAGGATGATGGTACTGCTGTTGACTTTAGAAATGAGCACGGACTCAGCGATGGAGACTTCGATCTCGATGGGGGCGGGCTCCTTGTCGTAGTTTTCCTACGTGATTGTTAGTGCAATCCTATCATGGGCCAGCATACGAGAGACCCGGAAACTCACAATCGTCCACTTCTTCCCGTCAAGCTCCTTCTTGGGCGGTTTCTTGACGCGCATGCTCTCCGGCTTCGGCTTCGTCCCTGGCGGCGCGGGGCTCTTACCCCTTCCAGCAGCCGCGCCGCGTTCAGGAACCGTCGATCCGGCGCGCAAGGATGGGTTCTTGTGCGTCATCTCGGACTTGTCCACCTTCCGCAGGCCCTTAGTGACGTCCTCGCCCTTGTTGAGTTCCGAGAACACTGCGCCGAGCCCGCTGGGCGCGCCAGTTTCGGCCTTTTGCTCGTTGATCTTGAGAACCGGGGGAGGACCTGGCGGGGGCGGAGGAGGAGGAGGAGGAGGGCCACCACCAGCGGCAGTAGGGGGCGCCGGTGCGGCCGGGGCAGAAGGCGCGCTGACAGCCTTAGCTGCCTCGGTCGCCGGCACACCCTTCGGATTCCAGGGAACGCCACTCGGGAAGTAGTTCTTCACGTACTCGGTGAAGTCGCGGAAGAATTGGGTAAATGCCTTGACCCACTCGACCTGCTGCTCGTCTCTGTGACAGCGAAAAGTCAGCGTTGAGCATTCTCCGTGCTGTTTGGTTGCACTCACTTGTTCTTATTAGCCGTCAAAATCTTGTTACTCCAGAATTGGGCAGCCGCAAAGCTGGATTCGATGTGCTTGAACGGCTTGGCGTCAACCGTGACCCACCCCAGCGCCACAATGCTCTCGGACACAGTGCTGAGGTTGTTGTAGTGCTTGTCGCTGCGATTGTCCTCCTTGATCTTCACAATAGCCTCCATCAGACTACCCATGGGCTTCACAAGTTCTTGAAACACGGAAGCGCCGGCCCCTGCAATGTCCGGCTTCTTCGCCTTGGTGCTGATCAAAAGAAACTTGCGCTGCTCCTCGAAGGCCTTGACGACCTTGGCGGCCTGCTCGGCAACCAGGCCTCCGATGTCATTGCTGATTTTGATCCACTTGGAAAGCGACTGGCTGGTCAGGGTATCAAATTCTTCAATGAACTCTGGGACGGGCTCCTGGGCGGCCGGAACGGGGGTCGGCCCCTTCGCTATCTGGGGGGGCGCGGAGGATGCGGGCGCCGGAGGGGGGAGAGCGGGAGCAGCGGGCTTCGGGGCAGCGGCAGATTGTTGAGACCCCGCGGCGGGATGCGGAGTGTCGAAGGAGGACTGGGCAATGTCTTCAAGGCGAGACGTGGCGGCCTCGAGCCTGGCATGTGTCAGTGTCGAGTCGTAGGTTATATGCGCCGTTGGGGGTAGCTCGACTACCGACGACGGCGGAACAACGAGAACGAAATGCCCACCTCTTAATCAAGGTCGTCAGGTTATGCATCGAATTCGCCGCCATGGTGGAGATCTGAGAGCGTGTTGAGAGTAGGAGAGGTCGTTCGGGGGTTGTGGTCGTCGGGCCGCGCGGGGGGAAGTCGAGAGCAACAAAGTATATACTTGTGGAGAATATAAGTACTCGGCGCCCGTTCTGGAAAAAAACCTTGTTGCCTATGTAGTGGCTAGCAGCGCTTGCGCGGCCTCGTTAGTAAGGCTAAGTTGAACCAGGCAACGGCATATAAAAGTTGTTGAGATGGAATGGTGGAAGCCTTGAACTTGACGCAGCCGTCGCGCCAAAAGGGGATGTCGATGGTTGAGACACCCCTGGCGCCCAGCAGCTTCAGAGCTCCGACAAGGGGGGTGTCAGACCCCACCAGATTGCAGGCCAATCACTTGCAGCGGCCCTTGTTCGGGCTGCAATGATCCTGGGCGCTGTCGGTGCCAGGCACCTGCTGGAGTGGGGCCTGGCAGTGACGACGCCCCGCGATTGAAGATTCCATTCCATCTTCCCAAAGTTCATTTTGACTACGGAGTATCACATCTCTTTTCACTTGTCATATTCACAGCTTGGAGCGGGTGTTGCCCGTGTCTTAATGGTGCCTCGTCTTTCGAACCATCTTCCTCGGGCATGGTGAATTTTTCGATTTGTTTCAACATGAAATTCAGCTTTTGATTCGCATTGCGAAATGCCCCACTTCCACGCGAACCTGGGCTGAGAGTTTGAAAAGTCCCATTAGTAACGTTAAACATAATACTGAGTCGACCACTCGCTGTTGGCCTTGAAGCGGATGTCCACTTTACACATGCTGCCGTGGCCCTGTTGGAAATCTAGACAGGGCGGTCACTGCCTTATCTAACTTTATGCAGAGTTCCGGATCGAGACTCTCACGCCCAAGGCTGTTAGCCAGTGACGGTCCGGCTTCTCTGTTTCAGCTCAGTGAGGGCGAAGGACCGCATCTCTGCTTTCTGTCGTGCTTCTTCTTCTACGTTGTCTTCCTCCTTTTCTTTTCCTCGATTATTTTTATTTCCCCTCTTCTTCTGTTAGTGAGCAGCCTCGCTGTATATCTAGGCCGAAGACCGAAGGTTCAATCACCGCTTCTTTTGGCTTCCTTGGCGCTCGACTCCCCTCAAAACACACCATCTTTCTCTTGCCCTCCCTGCCAAGGCAGTCTGCAGCCGAACGGTTATCGTGGTCCCCTACCCGGTGATGGGCGCAGATATGTCGTCCGAAGACCGAGCCTTGGAGAAGGTGGAACCGGGACAGACTGATGGAGACATTCCCGATTCCCAGGAGATTGACTTCGTGACCTTAGGCATGTTCATTATTGGTATGATTAACCAATCCCCCTTACTTATTACTACCTACACTGTTGTGTTGTCGTAGCACATGAATTATGGCGGTGCACAAAAACGTCGGTTCTGTGTGGTCATGTCGGACCCAAGCACTCTTGTTTCGATATTGATGTCCCATCACTTTTTTCACTTGACCAACCGCAATATCGGAAGACAAAGGGCTAATACCGTCCGTCTAGATGAAATCGAATTTCCGCCTCCTAAACCACCAGTCTACAACATCCTCGGCGGCGCGGGCTCCTATTCCGCTCTAGGCGCCCGTCTCTTTTCCCCACCACCGTCCTCCAAAACCGTGGGTTGGATCGTTGACCAAGGCTCTGACTTCCCGCCCTCCATCACCACCCAGATCAACAGCTGGGAGACCTCGGCTGTCTTCCGCCATGACCCTTCGCGCCTCACTACCCGCGGGTGGAACGGCTATACCGACGAAAACTCCGACCACCGTGCCTTCCGGTACACCACTCCCAAACTACGCCTCACCGCTACCGACCTGACCACCCCACTCCTCCAAGCGAAAGCCATCCACCTCATCTGCAGTCCTTTACGCTGCCAGGAGCTCGTCAGCGACATGCTGGCTCGGCGCAAAGACGCCTACTTCGCCAACCCACCATCGCATGACCCGACAGGGGACGGGTACACCCGGCCACTGATCATCTGGGAGCCGGTTCCAGACCTCTGTGTGCCCACCGAGCTGCTCAACTGCACCAACACGCTGCCGATGGTGGACGTGTGCTCGCCCAACCACGCCGAGCTGGCCGGCTTCATGGGCGGGGACGGGCGGGATCCCGAGACGGGCGCGGCCGTGGACACGGCGGCTGTCGAGCGTGGATGCGAGCAATTGCTGGCGAGTATGCCCCTGCAGAGTTACACGTTGGTGGTAAGGGCGGGCGAGAAGGGGTGTTTTGTGGCGCGGAACGGGGGGCGAAAGAAGAAGGTTGTTGGAGGGGAACAGTCTGGAAGGAAGATTGATGGAGAGGGGGCAGCAGAGGAACCTCCGCGACCAAAAAAGAAGAAAAAAGAGTACATCCGTGGGGGTTTGCGTCCCGACACCGACATGGAAGCTCTCTTCGCGGGGTTGATGCAAGACGATGAAGGCCGGGTTGCGCGCGAGGAGATCGAGATCGACCCGGGCATCGAGAAATGGGTGCCAGCGTACTATGGCGAAGGGTTTACGGCCACCGAAGACGACGTAGACTCGAGTACAAGGGTAGTCGACCCGACAGGCGGTGGCAACACATTTCTCGGCGGCCTGTCGGTGGCACTCGCCCGCGGCAAGTCGATTGAGGAGGCATGTGCGTGGGGCCACGTAGCGGCGAGTTTTGCGATTGAGCAGGTCGGGTTTCCAGTGTTGAGTGTGGATGAGGAAGGGAGAGAGACGTGGAATGGGGTGAGAGTGGAGGAAAGGTTGCACGAATTCGAGGGAAGGCTGTAGGGGATACGAGCTGGGTAATATAATGAAAGTGGGAGCGAGAGGGAGGGGAGAAGACATATTGTTTGTTTAGATGCTTGGCATAGAGCTTATGATCGGTGTTTAGATAGAGGAACTAGCCGTCCTGTTTTTCTGTTTCATCGCCCCTGAATGAGTACTTACCTACCTAGGTAATCCTACCATACTCACGTCAATACTGGGGTCAATCTTAGATCGCAACGTTGGGGCCAGCTACACTAGTAGGGGGACAAGAAGTGAACAGGATTCCCTCGATGCGCCGTTCTGGCGAGTTACATTGAGTGGTAAATGAAAAGAGTGTGTCGTGTAAACAGCCGTAGCTACCAAACCTGGGACCCGCCTACATCCACTATACTCGGAGTACCCTCATGCGATGCACATAAATCATAACGCCTCATCCTACGTTCCATACCCTTCCGTACCCTGTCATGCCCCGCAACAGCAACACCCACACATCATTGAATCTCACCCTCAATCTCACCCTCACTTGGAACCCCAGCTTAGATCTTGTACACCAGTTCACCATCCGTATACCTATAATCACAGCCGGTTAGTACCAAAACTCCAAAAAAAGGGGGGAAATGGCAGGGGGAGACTCAAAAGGACAACCAAAACTCACATAATCTGATTCCTTGCATCCATCTCCTGCAAGGCTTTGACTGTCTCTGGCCGCGCAAACCTCGCGGGGCTCCTCGCGCCACCGGCCCCGATCTTGTTGTTTACTGCCTCAATCACCTCGGCCACGCCCGCCGGATCGTCGTCGGCAAACAGGTCCGTGTTAAGCAGTTGGCCCAACGCACGGCGGAAGACTTCGAGACGTGCTTCGCTGATTGGTTGGTCTTCTTCTTCTTCCCCTTCATCGTCGTTGGTGGGAGCAGAAACGGAGAGGTTGGCGGTCCCGGAGGCCAAGGTGAACTCGTCGTCGCCGTTGGTGCTGCCACGGAGCTGGGAAGCAGGGACAGAGGAAGCGAAGGACGGTTGTTGGGAGGTAGAGGCTGTTGGGCGGGTGGTGCGGGTGGTTCGGCGCGGGGTAGCGTTGTAGATGTCTTCCTCCTCCTCTTCTTCGTCTGCCCCATTTTCCCCTTCTTGCTCTCCGTCGCGGTTACCCCTGCTGGCACCAGCCCTCTGGGAGGTTCGCGTGGTCCGGGCGGTGCTGGTGCGCGCAGTGCTGCCTCGGGCAGTGCCGTTCGCCTCATCCCCATCTGAGTCCGAGTCCCCATCGGACGAGCTAGCGTCACCGTCGTCGTCATTTAGCGGCCGGGTAGTCTTGCGGCGCTTCTTGCGTGATTCATCTTCAACGACTTCCTTGAAGAGGGCGAAGCGGAGAATAGACTCGGCAGCGGCGGCATCGCGCTCCTCGACGCGGTTCGACAGCCGTGATTTGGCGTGGGCCGTGGCCAGACGGATAAGGGTCTCGAGCGTACGCACCGTCATGGGACTGGTTTTGCGCTGGTTGCTCTCCATGTCGTCGTTGCGCAGGCCGACATAGATATCGGCGACACGATCGGCCGCCTCCTGCGTCAGGACGGGCTTAATACGGGTCTTGGCGTACTGGATGTACTTCTTCATGAACGGGATGCTGAGCACCTCCGGCTTTTTGTTGGAGCCCCGTCCTGTGCCCTTGACGCCCGCATGCAGCATCACATCGTACTTCTCGTACACTTCCGTTGGCCGTTGGGACTCCGTCTGGTTGTTGAGCGCCACGTTGAGCGCCTGACCGGCGTTCTCCCGCACCGGCGCGCCATCTTCGGTGCCAGCCTGTCGGTACCTGTGCATACGGAGAACGTGCTCGGATACCTGCCTGTCTCGGGTGTCTTCAATGTCATCGGTCACAACAAAGAGAAGATCGAAACGTGACAGCAGCGAGTCGGGGAGGGCAATGTTCTTGTGCGGGTCCTTGTGGGTGTCATACTGGCCAAATATGGGGTTGGCGGCCGCGACGACACTGCAGCGGGCGTTGAGAGATGTGTGAATGCCTGCCTTGGCGATCGTGACGGTCTGCTGCTCCATGACTTCGTGGATGGCCACTCGGTCGATATCCGACATCTTGTCGAACTCATCAATGCACACCACACCGCGGTCGGCCATGACCATGGCACCGGCCTCCAGTCGCCTCTCACCCGTCTCTTTGTCGGAGGTGACGGCAGCTGTCAAACCGACACCCGAAGACCCACGACCGGTGGTGGCGATCGCCAAAGGGGCCGTGTTGAGCACGAAACGGAGCAGCTGGGACTTGGCCGTCGAGGGATCACCAACCATCAGGATGTTGATATCACCTCTCAGATGCGTGCCGTTCTCCAAGTTCTTCTCCATACCACCGAGCAGCATGAGTAGGATCGCTTTCTTGATATAGTCGTGCCCGTAGATACTCGGTGCTAGCGATTGCGATAGCAGGTCAAACAGCTTCTGCTTTTTGGCGATTTTGTTGATATTGCGAATATCAGTGTCAGTAATGGTTGCAGTGGCCACTCCGCCGCCCGACTTGGTCGAAAGCAGCACGATGTTGTTGGCCAGCAAAACTGTCTTGAAAAGCGCGCTGTTGTGGTTCGTGTTCCGGTTACCCAGCGTGCGATAGATGCCCACGAGCTGAACGCGATCTCCCGGCTTGACCTTGTCGACTAGGTCGTCATCCAGGATCACGTCCACACCTCGGGGTAACTGGCCAGCCGGAGCCCGCTCCGGCATCTCCTGGATCGAGATGGTTTGGTGGTCCCGGTATGTGCACAGGCCGTACTCGGTCATCAGCGGGTTGCCCTCCTGGTCTTCGGTCGGGTAGACGCTCGTCGTGGTAACGCCTTTGGTCATGGTCTGGTCGCGGTACTCCTTGAAATGCCATTTCTCTGTTGCCTCGGTGTAGTGTACGCTCTTCACGATCTTGGGCCGGATCAGGGAGCACCGTGTGACGATCCCCTCGATCGAGACCATGCTGTTGAGGTGCTGCGACGACAGCGTCCGCGGGTTGCATGCGTTCAGGCCGAAGCTCCCGGCCCAGGCACAGTAGTACAGCACATCGTCGTCGAGCTGGTCGGGTCGCGCTCGGGGTATCGTCTTGACAATCTCCTTGAGGGCGTGGTCGAAGGCCAGGATGTAGTCGAACGGGTCATTCAAAAGGCCCTCGGCGATCTCGGGATTGTGGTCGCGGACATGGTCGATATTAACGACAAGCCTACGCTGGTTCCTCTGGAGCATCAAAATAATGTCGGATTTGTAACTCCGTGCATGTTGGTCACCTGCAATCCCGATTCTCGTCAGCATATCACGCCGCAGCCATCAAGAAAAGAAAGCCCCCAGCACCAAAAAGTCGGACGTACGCGGATCAAGGAACTCTAAGGCCTGGCGCACGCGATCGCGCGTGGCCTCATCTCTTTGGAGCAGAAGTGCGTCCATGATGCTGCCCTAGTTAAAATTATGGTAGAATTGGGGGGGTAGAGGGGTGATTTTCGGCGGGATCAAGTTGTGAGAGGGATAGACGGTCAGGCTGGGCATGCGAATGTGGGGGTTGCTAAAACGCGACCACCGCGCGGGGCGGCGCGTCCAAGGCGCGCTACCCTGGTCTGATTTTAATTGATTGCAGCCCAAGCACAGACGGCAGAATAGTTTTGGGATGAACCGGGGTTCACACCGCTTTTGCTCTGGCAACTGGCGCTATCCTGGTCAAGGAGCTTGGCAGCTGGCACGCCACTTACACCACTAACACCCATATCACAAACCAACCTCGCTTGCTAGAACTTTGTCTTCGTCGCCTCAATTTTGATGTTGTGTTTCTAGTTCTATGTATTGTTTACACGCATGCTCACGGAGCGCACACAGTCACACCCACCCGATCACGTTCACGTACCCGTTGACGTCCTCTCATCTGGAGGTGTGCTGTCCAACATAAGGGGACACTAACTGTACCGATCTTCTTGTTGTACGAGACGAAGAAGCTCGATGAAATTGAGGAAACTGGAAAAGGAGGGGGGGGGGTTGGGGTTTATAGTTTCCTGTTCTTGCCTCCTCTTTCCCAACATTTCCCCCTCGTACTTTCCTTCTGTCTATTGAGTCCGTGACCTGCATGTGCACCCGCTGATATCGGCGGAGAGGAGAGACAGGAAGATGGGGGGACCACCAGTACCAAGGGAGGAGTGTTGGGCTCTTTCCTATTCACAAGCTAAGCTGGCTTCCAGGACCAGAGGTTCACCTTGGCCGAAGTGAAGTAGACAGAGAGGGTGTCGGCGGTTTCTCGGCCATTTCGTCACACCACGGGTCCCTCATCCCATGGTCCCGGCCCCCGACCTCGAATAACCTAACCTGGAACTGTCGACGCTCTCCCGCCACGACTTGGTCTGTGTCCACAACTGAGTCTATGGCACCTGGCGTTCCCGATGTCGTGTACTTGGCTAACTTCGTCGCGGATGCCTCACCACCTTCCCCAATTTCATTTTCCAGGGCGGCGTTACCTGCCAGCTTTGAGCTGAGGTTAAATCGAGGAACCTCCATGAGAGACAACGCCCAAACACGGGAACCGGCGTGACGAGGTTGTCTGCCGACGCTGGTTCTGCTCCCGCGCCCCGCGGAACGGTAGACCGTTGCACCTGGCTTATGGGCGAACAGAAGACAGCTTATGTAACTGGCTCCTCGAGTTACGGATTGACAAAACCTGGCATCATGAATTCTCGACTCTCGGTATCGGAGCAGCTTTCACAACATAACAGCAAACGGGCAGGCATACTTCCCCTCCCATTGTCTTTTTAAACAGACAAGTTTAAAAACTTGGACGTGATATCAGCACGGCAGCGCGTTGTTTACCTGCCAGATATTCTTCAAAATGCTTCGATGGCGCAGTTTCTGTGTTGCTCTTGCTGAAGGTAACACGAACGAATCGGAGTGTCTCGAACGCCGCAATGAGGTAAACAGAGCCAAGGGTGTGACCAGACGACGGTAGATGACGGGAAAAAACCCCTCCTTAGCGGAGTGGGACATGCATTAAAGCGTGCGTGAACTAGCTGTTCCCGAACCGTTCGTCTGTCAACTACCGCATGTTTCGTTGTCGCACATGGGGGATGAGCCCAACATTGGGCAGCGACATAATACCGCGGCATAATCAGTGTGGTTTAATGCTGCGAATGTGGTCTGAGAGTAGTTGGAAAGAGCACATTCGGTGCCGCTCGGCCGTTGAATAGCTTCGCTTCCGCTCTTATTCTTGGTTTCCGTCACCCTGGCGAAACACAACATGCCCGTGTTTGACTGTCAGCATCCTGTCCCGTGTTTCTTCCCGACCTTCCGTTACAGGATGGTTGGTTTATTGTTGTCGTCCCATAGCCGGACGCATCTGGCCGCGCTCGACCCGTTCTTGGCCGGCAAACACCAGCACGATGTCGCAAAATGTACAGGGCTTCCATGTAATTATATCAAGAAACAGACTTTTCAGTTGTTTTGAGGAACCTCCACATACTTGTTCTCAACTAACACAAGTTCGCCCCATATGCCCTCTTTGTTAAAGTTGTTTGATATTGGGGGCTCTTCATAATTGAACTACCCAATGTTGCGTAACTTGCACGTACAATCCCCTAGCTCTGTTGTCCGAGTCCAGCAGGTAGCGGACCTAAACTCATAACGGCCAGTCCTGGGCGAGTTCATCTTGCACGGAACTTCTGGAAGCCTGGCTCCGAAGCTCTCCGTGCTTCTCATCGCCAACCCGACCAATAGAGTGTGACTGTTGGTTCGTTCAATGTAACACATCTTGCGCGCTTCACAACCAACACTACCAACGGAACACCAGTGCCACCATCAAACGTGGTTGTGGGCCGTTCTCCGGGCTGATCATAAAATTCAATTGGTTACCGAACTGCTGGATGCTGAACAAATCGTCGAGCTAGCTTTTTAGGGGCGGTCCGACAGGTCTTAAGGTGTGTCACGAAATGCCCAGAAAAGCGACATCAAGAGACAGCGGGTATAATCCGAAGGAAATCACGACTTCCTCGTCCTACATCGGTTAGCCACGGGGGGACTCAATCTCATTGAGCGCCAGCATAGACCCGAGATACGGATGATGGCTTCCCGCCTGATACAGACGGCACCGTCGGGCATTCGTGCAGCTTATCATCCGTTCGAGGTGTAACCCAAGATTTTGATGCGAGGTCCGAGCCAAACTGGAGTTCCTGTCACTCGTGCATTTGGGTGGCTGCGGTGGACATGGTTTTCTGTCAACGACACCCCCTTTCTGGATGTCCTCTGTGGAGAGAAAAGGGATATTACAGGCTTGCAGCGGGGCCGAAGACGTGCATCATCTCCCCTGTCTTTTTACGCATGTCTAGAAAAGGAGAGCGAGAGCCCGAAACCGTACCGGATTCTCACTTCGCGTAACCCAGTTCGAATCCAACGGCGAAAATCGTCCAATGAAATAGGGGAGGAGAAAAACAGCCCGCAGAATCAGAGGTCGGGGGACGCTGCATGTCAACTGACAGCAACATCACACCCGAACCATGCAGGTGCAGCAATGCCCATGGCACCCTCTGGCTGACCCAAGTACGAACCGAGAAGAAGTGGTTGACAGAGAACGCCACGATCCGGCAGAACCCTTTTGACAGCCCCGCATGATCCTCCTGATTTGTCGAATGTGGTGAATTTATGCGGTGTCTTCCTCCTGCTGAGTACTATATATGTACCACTGGAGTCTCATGGGCAAGGGGGTGGGATAAATTGCTGACCGGTATCCGAAGAGTGACGTTGACAGGGGGAGGTTGCATCAGCGCGACTGTGTAAGTCCATGTGATGAAAATGAGGCTGGCGGACAAGTTCGGTCCCTCACCCATAGCATCGCGCCCCAGATAACACTGCCTCTTCGAACGGCATCAGGGCGTTGGTGTGGGAAGATGGATGGCCGTGCCATGGGTGTCATCCTGAGTACCATACTGAAAGCAGGGCTATCGACGCTGGTCCCTGGAACTGGTCTCCATTGCGAAGCTGCGTGCTCCCGGGCCCGTCATCGCTTCCAGCACTAAATAACCCAGAAAGGATTGTCTGCCATACACTACAACAGCAAATTCAGCAAACGGATGGTCAGGACTTTGCCAGCTTTGCCGAACGGAAAAGGAGGGAAAAAAAAAAAACTCCACCGTCGGCTGATGGAAGCGAGACCCGGGTCACAGCTTCACATTGACGGCGGGGCACCGCCGACTGAGCTGTATCGGGCCGCGAAGCTCCGTCTGCCCCGGCCCGAGGGTCGAAGTCAAGCTACCCGAAACTAAGCCATCCTTGCAAACGGACACGAGTTCCTACTCAAAGCGGGGATGATAAACGAATAAACACCACAGGGGGTATCCTGGTACTGGCCCTTGACGGTCAAGACAGCAAAAAGGGTGGCCGAACGATGGAACCGAGGTCGGGATGCCGAGTCCAATCCTTCGCCCTTCCCACTTTACCCCTCACCCGCAGAGCGTGCCGAGACAAAAAAACGTTTCAGCAGGGCGGAGGTTGCACAACAGCGGTGACAACTCGTGGCGTTCGCTGGAAAGTGGCTACCCGCAGGTGCTTTGTTGCACGTGGTACATGTTATACTTCCTTTCCCCTTTCCATCTATCCCACCCAAAACAACCCCCTATTCGGGACGCCTTGCTGTATGTTTCTTGCTTCCCGGTGCGAAACGAACAAGGGTGTCCCCCAGATTCCGCCCTACCGACCCCTCTCTTATCCGGAGAGTTTTGGAATCGGGACCCAGAGCGCCGATTTCGTCGTTACGAGGGGGAGGAAGGGGGGTTGCCGACCGGCTAGTGAAAATTGCAGTATTGGCCGTCCGAACGAGCGAATCATGCTGGCAACCGAAGATCCACTCTCTCATGGTACGGGACGCGTGGTTTGTGGTTCGAGAAAGAGAACTCCCGGCCCGGAGGTAACCAGTACCTGGTGTGGGCAGACCAAGGACCTTCTTGATGGGATGACAGGCACTACGAGGCACCGGCTGGCTCTCCAAGGGCCGCTAACATTGGTGGAGACAGTCAGTAGATTTGCAACAAAGAGGATTTCCATCCTGACTGGTACTCCATTCGCGTGACCGCGGCCGGGGTTCCGGCGTGGGTAGTTAGTAGATTTGTAACAAAGAGGATTGCCGTCTTGACCGGTTCTCCATTCCCGTGACCACGGCCGGGGTTCCGGCTAGGTGACTCGGGACGATCTGTGGTTCCTTCTACAAATAGAAGTATCTGGCACGCCCCAATGTAAGGCCCCCCCGTCCCCATTCTCTATGATATTCATTTTCTCGATTGAAGCCTTCTGAGACCACGTCAACGGACATCATGGTCTTAAAACAAATCGACGCTCCCCAAGGGGTTCAAAACCCAAACGGCCATGTTGACATGCGAGAGCAAACGAAATCAGCGGTGCTGCACAGGGACCTTGGCTATGAGTTTCTACATTTGGCAAAGGGGGAGGGAAAATACCTGGTGCTTGAGGATGGGAGGAGGGTTTTTGACGCTTCCGGAGGTGCTAGCGTCGGGTGTATTGGCTGGGGAAACGAGCGGGTAGTGGGCGCTGTCACGAAGCAGATGATGGCAATCCCATATTGTTCAACTGTCTTCTACACGACAAAGGTCCAGGAGGAGCTCTGCCGTTTTCTAGTGGACTCGACCCACGGTAATATGGGGCGCGCCTACATCGTCAACTCAGGTTAGTCAGGAGAGGGCAGGACCCCAAAATGGAGTGCACAGCTCTCACTAACATGCCTCAAGGTTCCGAAGCAATGGAAGCGGCGGTCAAGCTGGCTAGGCAGTACTTTCTCGAACTTAGTCCACCACAACCCCAGAGGAACCGCTTTATTTCTCGAAAACAGTCATACCACGGCATCACCCTCGGTGCATTAGCAGTTGGGGGCCATGAACATAGGCGAGAAAAGTTCGAGCCTCTTTTGATGAAGAACGTCTCCAGGGTGTCACCTTGCAACAGTTTCCGTGGAAAGAAACATGGCGAGACTGATAATGAGTACGTGGCGCGGCTGGCACAAGAGTTGGACGACGAGTTTGAAGCGGTCGGGCCCGATACGGTGTGCGCATTCGTTGCCGAGCCTGTTGTGGGCGCTGTAGGTGCAGCCTTGCCATGCTTTTCCTGTTGACGTCGCTGACCACACGATATAGGCGCTTGGGTGTGTTCCCGCGGTCGCTGGGTACTTTCGGGCCATGCAGGCTGTCTGCCAGAAATATGGCGCCCTCCTTATCCTCGACGAAGTGATGTGCGGCATGGGCAGGTCTGGTACACTCCACGCATGGGAGCAAGAAGGGGTGGTCCCTGACCTTCAAACAATCGGCAAAGCGCTAGGTGGCGGTTACCAACCGGTAGCGGGAGTACTCGCACACCGGAAGGTCGTGAATGTGCTCGAAAAGGGGAGCTCGTGAGTAACACATTGGCACCAAGAAAGCGGATTCTAGCTTGCTGGGCTTCTAACACTTTTATGACCAGAGTGTTTGTCCACGGGCACACTTATCAAGGCCATCCGGCTGGGTGCGCGGCCGCTTTCGAAGTCCAGAAGATAATTCAAGACGAGAGTCTCCTAGCGAATGTCCGGAAAATGGGCGAGCGTCTTTCCATTCGGTTGCAAGAAAGAATCGGGGCACATCCTAACGTGGGCAACATCCGGGGCCGCGGCCTTTTCTGGGGCGTCGAGTTTGTCGCCGACAAGAAGACCATGGAGCCTTTTCCGGCCGAGGATCGTATCGCGTTGGCCATCTCCGAGCGCGGCTTGGATGACAAGTACCGTATCGGCGTGTATCCCGGCGCTGGATCGGCCGATGGCATCCGTGGCGACCACGTTATCATCTCGCCCGCCTTCAACATAAATTCTGACGAGGTCGAGTGGGTTGTTGAATCTTTCGGGTGGCTTGTTGAAGATTTCTTCCGGGACATGAAAACTTCTGGCTGTCTCATTTGAAGTCTACCGAGTCCGCGATGAGATTGAACGTCCTCCTGGTCGGGGTGCGGTGGAATCGAGACGGAGAAAGTAGAAATAGCATACGAGGCCAGATTAGTAGTGAACAAAACTTCGATGGCTTCACTTTAATTCCTTGATATTTTGCTCAACGCGTGTATGATCTTTTGGGTTTGTCTACCACAACGCGAATACCTAGTTAATAATGTAATGACAAGTAATCCCGGCAATGGAAAGACGTCACATCCCTGCACTCTGCCCCACTTACCTGGGAAGTGGGCCCTCGTGAGCGGCTTGGCGGCTGCTTGCACCTGTGACGACTAGGGAGTTCCCATTCGCAATGACTACCTTACCAAACTATCTAACAACATCATCACCACTTGTCGCACCCGCGGGCCGCAAACATGGCCGTCGGCGTAACTAATGGCCGACACGCCGCCGACGAAGAGGCCAGAGCCGAAGTCGATGTCCTCAACTCGCGTCTAGAAAAGACAACGCAATTGACCAAGAAGATCCAGGCATGTCTCGGCAGGCTCGAGGCAACGGGGAAAAGCGTCCGCGATGTGGCGGGGCCATTGAACGGGGAAACAAAGAAGTTGCAGATTCTTGGGAACAGTGGGTGGCCGCATGGTTTCATGTCGACGAGTTGGAGGGTTGAATGCGACTAACTTTGACAACCCCCTTCGACAGACATCGAATCGGTTCTCGCCGCTATCGAACGCCTACGCCAGCCAGCCGACAGCAAAAATGATGAGGAGCAGATTATCCGAATGGGCCCTGACAAAGCCGGCTTGCCCAACTACTTGGCATCTATCAAACGTCTAAACAAAGCCCTCAACGATATGAAGGCCTCGAACCTCCGCTCGACTCAGCAGACAGTCACCGAACTCCAACGGCTCGTGAAACTAGGAAACACCCAGCTCGAGAACTCGTTCGACAAACTTTTACGGAACGAGACACCAAGGTCGATTGAGCCCCTCCACTTTATTACAAAGAACAAGCCCTTCCCTGTGCTGTCGCAAGACAAGTTCGCGAGGCTGGGCTTGATCAACTCCTTTGTTGCGGGGGTATACCGCCAAGGCGGCGGCGGAGCGCCCCAAGACTCACCAATAGCGAAGATATACATTGAAATTCGGTCGCAATATCTGTCCTCAGGCCTGGTAAATCTGGCCGCCGCAAGCACCAGCACAGCCAAAAAGAAGAACCCAGACGCCATCTACCGGGCGGGGATGAACGGGATAGGAACATATGCGCAGGCGATGGAGGGCTTATTTGTAGCAGAGTACGAGAACGTCTGCAACATTTTCACCCGGGAAGATTGGGGGCCTGTGTTCGAAGCGACATGTCAGCCGTCGCTGGTCGAATTGGGGAGGACCTTGCGGGAGTTGAACGGGCATATTAAGGCGCATATGTCAACTGACTGCTACATGGCATATGAGATTGTCGAGATCATCTCCGAGCTGTCGAACGACCTGGAACGAAGGACGGGCGAACTCAAGAATCCGCTGGCGGCCTCACTGAAACCTATTCGAGAAACCGCTAAATCTTCCTTGTTCGAACTTCTTGAGGACACCAAGAGGAGAATCAACAGCTTACAGACACTGTCTTTGGATGGGTCCCCGGTCTCGATCGTTTCGGAGGCCATGCAGCGGCTCCAAACCATGGTGGAGTTTCTCCGGCCGATATCGAGCATCATGGTCTCCCTTGGGGACGGCGGATGGAAGTCGGCCTCTGCTTCCAGAAGTGGCGATGCCGCTCCCAGTCTGGCATCCTTTGATATTGGAGCTGATGGCAAAGAGATCTTTGCGCACTACTGTATAGACACGATTGAGGCGCTCATGTCGTGTCTCGACGCTCGCGGACGGCTACTCCTACAGAAAAAGCCTGTCATGGGCGTATTTCTCGCCAACAACGTGTCCATCATCGAACGCATGATCCAGTCCTCAGAACTCGCTTCACTACTTGAATCCCGTCTCGGGCCCCTCGATTCGTGGCGCAAGAAGGCGGCTAGTCTATACACTGACACGTGCAAAGATGTTAGCATCCACCTCTTCGACGTCATCCATACTAGCCGTACGGGCGCCGGCGGCCGCCCGACTTCTGGTCAGGGCGGTGCCATAGTGGTTGATTCGGCGTCAATCCTCAAGAGCCTGTCGTCGAAGGATAAGGAGAGCATCAAGGGCAAGTTTGCTAGCTTTAACGCCTCGTTCGACGACATGGTGCTCCGTCACAAGGGCTATTACATGGAGCGAGATGTCCGCCAAATGTTTGCCAAGGACATGCAGACCATGATTGAGCCGTTGTATAACCGCTTCTGGGACCGTTACCATGAGGTGGACAAGGGCAAGGGCAAATACGTCAAGTACGACAAGTCGTCAATCGCCGCTGTGTTCTTGACGTTGTATTGAGCTAGCTTACTGAACTCGCGTCTCACCCTTTGATCTCCCTTCCCCCCCTTCCCCCCTCTCCGGCCCCAAAAGCGCATTCCTTTCGGTTTCAAACAAACCGGTTCGCCTCTTTGCGCCCAAATTTTCGCGCGCGCTACACTAGGTCATGATAGATGTCAGCATGCGCAGGCGTCGTCGATCCCAACTGGGGGCGGAGAAGGGGCGACCGCCCGCATGAAAACAGTAAGGCAAGGTCGCAAGTGCTCACAAGGCCGCGTCATGCCTGTTTCCCTTCAACCACCCCCCGCCAGCGTCAGCCCTGCAATCCCCAATATCCGGGCTGCCGAGTCTCGCTTAGACGGGAAGGATGCGTCTTCCTGCGTGTGTGAATCATAGCAGGGACCAGCACGCCCACGCATTGCCCATCGTGGTGCCTGCCGGGACTTGGGGCGGAAGGGAGGGGGGTGGGGGTGATTCTCGACGCTGCGAACAGGGGGCGGGCGTCGTGCCTGAACGTTGGGCCTGTGTTGGAGTCTGGGCTGGGGTTGTTGAGAACTGGGTTCGGAGCCGAAGCTGAGCACTGGTGCCGGGGACGAGACGGATGTGAGGGTGATGGCGTGAGAAGCCAAGGACTTCCTGGTTCCATCGGTGGGGGAACGAACCAGCCGTTGATCCTCTTACCGCACAGTTCTGATTCGGGGCGCGGCCGGGTTCCCCTTTTTGATACGTCCCGCGATAAACGACGATAGCAGTCTAGGAGTGTACCGTCATATTTGCTTTGGTCCCCAACGCACATACTTTGTGTACTAGCCGTTTACACGCCGAGACGGACCACTGTCTACCTGTGAGCGCGTGGCGTGCTGACACATACCCATCAGAGTCAAGCAAGGGAATTTATCCATGGTCTTGGGCGCTCGTTTGGGGGACTTGCAGCAATGATGACCGCATGCCATGGCCTCCTTTCGTGTTTGGGATGACAGATAGCACCAGCGAGAATGATGGGAAGACAAAACATGGGGGAAGACAAGACATGGAAGCCTCAATATGAGACATTTGGCAAGGCGCTGATTGTCGAGCTTAGCCAAGCACCCAAGTACCATGTTTATGGAAGCCGATCGTCAGCCACGAGGCGTCTGGGCGTTTGCTATCGAAGCCTCGTTTCTTCTCACTTTGAGACGCCCTGAGACACCCGAAAAGTCACGGTGGCGATCGTCTTTGTTCCGAATTGCAGAACCATCATCACGAATTTTCGAGGCTGGATCCGTCCTCATACACTAGGATTCAACCTAACTACACTAATGAAAACGCTGGGCAGAACAAAGACCCTTCCTTCGTACACTCGAAGAAGTTGACAGGGGGCACGACCCGGCTTCGCGTCACCTCGCTCGCTTGGCGAGTTCAACTCCCACATTTTGGACACCAACCCACGTTGTTTCCCGTGTTCTTCCCAATGGAGTGGTTGGGACTGGCCTTTCTCTTTCATCCAGCTGGGATGACAATCCTCTCAAGACGCATGTCATGTTCCGTGCGCGCCGGCGGCCGTCCAAACTCGCTGATGCCTCCGCATATGTATATCTCACGCAATCACAACACGAGCTGCTGGAGTCATGACTGCTAGTTCTGCCTTCTGTGCGTTTGTCAGCGACGGGGGATGGGAAGATGGCGTGAGTTCGGCGTCTGTGTGTGCAGATCCTCCGCCTCGCCTGTGTTGATATTCTCCGGGATGGCCTTTATCTCCGGGCCATCCGGGCCATGCCGCTAAGGGGCCGGGGAGGCTTTTGGGGGGGGGGGTGGAATGAAAAGGGACGGGATGTTTCTTGGCGTGTTTGGAGCGGCAATCCGTGTTGGGTTTGACGGGTCTGGGGTATGAATGTTTGTCCATCCACGGCACGGGCGGAAGAACATGCAGAGCTCCTCTTGCTGGAGACCGTCTGTTGCGGTTCGTCAACCTCCCCGTTGCGTTGACGTGCATGCATAACGCAGGACACGCTTTCCATGCAATGCAGCGGCGGTGGTCGTTTTGGTTTCTTAACATGGTTGTTATCGGCTGGTCAGCAAGAAAAGGAGGCAGTAGCAGGATAGATCGCACGGCCCATCAGCCACTCAAGACGGGCCCGTCTGCAGTTCGCTGAATGCGGCCTTCAATGACTCGATCGTGAACGCCAAAGACGAGGCGGGCGAGGCAGGGAATCCAAAAAGCGGGCGGAATGCACGGGACTCGCGGCCAGGATCTCGCTCCTTTGGGGCTACGCGCCTGAGGATGCGTTGTTGTTTCGTTTCCCCTCTTTCTGTCATGAAATCGATGGTCCTTGCTCTCAAGAAAGCGATTGTGTGGTTTGCCTGAGGGTTTGCTGGAGCACTAAATGGATAGGGCAAGGCGGCAGGGTCGGGGCCGTTGCCCTGGACGAAGACCGGACGGGAAAGGCTCGGCTCGGCGGGCGGACGGGCACCAGGGGGAAGTTGCGAAACGGCCCGGGGTCTGGATTAGAGCAGCCTTCCCCAGGGCGCGTCAGGCACTTTGTGTCGGCCTCTCCACATCTCGTCGACGACCATCTTCCCGGTCATCAGCCTCGCGGTTTCGGCATTTTCGAGCTTTCGGAGGTTTCACTGGGGAGCACACTGCGGACGTATGGGTTGGATGCTCATGATCGCCGTGGCAAAACAAACGTTCGGGGACTATGTTTAGTTATCGTAATGGGATCCATCGCTTTGCATTCATGGGACGAGGCTCGGAGAGTGATATGCTGCACAGGACTTCTCATCAACCGCCCGACAAAAACACAGCTTCCATGTTATTCTCAACCTTCGCTCCTAATGGCTCATGGCCCCTTCAACCACCTTCAACTTAACAAAGCCCTGGGGATGTTTTCACCTCTCAGTGCTCACCCCGGCCGCCCAGGGCCCCTGTCAGCGGCAGCAGGCGACTGGAACGGGACGCGCCCGTCCATCCCTAGGACCCCGAGCTGGTCACAAGTCACCATCGGCCGCTGTGCCGAATGTAGACCGCAGCCAGCGTACCATGCTGCTGGGCGATGGACGATACACTCCACAGCATGAGACGATGGGGCGATGGGGCGTTGGATGGATGAACGATGAATGATGGGGGTCATTGTCACCGTGGGGTTCTCACCCGTCCAATCCCCCCAACCCCCCCGACACTGACCCCCTTCCCCCCAGCCCTGGGGTTCCCCCATCGTCAAGTCCCCCCATTGTCCTCCGTGACCCCCAAGGCCGAGTGAGAAACAAAACACCGCCAAATCAGGCCTAACTCGTCAGCTCAGACATCGTGAACAATCTTGGGCATTCCTATCCTCAAATCAAAACACCACGTTTTCCCGGGGGCGAGGAAAAAGGTGCTATCACTGACCAACAGCCCCTTCCCACTCCCCAGGTCCCTCCGAATGCGCCAATGCCAGGAACTGCGCCCCTCTCCATGTACATACAATCCATCATCCCTTTGCATCATGTTCCCCCGTTTCCATTCCCGGACGCCCGCAGGGACCATCAGCGACCAGGCTGGCGAACCGCCGATTCAAAGCGCCGTGGCGGGGGGAGGGACAGGGGAGAAAGCGCTTGGAGCCTTGGGAGACCGGCTTGGGGAGAAAAGCGGACTGGACGAAGTTGGGAAGAGAGGTGCATCAAAAGCTCACGAGAAAAGCGACCTGCATGTTCACCCCCCTCCCCAGCCGCATGGTACATATTCAGGTAGTTCTTGTTGCTGTGAGCGGCTCGAGACTGTGGCTGGGCGTAACTCGTGGAGTATGCGGGCGACGCTCAGCGGCTGCGGAGCTATGGAATGGACATGGGTATAACTAAATCCACACATCTGTCAGTGAGTGAGTCAACCTGGGGCACATGGTGGTTTGTGAGTTGGCAAAGCATGCTGGGGGATGAATGGCAGACGGAAGACATGGTATGTTCCAGGGCCTTCCGCAAGGGTAATGATGTTCTGTTTGGCGGGGTTGAGGGCCTTTTTTTTTCTCTCGCTCGCTTCTTGGCTTCTAGGAGATATAACCGTTGTGCGGAAAATGACAAATTAGCGAGACGTAACGTGAGATCGGTACCACATCATAGGATGGTCGTTAAGACTGAGGTGGTGTCAATGGACGATATTGAGGTAGCCGGGCGGCTAGCAGAGCACTTCGGTCGCAAAACGATGGGATCATCGGGGACGGAATACTGTGTACTGTGTGAATTCAAGACTACCTGCCAGTTCCCACGCCTCCTTGCGCCATGCCACGTTGCCCATGCGCCAGTGCCCCGTTAATGCCCTTCCCAAAGATGTGACTCGCCTGAAGACCAGTGTAAAAAACGGAAGGCATGAAGGTCGGTATCAGGAAATCCATTGCCCCCCAACCCAAAGCGCCAAGTACCCTGAGAGGATGTGACGATGCCATGCCTCGACCCCTGCAAAGACCAACAAAAAAAAAAAACAGACCCTTCCGCGTCCAATCCCAAAAAGATATCCTAAAGCCCTTCAAGTGCATAACCCCTCAAGCAAGTGACCAGCCAAACGACAGAATTGGGAAACCTGGGCTAGCCAAGGAAATAATGAAACCTCAACGGCGAGCAACCCGGCCGGTTTGAAAAGGAAGGCGTCGTGTGCGTGACGAGATCGGAGCTCGCTGCCCAGCAACAGGCGAACATGGGAAGACCGGGGGGTAACATGTGCCGTTGGCTGCACTTGGCCGAATCCAGAACGTCAAAGCTTCAAGTTGTTGAGTCCATCCATCCATCCATCCCTCCCCAGGCCCGATCCGATGGCTTCTCCTTTCCCTCACTCCCCGCGTCTCGCTTCCCGGCCGCGCTTCCCCACTCAACGGAGACATCGTGTGTTCGGTCTGCAAGTGGGTATGTGCAATGAAACAACAGCGGAGGCAAGCATGCCGTCGTCAGCCTTGCATGCGGGTTCGGTATGTCTGGGTGATATGGGGTTATTGTGGTCTGGCGGCAAGGTGGTAATGCGGACACACATGTGGCGCCTAGTGTCCGATGTCCGATGTCCGGTGTTGCCTGTCGTT